TTTAGGTGCCACGCCCCAAAACTTTAAATATTTTGCGATTGGACTTAAATTATTCTGAACGTGCGACATGTTACGGGTATGACGGAACTAAACTGGCAAGCCGATCCGAAATGTATTATGTTATCATTTAATCCACTTGATTGCCACGCGACAATTACTTAATAGCATATTAGCCTTATTCAAAGGGTGTCAAAATTATTTCACTGATAATCAATATACTTCATAACAGTATATTATGCAACAAGTTTAATAAACGAGTGGCTAAAGAAGTTTATCAACGTGTTGCATACCATATTTTTTCTACAACCATGGTTCTGCGGGTTGCTCATCGTTAGCTTAATTTGTCACGTCCAATGTAAAGTAATTTTTGTTTCTCTAAGTAGTATCCAAAGTTTTAGCGTATCGCCGACCTTGTTATTATCAAGATACGTAGGTTTAATTCATAAGAAATTGAATATTATAAATCCTGTGGAGAAAGGTCTCCACTTTTGTTTGAATGTTCTACTCCACTACTCGGGTCTACTTTCAACAATTGCTTGTCAGAGACGTCAAAATGTCATAACTAAAATCTATCGGAAACATCCGATCGCCCCCAAACCCGTGGGTAAAGAGCCGGAAACGTCCGAAGTGCATAGTATTTGAGATAGGATTACCACGTAAGCACTACACGTCAATATATGAGCTTGTCTGCATTCATTCACTTTTGGACCCTGGCTTAGATTAGATTGGCAAGTTTGGGATGTTGCACATTTACCATGTTATACTAATTAGTTAGAATTTGGCATTTCAACTTGGTTATATCGCCCGCTTACAGAATTTGCCAAAATCCTTGTAATTTATAGAAAATTTTTATGTCTTAAAAAAAACGAAAAATTAGTAGGTTTATAATGATTGAAAATTAAGATACCAGTAACGCAGTCGATCCGGCCATCGCAAGCATCCATTAACATTAAGTAAAAACTTAAATGTTTCTTTGATGGGCAAGCGACTCCAGTAAACTCCTAATCATTTACATTAGAAACTACGGCAGCTAACAAATGCTCACCGATTTCCTAACGTTTACCATATCCTTACATGAAAAAATTTATTTTTTCTACTCTTGTCCGTAAAATACCTAATTACTATTTATATATTTCTGGGATTTTACCACCCGGATTTGGGAGCAATCGGATGTTTTCGGAGATATTTCCCACCCTTTGAATTGTGACGTTTGTCAATTCTGACGGTCATGCCAATGAATGTAATCGTGTTGTTTTGCGAAAATCTACTCAAAACTAACGGTAGTAGATAAAGTATAGTATACAACACGTCCGGTAAACTTTTTAACTCACTCGTTTATTAAAAACTCGCTCCGCTGCGCTCCGTTCGTGTCAAATAAACTCGTGAGTCAAATGCTGTTTACCGCACTTGTTGCATAATATACTATTACGTAGGACAAGAAAGTCGTTTCTTGATCTTCTGTTACTTGGGAAAAGCAAAAAAATGGAATTCGACATTTTTAGAAAGGCCACATCTAAATTATTTATGGTATTATGTAATAAAATCAAAACCTCCAGAACGTGAATTCCAATGCTTGACCTATTTCTGTAACATTTTTTGAACTCAATTGTTCAAGAGCAGGAACTTATCTATAGCGTTTAAAACAAATAATCTATTAATACAATTTATAATAAAAGCTAAGGATCCAATAGATTAGTTTTCTAGATCAGGAGTATATTCTTCGAACTGCTTTCGCTACTAATCTTTTGTCCGTAACTTTTCTCCGAATTAAAATGTCATAGTTTTACATTTCTGCCCAAAAATTAAAAAACTTTATCTTCGGGAGAAATTGGAAATCCTTGATTGCGTCAAAATTTTTAATAATATAAACTGCAGGTAACACTGTTAAGTGTCCTTTTTTTTTAATATATTTTTTTATATTTTTTACTTCTTATTCGTAACATTTCTTTACTCATTTTTTAGTTCTCGGTAAAATGAAACGGATTCGGACTCATTCCAATTTGTGTATAAATGCATTTGAGTTGACGTCTTTGTATGTGCGTATTCTTAATTTATGTAAATTATTTTATTATTTCAAAAATTACTTTTATAGGTCTGATAATGCAAGTGTGGGCAGAACACGTGTAACATATTACAAATAATAATTTTTGAGACATCGACTTCGGAGTTTAATTGAATCCTTGTAGTTTTATTAAAAAGTTAGCTAACTTCTATATATAGGCTGGCGTCCTACAGCCCTAGCAGCTTCTCACACTTGAATCTCCAGATTTCTCTATTGTGGCAATCCTCTTCGTTCATTTCTCTCTTTCTCATGGCATCTTGAATTCCGTCTGTCCAAAATTTGCTGAGTCTCCCTCTTTTCCTCCTATTTGTCGGTGTATATTCTAGGAGTCTACTTTGCGTCTATTCTGTTTATGTTATGTCAGTTTCATGCCGGCTCTTTCTCTAATTGTTTTGTTTCGGATACGTTCCAATCGGGATATTCCGGATGCTCGTCTCAAAAATTCAATTTCTACAGCTTTGAGTCGTTCTTTCGTTCTAGATATTATTTACCAATTTTCTCATCCATATGTAGTGATGGGTTCAGTAATAGCTTTGCAAATGTTGATTTTTGTTGTCCTTGTGATGTTTTTTTACCACAAAATGGAGTTGTTGAATCGCCCTACGACTTTGTGTAATTCTGTTGTTAATATCTTTTTCGGTGTTTCCGTCTTCACTAATATAGCTCCCTAGGTAAAGTCTGTTCATATATTTATAAGAAATTGACTAACTGATACGAATTAAGGAAAGACCCGACCAAGCTGTAAGAATGAAATATGGCCGAACAGGTCCGTACTTTGCTTAGAATTTAATTATTTGGGGTTTTGTCAGGAAAGATAAATCTAAAATAAAATTACAAATTATTTTTATTACCTACTTAAATTACTTAAAATTAAAAATATATCAGTATCGCTATCGCTATCATCGCTTGCTCTAATTATTATTTGTTCTATATTATTTGCAATATGGACTGTTCTGTTTTTCTATATGTTTAATAGAATTTGCCCAACTTTGTGGAGGGATGTTAACAACTTCGGTTTCTATAAGTCTGAGGACATTGGATTTAACACGGGAAAAAACATTTTTAAGACGAATGGCAGATTTCAGTTGGTGCCAAACATGTTCAATGGGATTAAATATACACTGGTAAGGTGGAAGCCTTAAAACTGTATGCCCTAGATTTTTTGCATAATTATCACAGACGTATTCCTTTTGTAGGTTCAATCCTTGTAGAACCTCAATTAATTGCTTTTTGGTAATATCTTCGTGAAAATAAATGTTGTTATTATACATGTAGTTTTGGATTGTTGTTTTTGTGTCACATGAGGAAGGGGTTTTAGTCAACTGTCCACTGTGATAACTTGCATCGTCCATTACAATTACGCTATTAGGAGGAATGTTTGGAACTGGTTTGTTTTTAAACCAACTTTCAAATAAATCAGCGGTGGTGTCTTCACGGTAATCCAGAGAAGAATCTTTAATATTTTTCGCAGACAGAGAAAGTCCGTTTGGAATCCAACGATCTTTAGAGCCAGCATGCAAAATAGTTATTCTTTTACCTCTTTTTGATGGCGCGTTTGTTTTACACTTATCAGTTGAGTCAACCCAACCCTTTTCTGGAGTATCATAAATGTCGAACCAGGTTTTATCCAAGTAAATAATTGGCCTTTGTTGTTCTCTGTGAATCCTAATTTTTTCTAGATATTCCAGCCGCCATTTCCGAATTCTAAAAGATTCCATTAAAACTTGCCTTTTGTCATTTTTTTTAAATCTAAAACCCATGTGTTGAATACACTTCAATAAGTTAGTTCTGCCACATTTAACACTGGTTTCATCTTTTTCAAGCCTCCTAATTAAGATATCTAATGTAGGCACCCTGTGTTCCTCGTATAACTGGTAAATTTTCCGCCGTATTATACCTTGATCACTTTCATATACACTCGAGAAAATGTCAGCATTGCTTCTGTTTTTCCTCGCTGAAATGGGATTATTCACAATTTTAAATGTGACCGTTTCTTCTAAAGATGCTTGCTTGCTGGCATCACGTTCAATGAGAGTCAAATGAACGTTGTTTATAACTTCCTTAGTCTCAATAGAATAGTGTTTTCTACATTTGGGTGGGAGCATCTCCTGAGATACACTAGACTCACACATATTTTTCATAATTCGCATACGATTCAACACACGCTGTATTACACACGAAATAAGAATGATTACTAATAAATTTAAACTGAGTAGTATACCAAACCAAAGAATATTAAACACAGGTAGGTATAAAATTATTTTCTATTACGGACCACAATTTTACCTGAATTTAAATTCCGAAACTTTAGGTATTAATCTTGTTGCATTGTATGTTAATGACCACGTTTGGATAATCCCATTCAAAAGCAATTGGTCACTTTCTTATATCTATGAACAGACCATATCTATACTCTCTACAACCTTTAATTATATTACTTCCGACTTGTATGTTTGAAAGGGCTCCTCCGACTACTAAATGTTCAGTTTTAGATGTGTTTATTTTGAGTCCCCACTTATCCACCAGCCAATTTCTAACTTTTCATTAAATGGATTGTTTGCTTTTAAGAAGAATAACCTGGCAATATTTAATTGGACCGTTGTTTTCATAATTTTAATGATAATGTTAAATTAGTGCTAAATTAATGTTAATGGTATACTTGCATGAATCCACAATTACTCCCAGCTAAAGAGAAATGAACATGGGCGAGTTTTCTGACAATATTTGGGCGCATAAATAAAAACGCATATAACGTAATTTCGATCTTCTGTCAACGCCTCGAGAGCGCATTAAATATTCTGCAGGACGAACATATTTTAGAATGGTACAAGACTGGCCAAACAGATAAACCGCAATGTTAATAAGTCATATTAAAGCCCACCTACGTGGAAAAAGTATGGCAAGCGGTTATATCAAAGGTGACGGCTTGTACCGGACACAAAAACAGAAAAGCAAGTGTAAGTTTCATGGGTTTGACGTTTTGCATAGAAGCACAGTTAACGTGATTTTTGCTTCGTTTAAGGTGACTTATTATTGTTTCCCGCATTTAATTATGGATCTATTTTATATTTTAAAATGGATTTCAGAACATTAATCATTCATAAAACAAAATTACTTACCTATACATACGTCGTAGTGTTCATAAAGATCCTGAATGGGCGAAACAAGTCGACGGTCGACTAGTACTGAAGTTCCAAGTGTTAAATCGGAATTCATCAGCTGATCAAGTGTTAAATGGGAATTCAATTTGACAACCATTAGATTGATTACCTATGCGCTTAGTTGATATAAAAGTCGACCTTTCCGCTTGACAAGATAATGTTACACCTTTGATTAGGTAAGTGTTCTACACATTTGAGTATAATTTCCGCAGATGAGGGAACAATAACAAACCTTGTGACCCCTGCCAAATAAAACAATCCACTATAAGCTCTGATAACTCTTAGGAGATAGTTCATACAAAAGTTTCTTGGGCTCTCCTGAAGATTTAAAATATCATAATTTTTGTTGATACGGGGTGTCCCAAAAGTGTCCCACCCGACATCAACTTTGCTATTTTAAATGGAATACCCTGCATATATCGACATTTTTGGAAAATAAAGGTCACTTTTTTAAGAAATTCCTATTCAAAATTTTCATAGTTTAGGCAGAAATTGATGTTATGTATTTTTTTTATATTTTGATTATCCCATATAAAATTGTGTTGTGACGCGACTGATCCATATCCACAGACTAACGAGATGATGCACTACTCAATTAGTTTAACACATGCGCGTCAGCTTATACAGGTTGTCCCAAATAGGTGGTGCAGTTTTGGCGAATTCGATTAAAAAAATCTCAAGATTTTCAAATGAATCACCCTATATTTTTTTTCAGATATCAATTCTAGGACAACAAATAAGGTAAGCTTGTAGTTTATCTTATATTTAAATTTCACTTACTTTTTGAGATATTCGAGGTTTCAAATAACACCCGTATAAATTATTGTTGAATTTAAAGCTGCCCACATTAGGTCACTTGTTGGCAATATTAGGTATTTTTTAAATAGCAAAGACATGATACTACTTCTTTTAAAGGTATATAAATAAAACCTATTGCTAGCAATACAGAGTGTCCATTAATACGTGGAAATTTAAAAAAAAATCGAATCTATACTACACACTTTAACAGATTTAATAAAACTTCAGAATTCATATTTAAAGAAACATTTAATTATCTAGATTGATTGAAAATACCTAAAATAAATAAATAGGCTAATTAAACAGAGTAACAAATTTGAATAAATAAATCTATAAATAAAAGGTTAACTAAAAGAGTTCGTTAATTCGGTCCAAAAAGTTTAGTTAAATGTTAGTTAAAATTGTTGCTTCATCTGGCATCAAAACAACAAAGAAATATCAAAATATTTTAAAATGTAGTTGGCTATGACATCACAATCTTTTTTTTTAACGCATTGAGGTATAAACAAACTTGGACATTTCTGTTTGCTTTTGTTGTTTTTCATATTTCTATTAAAAAAATTCATAGTTGTCAAGTTTTTTGTTAGTATATATTTTATTTGTATTTTAAATAAGTTATAGTTTTTTGGTTACAATGCCACAATACTCTGCTCAGGAAAGGTTAAAGTTGTATGAATGTTACCTGATGACTGGTAAAAGTGCAGGCTTAGCATTAGGGGAGTATCAAAGAAAGTTTCCGGGCGCTAAAATATGAATAAAAACAATACTTAATAGAATACCTAATATTGCCAACGAGTGACCTAATGTAGGCAGGTTTAAATTCAACAACCATTTATAAAGGAGTTATTTTATTTTTTGTCCTAGAATTGATATCTGAATAAAAATATAGGGTGTTCCATTTGAAAAACTTGAGATTTTTTTAATTGAATTTGCGAAAACGGCACCACCTATTTGGGACGACCTGTATAAGCTGAGGCGCGTCTGTCAAATTATTTAAGTATTTTTTATTTAAGTTGCTATACCTGGATGAGTGACGTCACAACACAATTTTATACGAAGCAATCAAAATTTGAAGAAAAAAACACATAATCTCAATTTCTGCCTAAACTATGCAAAATTTGAATAGTGATAAAAAAGTAACCTTTATTTTAACCAAGTATTCCAAAAATGTCGAAATATATAGGGTGTTCCATTTAAAATAACAAAGTTGATGTCGGGTGGGACACTTTTGGGACGCCCTATATCGACAAAATTATAATATTTTAAATCTTCAGGCGAGTCCAAGAAACTTTTGTACGAAACTTTTTTTCTTATCTCCTATGGGTTTTCAGATCGGTATGGTGGATCGTTTCATTTGGCACACGATGTATATAACATCTATATGGCATATTACGGCCATATATTCATAGTCGTGCATGGGGCCTTGAAGATGCGTTCAATTTCTTTTTTAAGTATCAACTATGAATTCCACCCTTAATATCTGTTATATTTTTAGCCTTGAAAAATACCCACTACTACCAATCGCGCGACCAAGTTTTACTTTAAGTGTTCGTCAGTCACTTTGGACATTTTCAGTACTTGAGTCACGGTTATAGGAATGATCGGATGTTTTTCGTAAATTTTAATCATCGTTTGTCAGTTGTGTCAGAGTTTTGAAAAAGTGTACCCAAAAACTAGAAAAAGTATAATATGCAACTCTTTGAAAAACTTTAACAAACTCCTGACTAAAGTGGCGACATAATACTAAATGTGTAGGGGAACAGAAGTCAAAATGGTACCCTTAAAGTTATGGCCAGGATAAAACAAGAACAACACTTTTGACAAACTAAACTTATATTTGGGTAACATTGTATGTTTCCTTTCAGTATCATATTAAACATAAATAAAAATCAACAAGTACGGTTTATTAAAATCAATAAATCATCATCATCTTCAGCGCCAGCGCAGGAATAGTGAGCCCAACGTTTACACGTGAGACACTGGATCCAGCCTTCCGTTGACGTTGAATTCAATAGTGACAATACAGACACTATGAGTCTTTTACTTCACCGAAAACTTATTAGCCTTCTTTTTCATGGCACCCCGCCAAATAATACAATACAATACAAGTATGGGTGGTATGTATGAGCCCTTTGCATTAAAGCAAAATGCAGTAGTTAGTAATTGGCCCCTATCTGCTGATGTTAATAAACCAACTTGCTTTTTACCTTTTGTGCTGATTATTTTCAGCAATGTCTTCGGTACCGTAGCTATGCCCGTCTCATCCACGTTATATATTCTATCTGGTGTTAGTTTATACTTATCCACAGCTTCAACTAAAACTGAAATAGAAACCCGATTAAAGCCTCTTACAGCTGAGGAGGCTGAGGTGGCCTCTTGTTTGCGAAGACTAAGATCGAGATATCTTTTTAACAAATTTTCAAACCAATATCTACCGGCCATCCTTGTACTTGGGTCAAAGTTATGCTGAATGTTATTTCGTTCTGTCAAGTTGTATGCCAAACATCTCAAATCTTTTGGTGAGACGCCAAAGAACATAGCACTTTATCCTGATTTTTATTAAATACCGTATCAAATCTCCCCACTTTCTTCCCTGTTGCTGTATCAATATCTTGATTGTTTTGGTTTTTATGTTGTTTTAGGTACATTATAATTTTCAGAAGCTTTTCTAAGCCCCGTAGCGTTAGTTGCAACATTAATTATTACTTGTTTCATTGCCTCTTCGAGCGGTTTTTACCTCTGGATCTTTCTTTTATAGTTACTAACCATCTAAAAATATGAAAAGGTTTGTTTAAAAGATGTTTTTTAGGCAAAACGGACCGGGCAAAATGAACCACTTGGACCACTTTGTCTTCTCTGCTATATTCTAGAAAACGTGCCGATCTGGAGATTATGTCAACATAGAACATCAAAGGCTATAATAGTATCTACGCACCTTATTATGGAAGTAAAAAGTACAAGCATTCAAATATAGCTTACCTTGTTAAAATTTCGTAAGTCACTTTTATCGGTTTATGGCTAATTGTCCGAAGCTTGTTCCATTCAGAAAAATTTGACGTTAACAACTTTGTAGAGATGGCGCAAATAGTATTTAAAGGATTTTAATGGACCGTTTTAACTGCAGGGTCCGTTATGCCTCCCTTTCCCCTACTTATGTGATGCACTTAATTAAGAAAAAGAGTATATAATGCAACAAGTGTGTTAAAGGGAGTGATTTAAAAAGTTTACCAAATGCGTTGTACACTTTTTCTACGACCTTTAGTTTTTGGCTAAATTTTTGCAAAACAACACGAATACATTCCCCAAAAATATATTCGTCCATTAGGGGCATATTTCCAAATTAGTTTGAAATATAGACTGTGACTCAAAAAACCATATCAAAGTTATATTTTTTCTTATGGAAAACCCTATATTTTTATAGCTTTAGATACTATAGAACAAATGAAGGTAAATTAAATTTACATATCCTATACCTAAAACTACCCGTTGACCGTGAGAGACCGTAATTTTTGAAAACGTCCTTCATATAAATAGAACCATAAATGGAAAATTTTACAAGGAATGCAATGATGAATATAATCTCTGATTATTTTATTTTTTCTTTCATCGTTTAAAAAATTAGATGATTAAAAAATACAGTTAACTATAACCACATTGGCAATAGACTATCAAGCTATCAAATCTTCATTCACGGCGTCCCTTCAATGAACAAAAGCATCCTGATAACGCCATCGCATCTAATATCTATTCTCATAAAGATAGCAATCTATATAAGCCTAGCGTCGGGTATGAATATGGAGAATAATAGATTTAACGAAGATGTTTCAAATATATTCCGAATAGGAAATTCGGCGTTTTGATAGTCTGAGACGTACGTAACGTTATATTTTAATTATTTAATAAGAAAAAAATAGAAACATGCTTTACTAAAAAATTGGATGAAAGTAACACTGTATAGGTTTCCCAACAAGTAATAAGAATACGAAAACTACAATACCTTAATTTTTAATATTAAATAAGATAAAATTGCAAAAATCGATAATTTTCATTTGAGAAAAATCATTTCGTTTATGTATTTAATTCCACCAATATGTCTTAGTAATGACTAAGGGCAGGAAACATCACAAATATTCAAACGCCATCAGAAAACATTAATGGATGTTTTCTATTGGCACTGTATCTAATAGTTGACCTAATTTTAAATCCGTTTCAAAATATCAAAATATATGACGTTTTAAGATATTTTATTGTTAAGGCAGGAAGAAAACTAAACAACTAAATAACACATAAGCATAATTACTTTAATGAATCTATAACATTTTCGGGATTTCTTTAATATTGTCACATACTGATTAGGTTAAATTTTCGCTTAACTAAAACAAAATAGAAAACCTAACATCATTAATTCAAAGAAAGTAGCAGCAAAATATGTTAGGTTTCTAGAAATGCAATCCATGATACAAATATTTCTAAGGTGCATACTAATTAATTTGTTTTTTTTTTCTTTGGAAGATTATTCTCGGAAACAAGGCTATTACAGTTATCTAAATCAAAACTGAATAAAACTTAAAAATATCAGAGCTTTGTTCATAATTAAATACCCAAAATTAATTGATTGTTTTTTTGCAAAATTTCAAATTTAAGACAAATAAATAATACAATAAAAAAAAACAAAATAAATGAGGAATGTAAATCACGATCATTAGCCTTTTTTAAATCACATAACAAAAGTTATTATAAACCTTTCCTAAAATATCATACATCATAAGGTCTTTTAAATAATTCTTTGATCACTAGCCCAACAAAATATTGGGAATCACAAAATAAGGTGCAGTGTGCATGAGTATTATAAAATTTGACCTTCCTTGCAGTTAACTCCTAAAACAAGAAAGTATCCTTAAATCTTAATAGGATATAGGTTAAACAGCCTCTGATCAAAGAATTTCCTAAAAAAATAATAAAATGAACTTCCTATGCGCTAGTTTAAGCAGAACAAAGTATAAAACATGTATTTACATTTTGAAATTGCACTTAATTAATTCTGTTTGGAGGCACATAATTGAAATTAGTATCTCACTCCAAATAGAAGCTCCCAAAATAAACAAACACGTGCACTTTGCACAATTTTTAAAATTCAAACAAAAGCTTTTAGTACCAATTGTCCAAAATAACCATTTTCATTTGAAACTCGAGTTTTTATAACTATCTACCTACTACTATCAAAAAATTGGAAGCTATTTTTTTCAAGTAAGATATTCACAATGACTGCCCCCCACCAAATTATTCGAGAAACAAAAAACACAATAGCGTTTTTGTGACTAGTATTTTCCATTAAATCAAACATTAGTGAACAAGATTGGAGCTTAACAAAAAGAGTATATTTACAGCACTAAAATCACTTGATTCAAAATTAAATTAAAATCATATCGAGTAAATGGGACTGGAACTTTGCGCCAGCTTTAAAGACCATGCCTTAAATCCTATTAAAAATCAGATTAAATTCAAAATTAATTTTGTTTCAGTTACTGGCGGCAACAATTCGATGATAAATGTTTTGGTTACCAAATATCAAAAAAACCTTCAAAATAAATTTTTGCTGACAATGCTATTTCAATGCTGCACTAGAACTTGCTATAATACTATTTCATCTACTCTTAAAAAATAAGCTTTTATATGTATGTACAAGACACCAATAATTCATTATGGTTAAGATGATATACATTTGTTTCAAATTGCAACATATGTTTTGGCTTTAGTGCGATAATAGTATACTATCTTAACATGTAATCAATATCTGAATTTATTTCATAAATATATTAAATTGGTTTTGTAAACTAGGCCATAAAACCAACTTAACAATATATTTCAAGTGATAACATTACATTTTGTTTATATATGATGCCTCACTGAAGTTAATAGAACATTTACAGAAGCCGAGAGTAAAATTCTGGACCAAGATCTAATGGTACATACATCTAATGAAAATAAATTAAGTGAAATCAAATGGCATAGAATTATAGAATTATGATTCAGAAAAATGATTTAACTATGAGTCGAATTTTTAAAAATTTCAAAGGACGTTTTTCAATGCTTAAAAAAAGAAATTAAAAAACGTGACCCCATAAATTCAGCAATACATTGTGAACCTTGAAAATTTTATTTTAAATTAACCTGAGGAAAAATAATAAAATGGCTAAAAAATTGGAATACCTGTTTAAAATTATTTCTTGCAAGAATTTGTAAAGTTTTCATAAATAAAATTGATTCAGAACTAATTGAAATGTATAAATTCCAATTTTCTACCTGGTGCAAACTTTGCACCCAACACAGACACAACAAACATAGTAACACAAAGCCTCAAGTCTCCTATTCATTTGAGGTCCAAATTTAAAATTTAAATAAATAATTCATTTAAGTGTATAACTTTAACAATTCACTGGACAGGTTATAAAGTAAACAAATGCAAATAACTCGCCCTGGATGAAACAAGGCCTTGGGTCCTTTAAAAACTAATTATCAGTGAAACAAATGACTAGTATATTTGAAAACCTCTCCTTAAGCCCATTGTACTGACATTATTACAAATTTCCAAATGGATCAAATGCCATATCTGCAGGTTGTGCCTGAGATACTTGTGCTCCAATTTTCGGACTGCCCATTGTTTGAGGCTGTTGAGTTTGAACACTGCCCATTGGGTATTGCATAACAGTACCAATAGGCTGTATGACTGATTGACCGATTACCTGGGACTGCTGAACCCCCATCATCGGTTTATATGATGTTGCAGTTGTCGCAGCCATGGGCTGTGGTTGCCAACCACTAGCAGAAGCGGGTTTTGGTTGATTTTTTGGCGAATTCCATTTGGTTCCACCAACATCCATGGTTAAGTTCTCAACTAAAGATGTAAGACTTGACTCCAAGTCCCCAGTAAGGAGTTTTGCAGGTTGTGGGGGCCTTTGGGGAGCAACAATGTTTGTTTGTATAGGAAGCTGAGGTTTGCTCTGATCTGATGGAGCAATTTGATCAAAAACTGAAGGTTCATTTGCATTAAAGAAACTAGTGAGATCATTGAAAGATTGAGGAGGCTGTTGCTGTGGCACTTGATTGGGCAAACTCGATTGAAACACATTGGAAGCTGAAAATCCATTAGCATTCCATGCATTTTGAGATTCAGCAGACCCAGCTGGGCCTGTAAAAAAATCTGGAATACCATTTGCAGCTGGAGCAGCAGGTGCTGGTGCTGGAGTTGTAAAATCAGCAAATGGGTTACCTAAAAAATATTGAAATTTGATCATATAAAACATATAAAAGAAATTGGAGCAAATTGCATGATCACATATAGACAAAAAAAAATAGATCAATTAAAAAATGAGAAAACACAGTCTAGTCAATTCAAAATCTTAGCTTTAAAGACAAAAGCTCTGGAACTTTAAACTTACCTCCAAGCAATAAAAGATCATCAATTGCAGTAGAAGGTGCAGTATCAACAGGTGGTTTTGACATCCCCATATCATCCCCAAATAGATCCAAAATAGGTTCCGATTTGACAACTTGTGGCTCATCAGTCAAAAATGGATTGGTGCTTCCCAAAGTGGGAGATCCAACACTGGCTTTAAATTGGTTAAAAACTGCTTCTTCTTCTGCTACAGCAACTTGCTTGAAACTGTCATCAACAGCAGAACCAAAAGCTGAACTTGTATTTGATAATGCAGAGACTCCAGACATCAAATTCTTTTGATTATTTGCTGCCGTGGGTGTATTTCCTTCTAAAGAAGCCAAGTGATGTTCCAAAGCATCAAGCAAACTATTGGGTGCTCTTGTTAAATCTGGGATATCACCTTTATCAATACCTATGTTCTCTGCAACCTTCAAAAATTCACCTACTCGATCCATGCGAATAAGAAACTTTTTGTAAAGATCTAACGCTTCCCTACATTGTTTCTTGTTTAGTTCAAAATATTTCTCCAACAAATTAATAATTCCGTCATTGTAACAAGCAAATAATCTAATTAAATCTCGAAACAATAACATGAAGCACATGTTAATAACCCCATTTGTTAAATCATTAGCAGTGCAATCAAACTCTAACAGACCATCTAATTGATTCTGCAAAATAGGTAATGTCTTCAATAGATTCTCAGCATCCATAGTTCTCAGCGTGCCTTCTTCTTTTCCCCTTTTTACCTTGCAAAAATCAAATGCAACTGCTCGGTAAGACAGTGCCTTTTCATTCAAGTATTTTGCATATCTTCTAATAAAGGGTGACATGTCATATCCTGTTCTTGCTCCGACAGCACTTTGCACCCCAGTTTTATCAACAAAATTAGACAGTTGAAAAGATACATTACTTGAAGCCAAATACTGAGTAAACCTTTCATTTCCATAACACATCAGATGATGAGTGGTAATAAGGGCTTTGAAAACAACCACCCAACTAGTATTTTGAGACCTCTCAATTAATAAATTTGCCATTTGTGGAATAGACACATTCGGTTCGTTGGTACAATGGACCAGGTAATCCAAATGTTTCTTTTTGGGGCCCAACATTTCTTCAGTTGTCGCCTTACACACCGACTTCGCCAATCCTTGGCCAGCAAGGCTATGCTTAGCGGCCAAAAGACGATCATTTATAGTTTGCCCTGCCATTTCTACAATATTTTCTAGATACGATTAAATCTGGCGTGCCAAATTGTATTAAATAAAAACAACTTGAAACGCCGACCAAAATCGACTGCCGACCTAGACCGGCGAAATCAATACATTTTTTCAGTGAGTACGTCAGCTTGCCATTGGACAACAAGGGACAGTTCCAAAAGTGAACCCCAATTTCTAGAGCGACATCTATTGCAATGCACAAAAACACCAAATACCACAGAAAACTTCTTTTACGATCAGAACTCTTTAAAACTGTTGGCAAGCATCATTTCATTTCAATTCTGTTATGGCCAAATGATCATGGTAAATGTGAACAAAATAATTAAAGAAGAAGAGAACCTCTTCCACTGGATTATTCCGGAGCGAATAGGAATACGAATAATCGAAAAATCTGTAAAACCTCGTGACAAAATGTTTGTGTGTTTTTCTATCTTTAACATCTTCTTAGATGCCGATCACTCAGGCATGGATCATTTTAAACTATCCGCGTGAAAAAAAAGGGTGAATTAATACAAAGCATTTCTTAAATTCAACTTTCAGCATTATTTTATTATGGATCTATAAGGGTTTCACTTCTAAGAGATACCAATGTGTTTAAGATACATCTTAAGGTAAATTTTCAAAATATGAAAAAATAAAAAATCTAGTTTGTTTAATCAAACACAGCTAATAAGCTGAGGGAATTCTAAGTTTACTTTCAAAACATACCAACTGAGAACAAGATATTTCATTATATTGTAAATATGGCGTAAATATAGGCTTAGAAATTACAGAAAATATACCACAAGAACAACAAAACTAACCAACACAGTTTTTATCTCTATAGGAAGTTTTGCCAAAAATACAATGTCCAAGATCGAATGTCGTTTTTTAAAAACAGTTACTGGCAATAAAACAGCACTATACTATTACATTGAAAAGCGCCATCTGCTTTTAGTCACTACTATACCAAAGTTTTGAAGATTTTAATTTGCCTTATTGAGATATTATGAGATAAAACCTACCCCATTTTAAATAGTGCACCAGACTCGACAACTATAACAAACATATAACAAACTCTTTTCCAATATCATTTGCTATCATTTTCAAAACAAAACTGTTACTCACCGAAGTTGTTCTGACACATAGGAGGATCAGGTTCCCAGGCGCCATCACGATTGCACTGAACTGTTTTATGCCCAACCAAGGAATATCCACTATTACACTGATAAAAAACATACTCTCCAACATTTGCCCCTTGAAGGAAGAAATTTGGAGTTATTTGACCATTTTCTATGGCTTTTGGTGGTGGGCAACCACGTAAAGTGTCAGGCTTACAAAAGCCATCACTACCAGTCCAATTTCCTTCATTGCATACTCTCATGTGACTAGCAGCAGGAATCAAAGTGTATCCACTTATGCAAGTATATGTTACAACAGTTCCTTTTCTGTATTTTCCAGTTGGAGAAACAATATCTTTTGCTTTCTTCCCTAGGACAATCTTAGCATTTTCGAGAAAAGGGGGAGGAGAACAAGTCTTCTGACACCGTGGAGCTTCAAGGTACTCCCACTGTCCAAACACGCAATAAATATCACTGTTTCCCACCAAGTCATAGTTATCAAAACAATAAATACGCGCCACTTTATTATTCCGACCAAAACTCTCAATTTTTATATTAGCGTTCTGAACAGAAGGAAATTCGGGACAATCGTTTTCTTCATTAAACTGACTGTAATTAAGTTTATAAGAACCGAACATGTCCTCGCAACTAATTCCGTATAATACATAAATCATGCACAATAAAATAACATGCATGATTATAGTTATTGATGTAATACTATTTTTAAAAAATCATCGCTTTAGCACTTCCCTTTAAAACAATTTTGAAATTCAAAATTTAAAACATTCAGATGATAATAAATCCAAAGAACAAAAATTACCTTAACCAAAGTATCACATGTTTTCCATGCGCCGAGGATAGCTCGGTTGGCAAGGCGTTAGACAGGTCAACTCGAATCGCCGGAAAGTGTGGGTTGGTTCGATTTTCACTGGGAGCCTTGGGTGTTGTGATCGTTACTATTTGTTTAAAAGTTTAAACCTGGTTGTAAGTTGGCCGAATCGCCTTATGAAGAATAAATAGGAACGCAGCCATTTCACTTACTAGCTGGTTTGCGTAGATTGATCAACCGCACATTTCAAAAGCTAACCTTAGTTCACTGTGGCCAATTTTCTATTACTCTTTCATTACAGTGATGGACCGAGAAAAGACGATAGCGGGGCGGTAGGAAAGGAGGAAAAATCCTCGTCTACTTTTATCCTTCTTAATTGTTCAGTATCTCGGTTGAAATTGAAGTAAAAATATGATATCCATTTCGAATGGTTTTTATGACCGGTCAACACCGGTCATTGTTTTTAGGGTCGAGCATAGTTTTAGGGAATAGGTAGATTCTTTGGTTAGACATGCAATTTACACTGGAACCACGTCCTAAGTCGCCATTTTATAGTGGTCGTCGCATAAATTAAAGTCATAAAAAATAAAATCACAATCTACAATTTTCGGATTTTCTCGGATATTTCTGGAGCTACAGCAACTATACAACAAAAATATTTATTTGTTTTTTCAAAATGACAAAAGTAGACTGTAAATAAAACTTTAGTGAATATCCATAAGTATTTTCTCCGAGATTTTCTCTTATACACTTCTGTCATTCTAAGCAACCACAAATTCATCTAAAGTTTCCAAATCTCTAATATAACTGATGCAGCCAAGGAAACTCTTTCATATTTATCTGTATTATTTTAATATAGTACGATTTTTTTTTTTAAATCTTAGGCGTTACATTTATGTCCAAGCTGCGATAAGCAGCGACTAGGCTTGCTCAATTAACAGGAACGTACAAGCCAATAAAATAATCAGCATATATATTTGCCGCATTGGCGCGGCCGTACGCGCGTACGCAGTAGTTTTATGTATCACGCCGGGGGAGAGGCAACAGCAGACCTACAGAGCATAAAACTATTAGATAATATAGTGGTCCTACTATGGTAAAAATTGATGCGCAACAGCGATTTCCACACTCGTTTTCCAGAACATTTAACGAAATGTAGGCATATCTGACCAAATGCTACCGTAAAAATTGGCTATTTGTCAGCGGCCATGTTGGTTGTTGAATGCCGCATGCGAATGTTGAGTGGACCACCTCACAATTTTTTTTCATAGTTGCTTCACAAGTTCCTGTTTTACCGGCATAGGCAGTAACTATATGATAGATAGGGTTTATATGTTTTGGAGTTGTAATATGTTTTAAAACCAGTATTTATAATGTAATAAAGGTAAGTTCACTTTTGGAACAATCATTAAATGGTCCTTCGCCAGGGCAATAGGTTAATGGCAAGTGCGTAAATTAGTGCGTGCACTATAAGATCCCACAGATCCAGCATTTTCAGATCTCTCTCATATGCACATAAGGAAAATTAAAGTAATTAAGATATTTTGTACAGAACTTAAAAACTATATTTTAGATAAATCTTCCAAGTTTGCCTAGTATGATTAGTTTTTTTTTAGTTTCATTTAATATTTTTGAGTTGTTACAAATTGATAATTTGATAAATTAATTAATTTTGGGTTTGACTCATAGGTTTTTTAAATATAGGTGTCATATAGATTTTGCAATATTGCAACTTATGCTTATGCTTTGAAATTGAAATATTGTAATATATTCCAATTTTCGTGAGTTTGCTATTATGCCGCCATCCCAAACATAAACCTACAGATGGCTACCCCGGCAATATCTACGCTAATGGTTAAATTACGTTTTGAAGATAATATTTATTTAGAATTTAGTTTGAATTTGATAAATTTGACAAAACTATATAAAAGTCTAACCCTTTATTTACTTTATGTAAATGATACACCTATTAAAATACTACTATAAATTGGTGGACCCGGTTTTATTGAATTCACCAATCCATAATAGTTCTTTTTTTGTTCATTTCATGAACTGTCATATCTGCTTGTCCCAATTAACTACTCAATTTTCAAGTTTTTTATCTTCTAATTTGATTAAACCTCATCTAAATTAAAAATTTTAATTGTATGTAATAAGTATATTTTGCAATGTCAATGAACTTTAGCCGCGAGTTTGATTTGGCACCAGGCGAGTGGCTGAAGAAGTTTTTCGATGTTTTTTTTGCAAAACGGCATGAATACTATTCATTGACTAACCAATTAACGAGTTAACAATCTGACGCCCTAAAATGTGCGTACGCTTGATCAGTGCATAATTGGATCTTTTAAAATAGGGAATAAAAGAAATATTTTTTATTATTTACTTTGAATTTTTCCTTTCCATTAGGCACGATTTTGAAACTAACAATCTCTATACTTAGAAGTACATAATTGGGGATTCAATATGCTCATTATTAAAATAAAGGGTGCTCCATTAAAAAAATACTTTTCGGGAAACCGCCTAGACGCGACCTTCAATTTTAGTAAATAATAGTAAAGGAACTTAGCAATAGTGCGCGCTTAAGCCGAAAATGCTGAGGTGCTACGGCTGGTATTTTAAAACAAACACATTCTGGCACAACAATGTTAATTCCCAAACAATACTGCCAAAATTTGAGGTAAATATTTGATTAAATAAATTCCCGCCTGACTTAATTACGTCCCAAAAAGAGAGGAATCAAACGCAGTGCCTCTGCGTGTCCAGATATGAAAAGTATTTTAAATAAAAATTTTCTCGCTGATCAGAAAACACTTGTCGATTAGTTGCTATGGTTGATAACGCATTCGCATAAGTATCACTGCAAGTGCATACAGTTACAGTAGATCCACATGCTCAATCCTTCAGAAAAGGCATCACCCGAACTTCAAAACCAGGATGATAGGTCTTCGAATGGACATCTTGGTTTTGAAAAAGGCAAGGAGAAAATTAAAGAATGGCCGCAAATTATAGCAATAATTATCGGTAAGTGACAGATTTTCTTGATATCGAGCGAAAAGTTTTAAAGAACAAAACATTAGAGTCAACAGTGAGGGGAGACTATACCTTTTCTCTAGGCGCTCTATTTTTCGATGCCCTTTGTATTTATTCAGATTTCCGAGTTTTTTTATATTAGGTTTTTATCTCCATATAAAATTTGTCTTTTGTCTATGAAAAAAAATTTTGGTTTATGTGTTTTTAAATTGTAAATGAAAATTTCATTTGTTTTATATCGAAGCAGCTATTTAGTGGACGATGGACTATTAGAATTAGAAAATTTTAATAAATTTATATAATTTATGTAAGTAGGTATAGCCTAAGTAGATAATATTAACTTACAGACGATCAATATTTTAGATTTCAAGGTTTGGCTACATCGTCTCGCTCATCGTTCCATTCGATTTAATCATTCAGATTTTCGATGATAACTAAAGATAATAACGAAAAAATAGATCTAAACTGTTTAACGTTAAGTTTAAACGCAAAAGTGAATAATAATAATAATTGCCGCTAAAGTATTTATCACATAACAAACTGCATATTGCATACCTGATTGTTATAGGTATACCGTATGTCCAGGATAAGGATGGTCAGGAATGGATTAAATTAGAAACAAGGTTCATAAATTAGCTAAATAATTAATTCGCAAAAATAACTCTTTTTGGTAGCAGTAAAAGGTGGAGAACCCCAATATTCTTTGAAAAATCTGTTTATCCGTATTCAATTGATGATAGTAGATTATCATAATTTCAGGTGGACTAGGCGCTTTTACAAATGGAATGCTCTTTGTTTGGACCTCTCCATTTACAGTGAAGATAGTAAATGACACAGAACATTATCAGATTTCCGAAGAAGAGGCGTCCGAGTTTACAATTTTTCCGCCTATAGGTGCGCAAAGAGATTTTGTTTAAAGTAGTGCTCTAATTTTTTAATCTTAAAAGTAATATTTTCTTTAATAACTACATAATATTAATTTAATTTACTATTTATTTATTTCCTTATATAGCAAAATGAAAAAAAAATCCATTAAACAAATTCACGAGACGAGGTAAGTGTTTATTTAGGAACGAAATGGTTTAAAGGGTGGGTTAGTTTGTAGAATTTAGGGACATGCGCAGAAAATCATTCAAATGTACAATTTAAAGTTAAGAAATTTCTTATCATTGAAACTAGACATTTTATCTAATAAGAGATAAAATTATGGTAAATCTTTTTGTAAAACTTCTGAATTCCTCCTGCATCAGTTTCTGTTGAGTCGGACTAGCTAACGTTTCGACAATCATCCTGTTGGCTTCTTCAGAACTTGATTGAAACTGGCTCGCATTTTACTCTGTACCTGCTTTTGAGGCGGGCGGAGCTAAATGAGGGGCATAAACGCCCTCTCGGATGACTAATGGTGACAGGTAAAGACCTGAGTCGCGGTTAAGATTGTTAGGTTGCTAATAGATTTCTATAGACTCTTGGATTTTTCGTTGGTAGGAGATTTGATTACATGCAAGAATTTTAGCTTTATTGCTGATGAGTTTATTTGTCTTAGTCTTAAGGCTTTCTCATGTTCTTTCAGCCTAGTTGATATTTTTCGGTCGGTCTCTCCAATGTATGAGAGATTTTTGGACAAGTGGTAAATCTAGTTTTGGCGTTATATTTGTTTAGAACTTTTGATATGTAGTCAGTGATGTTTTGAATGAATGGAAGGTCGACAGTGGCAAGTGTGGGATTGCTTTCGGCTTCATTGCTATTGGAAGGTTGTAGTCAAGTGTATGTTGTGATGTAACGCTTAATATCTTTAATGTGGAAATTATTAGAGAGAAGAGCAGATGTGACTTATGTAGTTTTACGGTTCTGTAAACAAGAGAGTTGATAACCGATGATTTTTGGGCCAGATGGTGATGTGACAATGCATTAAGGTTTTCTGTAAACACAATGACCCACTGTTAGGTCTGATTTTCTATTGATAAGAATACCTATTTATTGTTATTAGTTTCTAATTCAATAGTAAAACGTATGTTAGGGTGTACAGAGTTTAAATGTCTAAGAAAATCTACTAGAGATTCTTGACCATAAGACCAAATAAGAATTTTGGTTTTAAATGAAAGGTGCTGAGAGCTTTCTTCTCAAATATCTCTCATATATCCGCGATGACTGGTGATAGTGGAGGATCCATAGCTGTTGCCGACGTTTGTTCAAAAATTTGACCGTTATAAGAAAAATATGTTCCAGACAAGCATTTTTCAATTAAGATATCAACCGAGTCACTGAACTTACAATTAAAACACCTTACCTCTGTCTTCTCTCTAATAATTCTCACATAAAATGTATTAAGTGTTCCATCACAAAACATATTTCACCACAACCTTCCAAAGCAATGAAGCCGAAAGCAATTCCACAATTGCCACTGTTGTCGTTGCTTACATTCAAAACATCACTGACCACATATCAAAGGTTCTAAAGAAATATAATGTCAAGACCAGATTTACCGCTCATCCAAAAATTTCTCAACTTCTTCGATCCGTCAAAGACAAAATTCGGCAAAGAATACATTGGAGAGACCAGACGAAAAATATCAACTAGGCTCAAAGAACATGAAAGAGCCTTAAGACTAAGACAAATAAACTCATCATCATTTGCCGAACGCAATCACGAAACCTGACATAAAATTTTATTTGATAAAACTAAAATTCTTGCATGTAATCAATTCTTCTACCAACGAAAAATCCGAGAGTCTATAGAAATCTATAAGCAACCCAACAATCTTAACCGCGACTCAGGTCTTTATCTGTCACCAATATGGGAATCAGTCATCCGAAACGGTGTTTATACCCTTCCTTTAGCTCCTCCCCCCTCAAACATTATAAAAGCAGGTTCAGAGTAAAATGCGAGCAATTTTCAGTCAAGCTCTGAAGAGCCAACAGGATGATTAACGAAACGTTAGCTAGATCGACCCAACAAAAACCGACGCAGCAGGAATCCAGAAGATTTATAAAAAGCATTAGAGTAGCCTTAGAGTAGAAGTTTCTTTGAAAAACTGTACAAATCTGTCAAAATATAATTGGTGATGGTGTTCCAGGTCAAATTGAAAAACACACATATTAAAATAATGCTTGGAAATTTTGATTTCAGGTTTAATTGCATCCAGTTTCTTTTTCTTTAAACTGGTGGATGTTATCGGCCGAAAAAGGACGGTTTTGCTATTGGCCGTACCACATCTAACGTTTTGGACAACGATTATTTTCGCTAAGAGTGTGTACGTCTTCTATGCAGCGAGATTCGTAGCCGGAATTGGCGATGCGACGCTGTTCGCTTCGCTGCCGATTTATTGCGGGGAAATCTCCACACCAAAAGTGAGAGGAACATGGGGCAATTCGGTCGCATTTTTCCTTTACGGGGGGCAATTTTTTATCAATTGCATAGGTAAGCGAAACAAAACAAAACGAGATTTGGTAAATATCTGTCACGCAGATAATTATCTCAATGCATGAGCGATAATGGTAATTGAAGTATGTCTCGGCTAAGATTAACACTGTACAAAATATTATATTACAGTTTAGGTGGTTTCAACAAAATTATTGTATATCATCTGGTGTACAGGATATTTCGCTTTTCTATAGAATCTAAATATACATAGGTATACTAAAATTCCCTCCTACCATCGACATTCAAAGGGGATCACATAAACTTGCATCTGGTCAGCCGGTGAAATCCGGAAGTGAAATCATTAATCAGCAATCACCGACATCTGCCTTTAGCAGGCCGACAAAACCAAAACTGACCAGTACTAACCAAACACTTTTGTGCATATATCTTTTCAATCATTTACATGATTACGAAACGAAGGCACACGAACATTAATAACATTTCCAAAATAGTAATTATTTTTAACGATATTTAAAATTATAGCTGGTGGGACGCCCTGTAAAATGGCGCATTTTAATTTAAATCGAATGATTCAGAAATATTTTCCGTTTTTATTATCTATGCAATATACTTACGTTATATTGATAAATGTCATGGCCGTTTCAGTGAGTGTAATGTTTTCCACATATGTGACCAATTACTGCAGAAATTAAAAAAAACGCAATTTTTAAAAATGCTATATCTACTTAAATGTTCAAAATTCGGGAGAGCGTTTTAAAAAACATTTATTACACAAAAAGCGAAATAAAGTTTTATTTGGACTAGCCGATACAAATTAAGAGCACATTTTAAAATGCAACAATCGAATACATAATACTTTTAATGCGATGTCAGCGAGGTGGTATCTTCGCTTAGCTTTGGGCTTCGTCTGCTATTCGAGGCATATAAAAAAAAAAATATATTAAAAATATTGTTTCCAGTTCTTGACTGGCCACTTAACTTTCAGCAGATAGCTCAATTTGTGATACCTGTAAGAAAATTTAATATACGGATCGGAATTTTTGTATTACTTTTTATACCTGCCTGCATACTTGGTAGGCATTTTAATTCTTTTGGGTTAGATCGGCAAAGAACATTTTGTAAAACTACATTGGTTATTATTAGGACACCGCAGCTTGTTCGATGATACTCTGCCTTTTATTAACTTAAATTGTTCTTTCATTTTTCTTTAATATAAAGCAATGACGTGAGTTTTTTTTGTTGTTCATAGGAAAACCAAAATTAGTGATAAAAAATGATAAAAATATAACTCATACTTTTTACTATACAGGGTGTCCCGAAATTGGACGTCAATATTTTGACCACGTATTCTGTGACCCAAAATAAGGATAAAAATTTGTATAAACTAGGGTCCAAAACGTCTTAGTTTTTAACATACAGCATAGTATTGGATTGCCTTCGGAGGTGGTTACCACAGTTAATTTAATTTAATTACACGTTAAAAAGTTATGTGAACGGTATGATTTAATTCATTAATCATGATGGCGATGCTTATTTGGAAATTAGCCTTAATGCTGACGCCTTAAGAATAAGTGATTTTTTAAAAGATAGGTTAGGTTTTTTTTACTAATCATACAAAAATATCTCCCCGTGAACGAATGAATTAATTTAACAATAGCAGTGGTAAAATTGTAAAACAAAGGAAAAATGATATTACTTACTATTGATCGGGGTATTCCCGAGAGTCTGGAAAGAGTTCGAATACTCCTTGTCCAAATTATAGTTTCCCTGCGGTCTCCCCTGTCCACGATTACATTCAAATGATCCACGCTCAACTAAATGCCTATGTATATTAATAAAAACTCGACGATCAGGTACTGGACGATTAGAAAACCTTCTGCGATACTCTTGTACCGCCTACCCAGCTCTGCTATTGCAAAAGCCGTATACAAAATGAATATCTGCTAATTCTATATTTGAAAAGAACTCCATCAAATTTAATTTGCTTATTTTTCATCAACAATCAACCTTCTTTAAAATGTAAAGTTTATAATATTTATTAGAATAATTAGCTTTACAGTTAGTTTGATTTGTCTTGCGTTAATAAAACGATTTTTTGCCAACAATGAACAAAATTGAAAGCTGTCGTATAATTGACATTTCATTTTTATTTACCGAGCAACACAAGCAAATGAAACGTGTCATTAACTTCCAAGGCTTACTAATGATTATCTGCATCTCGATTGTAAAAGAAATAATTTGTAATTAAATTTTCAAAAGCATTTTTCGTGTGTTCTAGCGAGGTGCGACAAGGGTACCTTATTTACGTAGAAAAATTTTCACTCAAATTCTGCAGTCCAAATTATGAAAATTCGACAAACAAAAAATTTGGGGCAAAATTTTTCCCACGCGTACCCTGTGTTACCCACCCCTGAAGATAATCCAATACTAAGTTTTAGTTCGTTAAATAGGGCCTAAAAAGTTTAGTAACTGTACCAAATAATAACAGCTCAAATCACCCTTATACACACAAAATGGCTGCATTTCACTCTTTTACACACACACTTCTTAATACGCCACTCTCAACAGAAAATTACAACAAAGAACTTAATATCATTAAACAAATTGCACTGAACAACGGCTACAATCTGTCCATTATAGATAAAATTATAAATAAAAAACAAATCCCGATAACAGTAAACTCTATTTATCCGAAACCTAATACATTAATTACATACATAGGAAAACCCAGTGAAAAAGTTTCAAAACATTTGTCAAAATGTGGTTTAAAAATAGCTATCAGAACTAACAACACAATAGGAAAATTTTTAAAAAACAATAAAACGAAATGTCCAAAATTTAAAAAATCACGTGTCTACAGGTTGAAATGCGGATGCTGTCCTAAAATTTACATTGGACAAACAGATAGATCCTTCAAGAAACCCATTAACGAACCTAAAAGAACGTTGAGAAACAATAGACTAGATTCTAATTATGCTATACACTTAAACACAGAAAAACACATTTTTGACGACAATTCTGATATTTTACATACAGCCACAAAAAGTAGAAAATGGAGATTAACAAAATGAGATATTCATATGATTTGCTTAAAATTTAATTAGATTTAAATACCCCTCCATTATTAAACTTAAATTCTCACAACAACATTAATTAAGGTTTTATGGTCATTTTTCGGTATATATAGTAACAGGTAGTTTGTAAATATTACATTTGATTAACACACGGTCTTGTCGAAACAATTGTCATGTGAAACTATATAATTTCGTGAAAATCTGAACTTTTAGTTCTTATTTATTTTGTTGAATGGATTTTCATCAAGTAAAAGCCACCTCATTTCAATGTACCAAATTTTATTTAAAAATATTTACGTCTTTCAAAAATATTTACAAAAAATCGCCATCACCTCTTCAAATTTAACAACCCGTATGTTCAAAACTAAGACGTTTTGGACCCTAGTTTATATGAACTTTTATCCTTATTTTGGGTCACAGAATATGTGGTTAAAATATTGACGTCTAATTTCGGGCCACCCTGTATACTTACCTATAGTTATACTTTAATTAAAATATTGAATAATTTTGGAATTTAAATTGATTCATTTTGGCATCGAACATTTTCAACAAAGATAAGAAGGAACAGTCGAACAATTCGTGACTACTTCGACGGGTGGTAATTTCCGACGGGCATAGGTTTTATCTGTTTTTACCGGGAATATTAAATCGGCTTCAGACTTTGACATCGTGGGCGACGGATTCCGCACTTAAGTGTAAACAAGAGTTACTGATTTCTGTGTCTATGCAACCGAATTTTTATTTTGTTTCGATAGTATAACAATAAATAAATATTGTTTAATGCTAAATTAGGCTACATTTAATAAAATACGAAACTCCGAAACAAAGATTAAAAAATAAAAGGAAAACACTACCAACACTATACGAAACTATATTTTTGAAAATGTTTATAATTTAATCTTTTTTGTGATAGTATTAGTTAAAATAGGCATGATAGTTAAAAATTATCTTACTCTGCCTTATGTTTCGGGCATAGAAGAAAGACTGTTTATTCTTTGCTATTATAGCCATCGATGTACACTACATATCCATTTTAAGGCACAACAATTAGAGCGGCAATGTTAGAAACGCAAACGGAGACTGGTTCTTCTTATCTTAGTTGATGTTCAGTGCTGGTGCATGGTGCCAAAAAAAACTTATGTTTCAGGAAGTTATTTAGATGTGCGACAAACGGCATACGTGTGTATCGGGTTTCCCGTAATCTTCATAATCCTTCTGTCTCTGATGCCCGAATCTCCGTATTTTTTCATAAGAAAAGGCAACTACGAAGCTGCGAAATCGACAATGAAGTGGCTCCGGCGGTCAGAAAACATCGACGACGAATTCGGCAAAATGAAAACGGAAGTCGAACGGCAAATTTCCGAATCCGGCAGTTGGAAAGATCTGATTACCATTCCCAGTAATAGAAACGCATTGATAGCCGGCGTGTTTCTACGTTTTTCACAACAATTTTGCGGCATAACGATCTTTTCGACTTACTCCCAGGCAATATTCGAAAAGGCCGGTGGAAGCGTGAGTGCGAGCACATCGGCGATGATATTCTCGGGATTATGTTGGGGTTTAAATTTTTGCCTTTTCGGTGCGGTGGAAAAATTCGGCAGGAGAATGACATACATGTACTCTCTGTTGAGTTCCGCCGTTGTATTGTTTGTGGTGTCCGCGTATTTGTTTATCGAGCAGCACGATTTTTTTGACGTAAGCGCCGTAAAATGGTTACCGCTGGCCGGGATGATCGTGTATATCTTTTGCTATTCCTTTGGTTTGGGAGTGGTGCCGATTATAATGCTCGGCGAGCTGTTTTCAGCTAGCATCAAAGCCAAAGCGTTGTGCGTTTTGAATATCGTATTCGGTTTGGGCATATTTATCACGACTTACTTGTTCCACATTCTCAATAACAATGTCGGCCTCTATTGCCCGTTTGTTGTATTTTCCATAGCCTGCTTTATTTCTTCGGCACTCACTACCTATTTTGTCCCCGAAACCAAAGGCAAAACTCTCGATGAGATTAATCAAATGCTTAAAGGACGCTCTTTTAATGCGAATAAATAAAACATTTGAACCATTGTCCGTAATTTTAATAAATATAATAAATCATAATGATATTAACAAATGAACGAACCGTCTCAAACAATCTTCTGCCGAAAAGCATTGTCACCAACCATCAATTGAAGATGGCAATACCTTTTGCGTTAGAATTATTGTACGTGCCCCGCCGCATGTCGTGAGAAACAATTGAGTAACCTGCATTTGCCTGATTTTTACAAACACCGGCAATTATAATCAATGTTGAAAGTTTGAACATTATCTCAAAAAGTAATTTTGGCACATACCCCCTTTGGCATTTCCACGCTTCATTTACTGACTTGTGAAGTAATCACGTATTGGTCTTGATAGACTACAAACACATTTACCTACTAGCGACGGCGTTCTGGACTCTATGGATCTACCTTAAACCGACTGATATCCCAGCATATACGAAGATAGATAAAGGGCACACCACAAAAATAAATACGCAATCTCAAAATTTCGCAGTTTTAAAATTACGTGTTTCAAGTCGAAAATGTAACTTATTCTTGTTTTATCTCCAAAGTTTCTTACTTCCAGGGTGTCCCAATAGTGTGTCGTCAGTTGAGATAAACGAGTGGGCTATAGAAAATTAGTATATTATGCAACAAGTGTGGTAAACCGCATTTGAATCACGAGTTTATTTGGCACGAGCTAAGCGAGTGTTTAATAAATGAGTGACTTAAAAAGTTTACCAAACGTGTTGCATTTTTCTACGACCGTTAGTTTTTGCAAAACAACACGAAGAAACGTCAAAATTCAAGCCGTACGGTAAAATCTCCGAAAACATCCATTGCTCTCAAACCCGTGGGGTAATATCTCGGAAATGTCCGAAGTGCCTCGGATCCACAAGACAAGAAACTCACGTGGTAAAGTGACGCTTCCCGTACGCTAGATTGGTGTATATTTAGGTACTTTTTCTACTCCCTTCTGTAAAATTCCTAATTATACAGCGATCTAGCGTGCGGGAAGAGTCACTTTATTACGTGAGTTTCTTTTTCCACGGATGCCAGCCCATTCGAATATAGAACAAGTATAGGATGCAAGAGTTTTGGTAAACTTTTTTTTCTACTTCTTCTGTAAAATGCCTAATTATACGCCAATTTAGCGTGCGGAAAGCGACACTTTATCACGTCAGTTTCGTTTCCCAGAGATCCGAGCTACTTCGGACATTTCCGGGATTTTACGGCACGGGTTTGGGAGCAATCGGATATTTTCCGAGATATGTCCACGCCTTGAATTTTGACGTTTGTCAATTCTGACGGTCACGTCAGTGAATGTATTCGTGTTGTTTTGCGAAAATGTATCCAAAAACTAACGGTGGTAGACAAAAGTATAGTATGCAACACGTTCGGTAAACTTTTTAAGTAACTCGTTTATTAAACATTCGCCCCGCTCGTGTCAAATAAACTCGTGAGTCAAGTGATGTTTACCGCACTTGTTGCATAATATACTATTTTCTACTCCCTTCTGTGAAATAGTCAATACATACATCATACATCGATCTAGCGTGACTTTACGACGTAAGTTTGTTTCACGCGGATGGGAGCAATCGGATGTTTTCGGAGATTTTACCGCACGGATTGAATTTTGACGTTTATCAATACCGACCGTCATGTCAGAGAATTTATACGTGATGTTTTGCAAAAATGTACCCAAATACTAAGGTTCGTAGAAAAAGTATAGTATTCAACACGGTTGGTAAACTTTTTAAATACCTCGTATATTAAACACTCGCTTCGCTGCGTTCCGCTCGTGCCAATAAACTGGTGACTCATATGCCGTTTACCGCATTTGTTGCATAAAATACTATAAGTCACTCCTTTTTTAATTCGTCACTCAAATGCCGTTTACCGCATTTGTTGCATAAAACACTATAAGTCACTCCTTTTTTAATTCGTAACTCAAATGCCGTTTACCGCACTTGTTGCAGAATATACTATTACAGAAGGGATTAGAAAAATGTATAGAGAATATTCTAAAAAAGTTTTTTCTACTCCCGTCTGTAAAATGCCTAATTACAACTGATCCAGAGTGCGGGAAGCGCCACTACCACGTCAGTTTCGTTTCCATGATTCCGAGCCACTTCCAACATTTCTGGGATTTTACCACACGGGGTTGGGAGCAATCGGATGTTTTCGGAGATATTTCCCACGCCTTAAATTTTGACGTTTGTCAATTCTGACGGATATGTCAGAAAAACTAATACACAGAAAAATATGCAATATCAAACAATTTAAATACTACCTGCTATAAGCTACAATTAAAATGTAGCGAACTAGTCAGTAACTACAATGACATTTATAATTTAAGTTTCCCACAGAAATTTTACTTACCGTTCACATGAACTTTGGTGTTTTTTTACAGGTTTTATATTAATATTTTGCCAAGACCAATTGTAAGATTTTCAAATATCCATGTCTAATCAGTACAAACAAAACAAAATTGAAGATTAGGACCTGCTTTTTCTTGTTTGTACGATGTTAAAAATGTAATCCTCTTAAAACCCCTATCCTTGGATGATTTTTCTCCCTCGTTTATTGAACACCCCTCCTCTCGTGTCAAATAAACTCGTGAGTCAAATGCCTTTTACTGCACTTGTTGCACAATATACTAATACCTTGTTATATGGTTGCTGCCATAAATTTTAAATATATTTAATATAGAATTATACCGTAGGTAAACCTAATAGTTTTTTAATTTTCGCTATTTTGCAAAAATTATAGATGAATTACAAAGGTCTTATGATAAATTTTATGCACGATTTGTTTTTAGATGGAGAAATATGATTTATGACAAATATATTATAGACACAACGACTTAACTCCTCACGTACATATGATATACAAGCCATACAGAGTGTCCCAAATTGTGTAATTTTTTTAAATAAAAATGGAACATTCAACACAAACAATTTGACACGGGACGATAACAACACTGTTGCATTCTCAAAGCCAGGAACGTCATCTGTTAAATTACGGGGTGCAAAAATTTTAAGTTAAACCCCATTAATTCGTTTTATTCTACGTAAAAATAATATTAAGTCATGCACCTCTGATGTTAACATGTGCAACTTTCTAATTTTCATGCACAAACGAAATTTTTGTTTGGATATGATTTAACCTAGTGATAAGTTTTTATTTAAAAAAAATACATTTCTCAACGTGGGGACCAAAATAAATGTTGCTAAATTGCACATCTAACAATTTTAAAGGAATATAGGACTATACTTGTTCTATATATGTACTTGTTAACACTATAATCTGAAGCAAATTAGTTTGAGTTTTGAATTTATATTATTGCAATGTTACTAGGTAAAATAATAAGTGCTTGGATTTTTTTTCTCCAAATTTTTGGAGCACTTCGTCTGGAATGCCATTCGTTATAATGAGTATTTTTCCATAAAATTATATGATGTAATTTCAACACGTGTATACAGGCTCTTAATTATCACATCTTTCCTTCAATACTTCATTATGGTCAACAAAACTTGGCATTTTGAATGACTTTTGTTAGTTTGGGTTAAAATCTCAAAAATCAAAAAGTCAAAATTAATTAATTTTAAGTGTTTCAATTTAGTTGGTTTGCATATTGGCTGCAAAATTTTAAATTTAATACCAGGCTTAAAACTCTAGTTGCACCTAATTATAAGGCCTGTATCAAATAAGCTTGAATATTCAGTTTAGAAGCAATATGGGAAATCTTAATGCTATAAGGGATGACCTAGCACCCAACACCAATGTTTATTTCTCTGATCTTGCCCATTACAAACTAGTCATAGTATTCATTGCCAAGTACCCTGTACGGTAGCTTGGTGGCAGCACAAGAACAGGATAAGGTTATGGGGAAAAATAATTCGGATTACATCTTTCTGTATATTTCGCATTCAACAAAATATACATAACTATCTAATAAATAGATTAGTTTTGACACATGCGTTAAATAAGTTATCAGACATTTCAATAATTTCTTCATACCTTTCACAGTGTTTTAAAATGGACTCATTGATAGACGGCTGCCCTAAATATGCACCGGCTATAGCTCCAGCCATACAAGCAATAGTGTCTGTGTCACCCCCTAATGATATGGCATATTGTATAGTTCGACGAAATATGTTGCTGGTATCAATATTTGGGATCATTTTTTGAGCCCGAAGAAAACAGTAAATTGCAGTTGGAACAGATTCATAAGCACTTATACCATTACCTAAAGTAAGAATTACCATATCATCTAAATCATCTGAATGTTCCTTGTCAAGTAAACTCATAATCCTCTGCAGTTTTTCTTGATACGCAGTTGCAAACTCGTTATCATCATCCTGAAAATCATCTTCCACAACTTTAATTTTTTCACTTAAGTTGTCCAAGAACTGTTTGGAGTCAACAGACCCTTTAGTTGGATCTATCAATAGACTTTGGTGTATAGCTAAGCATTGCAATATAGCGCCATTTATCCCTAAAACATTACTATGTGTAATCTTGGTTGACTCACTAGCAACTCTAACCATATTCTCATAATCACTGTGATAAAACAGTGCAATTGGTGCTATACGCATTGCTCCACCATTTCCATAGGACCCCAATCCACCAAATTGTTTTTGTGCAGGTTTGAAAATGTCCTCATATTTACTATTTTTCAATTTTCGAAATACGTTAACAACATTCTGTCCATAGCCCCGTCCAGGAGATTGAAAAAATTCTTCAACAAACAACTTGGCTATATACCTATAATCTCCATCAGGTTTTTCAACTAAGAATTTTGCGACAGACTTCATCATAGCTGTATCATCTGTGTACTTTTTAAAAGGAGACTTAAATTCTGGATCTTCCAGTTTATCTAAGTATCTTTGAAGGATCACTTTGCTGATGAACTCTTGGCTTTCAAAAGGTGCTCCCAAACAGTCACCCAATAAAGAGCCCAACATTGCACCTCTAAATTTACCCTTTAGCAAAACATCCACCATAATTGAAGACGAAAAGGTTCTGTAACAAATCATTCTACTTAATAAACGTTTTTATAAAGCACCCTATTTTTAAACCATAGATTAAATTTATGTTTTATAATACTTAACAGTAATATACCAAGAACTAACTCTTCCAACTATCGTTCTTCTGTTGTTCCTCTTAGTTTCTGGTCAAAACAAAACACAGACCACAACCAAAAGGCACAGAATACAAAATAGACATTGCTAACCTAACTCTAAGATATAAAATCATAATTTAACACTAATAACTACTCAACTTTATTTTAATCTTTATTGAACTTAAAATCATTAACATTCTCCCACAGGATCTTAAAATCTAACCACTACTACTCTACAACACAACATTGCCATCACCGACTGAGTAATAATAAGTAAACCGGCATGATTTTTGAAAGGCAACTGAAGCGGACTGTGGTTGGATTGGAGTTACTTCCAATGAACACGGCTACAATAGGTCATTTGGCCTAAAGGATGCCCTGTTAAGAGAAGGATCTGGACCACTCCATCACCCTCCAGGTTAATTAACATATACAAAATGGAATTTCAACAAAAAAAAGGTTCTTTGACCGATAGCATAAAACCGCTTCCCCCGCTATCCCGATGGACCAACCGGTCCCATCCGGTCTCTATACCGGCGTGAACAGGAAAAAAATAGCGGGGCCGACAACAATTACAACATTAAAACATTCACTAAAAAGACCTAATCCACACAGTGGAAACCGATTTCAAAATTTTTGAGAAGAAATACAATGGATTCTGGGAGCGACCGGAGGTTAAACCGCCATGTGCAACGCTCACGACAGAATCCGGACTGTTAATGAACGTTTTCTACAGAATCATTACATATTTTCTTTGCGCCCTCAAACAATGTGTTGAAACGAAGAAGAATACTGGACTTTTTACACATGCCAGTTATTCTATGCCTTAATTTTCAGAGTATACCTAAATTTTCTTGATATATTTTGGATTATTTAATGATTTAAATGCAATGCATTTAAATTGCTATTATTTACGTTTGTATGGATCTAATTTGCCTTTATTTATAAAGTCCTTTATATGCGTTTTCCCTTTTTAAAAACCTAAACAGAAAGTGCAATTAGTCATCAAGGATGGCATTTTGAAAACCTTAGCAAGTTACTGACTTTAATTTATTTTCTTATAATAAAATGGCAAAAAACTCACAGGAAATAATTTTTGAAGGTTGGTTGACAAAATCTCCGCCGACAAAACGAATTTGGAGAGCGGTAAGTCCCACTTTTATTAAAGATTGGTCTTATCAGTGGTTAGGTATGTGCTATTGTTATTTGGAATTAATGAATCATTCTTTAAATAGCTTAATAGAAACGTATGACTCCAAGTTTATGTGTTTTTCAGAGGTGGCGAAGGAGATGGTTTTTGTTAACACACACTGGTGAACTACCTGGGCAATATATTTTAACATATTATACTGATAGAAACTGCAGAAAATTGAAGGGTGTGATTAATCTTGATCATTGTGAACAAGTGGACTTAGGATTGAAGTTGGATGAAAGAAATTTAAAGCTTGATCATGTCTTTGATATTAAAACACCAAATAGAACTTATTATTTAGCTGCTGATACAGAGGAAGAAATGAAATCTTGGGTAACATGCATTTGTAAAGTGTGTGGTTTAAAATCTACTAGTGAAGAAGACGATGGTAAGTTAAATAGGATTTTTGTTTGTGTCAAATCTCATGAAATATGGTTAATCTACCATAAGAATCCAAAATCTTGACATTTTCAAATGGTACATTGATTTTCTAACACACTTTTGCGTATTTAGTTAATAAACAAAATTTCAGTTTTTTCATATATTGTTTTGTTTGTTTGTTGTATTGTTTTTATATATTGCTTTACATATTTATTGGATACAGTAAAACTAATTTGACTTTGCACTAATAAACAAAAATATGATTTAATATTTTCAAATAAAAGCAAATGTAAAGGGTATAAATAGTTTGTAGGAACCAATATATCTATTTTTTTTGCATCAAATGCTTCCCTTAGGAGATACATAAAAAAAAAGTTTTTTTAAATATATTAGTCTTAACATTTGCAGTTGGTGTTTCAATGAATATTCCTTCAGACATTGAAGTTGTAGAGGAAAATATTGATGAAAAGTTCAGTAATGCTCAAGAAACTCCACCAATATCTCCTGTAAGTACAGGACCATATATTCCAATATCAGAATGTTTTACTGGAAAGTCACCCGTACTTGATCCAAAGGTAAGCATAGTTTAATTAGTGTACTAATTAACAATTAAATTGGCCCTTGTAGGATTTTAAAACCTTATTTGAGTACAATAGAAAAAACAGCTTGCTGCGTTACCAAACACAGTCACAGGCTAGTGAAATATATGAGTTCCCACATAGAACATACATAAACTATGTAAATGAATTTCAAGACCCTAGATTTTATGATAGCCCTCGGCAACTCATACCCGCAAATCTAACTAGAAGTGTCAATGCAATAGAAAAGCGAGATGACAATCATTCTCCACTGCAAAGCCCCACTGATTCGGATAGTGTCTTTAATGATGAGGACTGGATTCATACAGCTTATGATTCAAGTATAAATCCAACACTTGTTGTCTTACATGTCTTATGTGCAATTAACATCTAATTTTAGATAGCTTAACAAAGGCTCGTCCATCTGATAGTTCAGCTGACTTGGAAATATCAGCCACTCAGAAATTTACTAAGGTTGTTGACAGCAAAATATTACCACCACCGAGACCACCCAAGCCTCCTCATATCACACCCCCCTGTTATCTAAATCTAACACTCACCACAAAACCAAGGTACTTTGTTGATTTGAAAAGAATTAATGTTTGTTTGTCTATTTAAATTCATTTTGTTGCAGTAAAGAAATGGAAATTGAAGAGAAATTGCAGAAAGAACAAGTAACAAAATTAATTTATTTACCTTTGTTTTTTACCAAAATATGCTTTTTAGAAAATTATTACAGATGATATGTATGACTTTCCAAGATCTCATAATATCGAAAATGAATCTCTGAAAACCCGGAGGCACTGCTACAACAATGCAGCACCTGTACGCTGTATGGATGGGACAATTTTTCGATATGATGTGTCTCCTAAACCAAGTACCAGTACCTCTGTAAGTTAATGTTATTTTATATAGTTATTTAATCATTTAACCAATTTTTTAAAACAATTAAAAAAATACATTTGTAAAAATAATTTATGTCCTCCAGTCATAAATTGACATTCACATAATTTTAAAAATATGTAATTTTTATTTATTCTGGCAATAAATTGAGTGATAATAATTATTTTTGTAGGTATTTCGATATGATCTTGAGGCAATGCAAGCTATGGAACCTTCATCACCTGCCCATTCTCACACTTCTTCCAACCCCGCTTATTCCAACCTACCAAGTCCTTCATTTATTGAGACCCCTTTGATGCCCCCCCCAGCAATAAACCGGGAATTGAAACCAAGACGAAAACTGTCAGATAGTCATTCTACCGGCTCAAATCCAGAGCCACCATCCCCTAGAAATGCACCTTCAGTGGACAGAAAACTTAAGCCTCCAACACCTTTACAAGTACAGTTTATACAATTAAAATTAATTATCATTACAATAACTATATTAATGTTTAGGAGGCAAATATGAGAAAATCATTTCAAAAATCGGATGAGGAGGGAACACGCAAATTAAGAGCAGCACCCAGTCCTGTTCCTCCGACTTTTAAGACTTCTGTGGAAGATTTGTATCAAAACCAAACAGAATCTTACCACTACATAGCAGGGAAAATGCAGTATTTGGACCTAGATTTGGAGGGTATGCTAAAAAACGAGTCCCCTTTTTTATTTTGATATACCTTATTAAAAAAATTAAAGAATATAATATTATACTAACATTAAATAGAAGGTTTTGTTTTGAAGACATTTTATTTCCTTTTAGGTTCGTCTTCTGTGAATTCAACAAAAACGTTACCACGTGCTCAAGAAAGCGATACAGTTTACAAAAAAGTTGATTTTATGAAAACACAAGCTTTCAATATAACCAGAAATAACTTGGAGAAAGAAAGACAGGAACCTGTGACAACTTTTGTAAAGAAGTAACTTATTTATTCTTATGATATGAGAGTGCAACTTTCTTTTGCATACTAAGAACCGCTTTAATACAGGGTGTTATTTAAGTAAGTAGCTAAACTTCAATAGATGGTTCTTTGCTTAATTTTAATGCGAAAAGCTCATATGTAAGAACTTTGAGATCCCCCTTTCAAAATTTTATTTCTTTTTTTTTTTTTTCGAAAATATCGATTAACCCTCGAATCGACGTGTAGTGCCCTTCTTTATCACAATTTTAAATTATTAGGGCTAGGCAGCTTTTGTTTTAGGTATGAAAAATGACCTCTACCACTGATAACACAATTTCTTTACTCGAAGGGGTTTATATTGCATAAGCGGTGCTATATATCTATTAGATAATATATATTTTCGTACAGAGGGGAATGGACCTTCCCCGCATGCCCCTAAAATTCACCCACTATCGTACACTTTCTGTCATTTTCTTCCAGGCAGCGATCTCCACATGCTTAACTGTTTTTTTTTAAAAAAAACTGTAGATCTGAAAAACTGTCAGTGAGCATATCTCATTCGTTACCCACTAGTACAAGATCATTTAGGGCACCACTACAACAAAATAATGCACTCAGGCAGGGTTACATGTCGAGTCTATCACCAATGATGTGACTCTTGGAGACCTTTTATATTTTATTATTTTGGGTTTGGACCAATTAGATAGATTTAAAGCTATAAGATCTACTATATCTTAACCCGTTATTGACCGAGTTTTAAGAATTGAAAATATCTGTTATGCTCAAGTTTTGCAAATCTTTTAAAAAATAAAATTTTTGGAAAATATAGCAAGAGCAAAAATTGTTTTTTGCCTTTTTAAGTGTTTTTTCTATAAAAAACACTTAACACTTAACTGGAACACCCGCATGAATGGGTACAGTAAAACCAAAACAAATTTTAAATGAATAATTTTAATTAAATTCAAAAAAACATGAAACTAAGCATCAGGAACATGATAAGTTTTAAAACAAGCTTCATGTAAGTTGATATCACACTTCTCACACATTATAGTTGAGTTTTTATGGCAAAGGGCGCACGTGGTCTGTTTTTTAGCTGGAATAATCCAGTGATTCAAGCCAGCATACCTAATGTGGTTGAAATTTCTCGAATCTAATGGTTTTGATGTCTTTGGATGTCCTCCAGCTAAAATTGGTCGTCCATATTTTTTTTTAAATAGACCTGAACTATTTCTCGCCGAAATTGTAAAAAATCAACTCTTTCGCAATTTGATTGGAGTCTACTTTTTAGAACCAATGCTTATGCAATAATTGTGGATGTTTTAGTCCATCCGGTCCACTCCACCCATATATTTATTATATTGGTCTATTACAAATGACTGAGGAATAGGACTTTTTTTCTCAGTGGAAATCAAGCGACCAACTTGATAAATGGGATTTGCTTGATCACAACTACTGACAGTTAAAACTGAACGATTGTCATTCCAGAGGGTTACCGTTATTTGGGTATTTATATCTGTGCAAAAATCAAAGCTACCCCTTTGACATTGGACGATTCTCCAACCTGTTTGCGTTAATTGTTCCTGTATATCCTATTCCCTTATTTTATAGATGAAAAATATCTGTCGCCATATATTTTGAAAGGTAGATTTTTTTGTTGGTTTTTGTAAAAGAGTCGTTACCACAGATCCTCCTAATCCTAGTTCCATGTATCGCCTGCCGGCTTGTATCCCTTGATATGGAAGAAATTGAATTAGGTATCCAGATTTTTCACGCAATGACTATATTTTGTAACCATACCTAATGGATTTTTCTTTTATATATTGTTTTGTCCCGTGCCTTCCAAAGTATGGGACCATACTTTCATCGACACACAATTACCCGTTGAGAGCATATTGAAAAGTGGTTGTAACTTGGCAAATTTATTATTAGGCTCTAAATTATTATTATCAGCACAATGTGTAAATTTTTTCATAGTCTCAAATCTATTCCTGCGCATTGCGTTAGCTACTAATGGATTGTATGTATCAGTATCAACTTCCCAAAGCATACGCCATCTTGGAATTTGTAAATGACCTCATAAATGAAATGCAATGAAACATTTAATTTCTCCTGTATCAGTACTAAAATCATGATCGCCTTTTTTGCCTAGCATATAATTCAAACATTTCTACCAAATAAATTGAAGTATTTGTTCGTCAAAAAATGATTCAAAACAGGCAATAGCACTGTACTCACATTAGTTCGAGTAATTAGCGTATTTTTGCTATCATCACTTGCATTTCCGTCAGATAGTTCGGGAGAACGAATTTCATAATTTGCAATACCTGAGGTTCCTGCCTGTTGAATGATTGAAAAGCTGTCGTTATTTTCCTCTTGTTCATAATCTCCAATGGAAACTACTTCATTGATATTTTTAATTGTTGCGCAAGCTTCAGATTGCATTTGACGTCCACTAAGGTGATTTACATTGGCAGTAGGGGACTCATCATCATCAGTGTTCCTCTGTTCCAATCCGTCATTTGGGGAGTAATAAACACATCCGCTTGCCAAAAATCCTCAGTTTCAACTAAATCAATTAGTGCTTGAGTCGTATAATACCTTAAATAAAAATTAAAAATGACGTACCCATTTGTGCTCGGTGTTGTATAGGAACAAATCAAATATGTCAAAATAACCTAGTGAATTTTTATTATATATTCAAAAGCATGAAAAAAGTGTTAAACCATATTACATGCAAGCCTTTTTTTCAAATATAATAATTTTAAGACGAATATTACAACAATTATACTTACTTTTCTGATGTCAGATTGAGAGATTCCAAAAAAATATACAAAATTGCGAAAAAAACGGAGAAAATGTCACACCGATGCACAGTGCACCGGTTCTTACGCTGGGTACAACATTACTAAAAGGTGCCATTTGAACAGAGGGGAGAAACGTAGTTGTTCCAATATTGGAACACCAGGCCAATACCAACATTTCCAATATTGGAACACCGGTAAAAATGGGTTAAAATGAAAATATAATAATAATAACTTAAGGCCCATAAATTTTTGTGTAAAAGCATAAAAAGTTCAAATTGATATTTTAATATTTTATTACAATTGCAAAATACTGTTAAATTAACCACGATGGAACCTTATTACTAATATAAAATTAAGAAATTAAGGTAATTTTGATTGCTTCTTACTTACATTACGCAACTCAAAGAAATATTTCATGAATAAAAATTTACTTTGCAAAATGCACTTCTTACCGATGGACCAACAGTTTTTAAATGAAATGATAATATAGAATTAATCCGACCTTGAAAATGCGTCAGCGCTGCCATCTACCAATAAAACTCTGGACCAACCACCAAAGCATTTTAAAATGGAACAGGCCGAAAATCGTGTCGCAATGGTACAATAGAAAGCACCCTGTATATATAGAATTTAAACCATTTATAAAATCTGCAACCGCAATTAACGTTAGACATTAGAGCAACAGAAAGTTGCTCTTTCAAATTGATTTAATCAATCGCCTTAATCGTGTGCAATTTCGTATATTGTGCCTATCATAATGACAATACAATTCTCATTTAGTGTAGTTTCCTATTTTTATGAGTGTAAGTGCATTTTTATCATCTCCTAACAATCAAAAAATGTTAATGTTTTGGTTAGTTCAAATGTCAAGCCGATTTTTGAGACACGTTTTTTGTGATTTCATTTTATGTAAAATACATTTATATAGGGCGAGAGTCGCAAACATTGGGAAAAACGAAAAAGCGCTCCGGTCGCATAAAATATATATTACAATTATTCTTTAAAAAAAGGTCTAACCATATAATTTTTTCTATTATCTCTTTCTCTTTTACAATTGTGTTGATGTTGTTGTGACTCATCTTGTATATTGTCTGTGCAAATATTTAAATAGAGTCATTATTTAAACCTAAAAAATAAGGGAATCTAGCAATTGCATGCGGTTCTAAATGTATTTTACAGGATGTTCTTGCGATTCTTCAGTATTGTTATGATCTCTACCTAACATCTACAAAAAAGTGGCTTTTCCAATAAATTTCTGTGATATGCATCTTTGCTTGCATTTCTTCTTAAATCGAAAATATAAAATTATTTAAGGACTCAAATGGATTGCCCCCAAAAATATTTTCACACATAGACTTTTAGGTTAAAATTAATATGTATATTTTTCTGTAAGAGCCAATTAGAATATTTTCTCTAACAATAGGTTTCTCTACCCCTTTATATTGTTATATCAGCTTTAAAGATCGCTCAGAGGCCATTTTTAAATATTTAAACAAAAATTTGTTTATATTATATTGTATTATTTTTATATTTGTTCATATGTATTGTGTAACATTTTATAGAGTTTAATTCATGTTATCGAGCATTTACATTGTACCTATTTTTTTACAATATTAAAATAAAATCCAGAAGTCGTTAGTCAACTTTGTTACGCCTTATTATATTTTTGATCTATGGAACAAATGTTTAGGATAGGTCTTATAATACCTAAATTATGATTGTATGGGTGAAATTCAAAAAGTTATGACAAATTTTCAAATGTTAGAGTAAACAAAAAAGTATCAGTATTAGTTAGGTTTATTCGTAATGGAAATTGCATTCTATTAAGAGCTAAAATTATTCCTAAGCGAATGACGCTATACGAATAATTCGAGAAGTTAGAGAACGTCACTGGCAGAAATAAATTGAAATGTGAAACGTTCCTTTTTTCACTTACCATTTGATTGCACTTTTGTCCATAGCATGGGCGAATAATCATGGCAATTTTGCCCAACGTCCTATAAAAGGTAATATCTTGCATCGTGATGGCTCGCTTCTTGATTGGCAGTTGTGATTGTTGATAAACAAGAAACAGCTGAGAAACGGTACAGTTGGTTTTAAAAAAGTTTCAAAATTTCTGTTAAAATTGTGGCTCACTCTTAATTAAGGGTGGGCATATGTTTTTGAGCAACAGCTTTTGTCGACTACCCAGGAATAGATATGGTAAAGCAAGCAAGGAAGTAATTTTGTAACCTTGAAAACTTTCCAATTTCTTTGTGTTGCACAATTCCGTCGGATACAAAAATAGTTCGGTGACCTGATTTAATTATTCGCTCGTATTATTTTTGACTGTGATTTGGAATTAGTTTGTTTTTACATAATGAGTAACGAGCGAAATGCTCCAAGTCAACCTCAAGACACGGGAGGGCCTGCAAGGGTAAGAACTACAAGCGAGTGTTCATATACTAGTGACGATGGAATTGCTTCTGCTTTCACTGGTAAAAGGTAATTTTTTTAAGTAGTTTGGTGAGCCCAGTTAACCAATTACTGTGCACTAGGCTGGACACTAATAAATTGAATTTGTTACATTTTGACATTGTGTCAATAAAATACTGGTTCCTTTAATATTTTCATTTTGTATATGATCACATTACTACTGAAGTGAAATCCCAGTCGGTACAGTTCTAATGGTTAATCCGGCACTACTTAATAATATAGAATATCTTTAAATTATTCATAGTTGCTCTTTTAATAGATATTTTAATGGAGATGTTCTCAATCTTAATCGGTATGTTTTTATCAGCTGTATGTTTGTTTTGTGTGTTTTTAACTAGAGTTAACAGCAAACAGATTTATTACACAGCTTTTTTCATAAAATTCTTGTAGGCAGAGGACAACATCTCAAACATTTATGGTTACAAGCGGAATGACTGCAGCATCTCCACCCAAGTTTGTTTCTCTGGAGGAAATCATGCAAGCTGCTAATGGATTGAGGGATATGAATCTCGTTCATCAAATTGTAGTTGATGAAAATTTTCGATTAGAAAAAGCTGATCCAGAACCAAACACTGTGCAAAAGGTTATAAAGGATACAATGAATAGGGCATTTTGGGATGTTCTCAGGTCTCGATTAGCTGATGATCCTCCAGATTATACTCAGGTGAGTACTACTTCATTCTTGTTTAGTACTTTTTGATTTATAAGCCACTTTATAACATTGGCTCACTCAATAAAAGCTGTATGTGCTTGTCCTTGCCTTATTTGGATGCAAGGTTACTGTGTTGCAAGTTATTAATAATAAAGAACAGTTTTTTAAAAAGTTAATTAGATGTGTGGTTTTTACAATTTTTATTGTAATCGTTTTTTTAGAATAAGTTATTTACAGTAATTTTAAATTTTACAGTGCGCTTCTATCTATGTTAGTAACTGCGGAATGTTTTAATATTAATTGAATTATTAAATTAATATTAATTTTTAGGCGTATGTTTTATTTGAGGAAATTAAGCAGGGATTATTAGATCTTCTTCTACCTCAGCATACAAAAATCAAGCAGCAAATATGCGAGGTGCTCGACCTTGAACTTATTAAGCAGCAAGCGGAAAAAGGTGTTTTAGATTTTAAGGTAAACATCATAAGTAAATCATTAATATGATCTTATTGATAAGTTTATTTCTTTATAGAACTTATTCTGTTTTGTCAACTTTTCAAGAATTAAGATAATGAGTGTTAATATTGAAGTCAAAAACAGGTGTGGGTAATTAATTGATGAAAATACCCTTATAAATTTAAGCTCTCATTTATTATTTATCAAATTTTATACTGAATGTGAAGGGATATTGTGACAAATTGTCTAAAGCAAGTTTGATCAAACTGACTTTCATATTTTAGTATTATGCCCAATATGTAATTTCTATTATGGCTAAAATGTGCGCTCAAGTTAGAGATGATAAAATCAGAAAGTTAACCGAAACCACAGATGTAGTTGATACATTTAAAGGCATTCTAGAGGTAAAGTTTTACTGTATTTTTGGGAAAAGTGATATATCTTTGGTTTGTTGTTAGATGCTTGAACTTATGCAACTAGATATGGCCAATTTTACATTGCAAATGATAAGGCCAGATATTATTAACCACAGCGTGGAGTTGGAGAGGGAGAAATTTGCAAACTTCCTTAAAGTCCAAACAGGTATGTTTTATTTTCTCGCACAAAAATAGTTCAGCCAATGTTAAAATTTCATGAAGTATAAAGTCATTTAAGTTGAATTTTCTGTGGTTTTTATGGTTTTTAATATACTAACATTGTTCCATTGAATGGCCTTGATTCATTAAATTTCTGCCTCCACAAAAATGTGCCAAAACATTCACGAAAATGGTTAAGATTCAAAGTATTTACCTTAAATATAATATATAATTTAATGAAAGTGCAACTTTGGACTATTTGGTAGACTGATGCAATACAATCTTTTAACAGGTCATCTGTTTGTGGTTTTTCATTGCAGAATGTAAAAAAAAACAATATTATGCAATTGTGTCCTGCTCAAAGTGCTTAAATTATAGCATAAGGTTTGCTTTTAGCAAATAATAAAATAACCTTTTCGCCCTTTTGGATGTTTGATGTTTAACTTAATAAATATTTTCCACTGTGCTTATAATTTGATTAATTTTTTTATTGCTGCTGAGAAGCTTTATCTGTTGGCTTCATTTTAGATGGACTAGAACACACAAAAAAATGGCTGCTGAAATATGTCAACACTGAAATTTCATTACCAAAAGATGTAGAGTATGATAAATTCATAAGGACATTCTCAAAAAGAGCATTCTGGCAAGCTTGTACTGACCTGTTAGACTGGGATAGATCTCAGCCTTACCCAGAAACATTTATTTTGGACGAAGATCGTCTCTATGATCTGCAAATTAGAACCTTCCGTTTAGTGGCTTGTGCCACAATTCTGTTGGTTACATTAAGTAATGCGGGTGCTGATTTACAATCAATTAGCGCATTCAAATATGAATTGAAGGAACATATTTCAATTTTACTGCAGCCACTCAAAACGGATGTTGAATTAACTGCAATATTGCCTAATGTTGCCGAACAGGTTGTAAATGATGTAAAGGAAGCGCAGAAAAAGTATGAACTGACTGAGTTTGGACAAACCAGAGAAGCAACATTAAAGGAACTGATTATTGATATAGGAAGACAGGATCATCAGGTCAAAGCAATAATCAGTAAGTGAGAATGTGTTAAATTTATGTCTTCTATACTTTTGCTTTTGTTTTAGAACAAAGGGTGAAAGACTTTTTCCTAGATATAATAGAGTCGGCCACGGCTGCACCACAGAAAGTGCCTTCGGGACTCACTGCTTTCCAAAAAGAGCTGACAGGAATCGCAGGTCAATTTTTGCGCATTGTTTCTCACAACAGCACAGTTTTTTGTATTTATTACTATGATATTGTATCTGAAGCACTGCCCAAAACTTCTTAGATGATTTATACTCGAAAAGTATTATTTTATCGTACTATCTTAGTAGTCCAACATGAGACTTTAAATAACCAAGTTAGATGTAAGCATGCTGATAATATGTGAATATTTTTAGCAGCAAAAAAAAATGACTTAATGAAGGCTTATTTTAAACTTAAGAATTTTATTCGGTATTGAACATATGAACATCATTTACGCTGTGCCGTCTTCCTTACTCTTTTTACAGTGTTCTCCAAAACTACACACTTTCAAAACCTCAGATTATTGAAGTTATGAAAATGGGCATTTTTTGATTAATTTAACAGGTCTTAGCAAATCAAATTTTCTTGCACTTCCACTTAATCAGATAACTATTAGATAATCAATACTATAAAAATTGATACTCCCGGTCTATGACATTTTCATATACTGCCCTCCTAAAGATAGGTGCGATATCTTCAAGGAATATGTGTTATGTTAGGTTATTAAAAAAGCACGTCGCAATTCTCGCCTCACCCTTGAAGATACCACATCTATTAGCAGCAAACACTTTACGATTTTTTATTTTTTGTTTCCATTTAATTTGTCCACATACGGAAACAGTGATTAGCTTGAGCTAGAGGTTAATGTTTTCTAAAATGGAAATCGTCTTTAGTAGATAAAAATTTCAAAAAGTTACGTTTCCTTCGCAAAAAAAGAATTATGTCTATAACAAAATAAAAAGCAAAATTTGTTTCATTTAATTCATTCATTTAATAAACTTGCCAATCAGCAAGTTCGATTCATCAACAACTGACGCTTCCTCCTCCTGAAGTTTCTTAAAAAAAATTAAATTATATATATATATATTTATTAACTAAACTAATTTTTTAACATCTAGGTATTATTTACAACCCTTGTTTATTTTCAAATTTTTAATATGCGTTAAGGCTGGTTCTCATATAAGCTTCACCATGCTTCACTACACTTCGCTTTGTGAAAAGGCTTTAATTTAGTGAGATGAACTGCTACCTAAGAAAACAAGGAAGTCTTTTTAATACTACATTTTGACGAGTGATGAACTGAAGAGTACTGAAGCACGGTAAAACTTATCTGAGAACTGGCCTATACTTGAAAAGAATCAATAAATTCTACTACATACCTTATTTTTTCTTATGTTATGTACTAATGTGGTTATAATCCAAAAAACTTATATAACTATTCGTTATATATAAAAAAAAAATGCTACTGCTACTCATTCTTAGGAGGGCAGTATAGCAGGAAACGATTCTTCGCGCATGTACCAACATTTCACGATTAAATCAACCCCAGCTTTGCGCCATTTTTTACAGCCACAACTACCTTGGGATCTGGATATATTTTGACCAAAAAATGCGACGGGCAAACTAGAAACTGTCAAATTTACGAACTGTTAGCGGCCATGTGCAATACTGCAAACCATATAAAGTCGATTTCTATTCATAGAGGCGTATTTTTTACTACACTTCAACTTTTGTCTCTAGTTGTCGGTAGTCCGGTCGTCTGACTGCATGCCGACTGCAACGTTTTTCTTTTTACACGGATCGTTTTGGAATGTATCCCAGGCAACAAGTGCACTTTTTGCTTCCGCAGTTGACAAAATAGAGAGGTTTGATGCAGATAGTTTTATTGCTGAAATATTTTGAACCACACTGTATAGATTCACTATAATGTATATCATTTTGTCAGTTTGACGCTATAGTACTGCTTACTTTTTTTTATAATTTTACCTTGATGTTCGTATAAGAATATTCCTCTATTTTTACATTCCATAGCGGCGATAGTCTATCAGACAAGAGACTGAGGATGTGGTTATTTCATTAATTCAATATCGAACGCCGCCTTCGGAATGCTAGTATGACATCTACAAAAAAATTAAAATTAACCAAAAACGCTAATAGTCATTTTCAAGAATTATGGTTTATAGTTTTCAATAACTTTTAAAATCGAAAGTAGAAATCCAGGTCCCTATTTAAAGAAATTGTTTAAATAGCAAAAATATTTCAGTTAGTAATTGAATGGCGCTTGCTTGCTTCTAGAGATTTTTGGTTTTGGTTAGGAATTGGAAAAAACTGTAAAAATGGATTTTAGAAAATATTGAAATTTCCAACGTATAGAATTACTGTCTTCTCATTTTTATCTGAACTGGAGTTGTGCGGTTTTGAAATGTGGCTATATTACTTTTTCATTTTTTTAAAAATATCTGGGTATGTATTTCTTATACCCTATAAATTTTCAATATATAATATTTACAACTATCATAAACTTTAAAGTTAGTTTTCAATCTTCATGTATTACATCGTTAACTATTAAAGTAACCAGTATAATTTTCATTATATTGAAATTATAAGAAAAATAAATTTCATTTTACTGTTAGAGGCGAAAAGCGATAGCGAAATCCATTTTATAGGTTACAGCACACCTTAAATAAATAAGTAAAGTATACTTATTGTTTTTCTTGACTGGTTTTAAAAATGTACAATTATTTTGCAAAACATGTCTTTTATTGCAATGAAAAACAAATTATAGGTGTTTAATCACAATACACAAAGGAATGGAAATTTGTTACACAGCCTACAAATATAAACGGGTGCATCAGTTTACTGTAACATGTATTTAATGAAACAAGTCTTATTTAAACTGGGTTTGGGGACGTTATGTTAAATTCTCAAAATAATTACCAACATATTTATATTTAAAACACAAAAAGATATAAAATCTAATGGAAAAGTAAATGTAAAAGTAGCAGCTACCTTTAAAACCATTATTTTTAGCTAAATCCTTGGTATTATTATAAAAATATAAAAATTTCATACTGGTTTATAATTACACAACAAAAAAGGGTGACAATTTTTTGATATTTCCCACTGAGTGAATTTTATTTAATTACATACTTGACAGAGGTGTAAATATATTAAAAATAAAGGAGGAATATTCAATTATCTCAAAAACTGGTTGCCATAGTAAAAATTGTTAAGAGAAATGTCATTTTTATACGGACTTGGTATTTTAAAACACTGTTGGATTTTGAGAAAAGCAGGGGAGTACCGCTTTTTTCTTTACAAGCGGTATTGAAATATACTTTAAAAAAATGATCATTACTACTAAGCTACTACAACAAGCTGATACACCTTTTATATACATAAATATCAGTTTTGAATGATCAAAATTAATTCCCAGCACATTCAGCTTCCCATACGTAAAATAAATAAGGCACCACTTCAAACAATCTTGTATGAGTCAATTTTAATTTGTGGTTCCTCGAAGCAAGTCATATGCTGACCCAAGAGCCCAACTGATCTCATGCCCATTAATTTTTTTATACAACTAAAACAAAATATGTTTCAAAGAAAATTTAACTAAAAGAAATGGAATTACATAAATCTTGGTGTCGAGACTCAAGCCAAATCCTTTTTCCAGCAAAATCCATATAAAAGTGAGATCCATGCAAATAAAAGGTTGATCTACGTTGGCTTCTTTGCAAGTTTTTTCGGCGGTTTTCTTAAAATCTTCCACTTTTACCTGACCACCTGAAAAGTAAGGATATTAACCAGCAAAAACTAATGACCATAGAAAAAATACAGTAAGCAACAGATTTAAAAACTTCGTTTGAAACTATTGTTAACTACAATTAATGAGAAACGCGATTTAATAAAATTGGTAGTTTGTTATATAAACGTTAGGTACAAAAACCAACCATATGAAGAAAAAAGAAAATTATTTTTTATCTTAAAAACGAAAATAGAACAATCAAATATTACGGAAGTATTACTATTATAAAAACACTGTTTGCATATTGTAATATTTTTTAACGAGTGGAAGTGTTTAAATAACCCATCAATCTTCTTGAACAAATTTTAAGAAAAAACTTACTCAATGACATAAAAAATATATTATTTTATTTTATGTGGAAACTTTTGTCTCGTATGTATAACGAGATTTAAAAAAATACTGGGCTGCTTTCACTAATTGCTTGTTGTTGGTTTATTTTACCTTGCTCAGTTTAAGAACAAAATAAGGCTAATTTGTAATTGTTTTGAAGATAATTGATAAATTGGTACAAAATAGAACTGCACCCAACTAAATTATATTTTTAAAATAAATGAAACCGATTTCCATTTTGGTGAAAGGTAAAGGTCCGAGTCGGGAGGTTATTTGGTTGTTTTTGAGATTTCTATGGATTCTTGGATTTTTCTTTGGGAGAATAGATGTCAAGTTTCATGATTATGTTCGGTAACTGCTGATGAATTTATTTGTTTAGTTATATATCTCCAATGTATTCTTTGAGCATATTTTAATGGTGGTTGGCTTTAGACAAAACGTTTATAAAACAGATGAGCCTTTATTGTAAACAAGGAACCACTTAAGTTTTTCGGATTTTTTTCGAAACAATCCTCTATATTAAAAATATATTGACACTGAAAATCTTAAAACATCTGTATTGAAAAAAATTCATGTTACTAGTACGTCGCCATTTTGCAAACGAATGTCAACTTATAGGTGGTTCAGAATTCATATGCAGGATAATGGTTTTGAATTAATAATTTTATCTTAAGGACGAAGCTAGATACAAATAAAAACAGAACACTAAGAACAAAAGTTCCATTTTTAATGCTAAAAAAATTAAAATTTTCAAAACATCAGATGCCTACCATCATTTTAATAAATTTAAATTAGACGGACAGCACTCAAATGAAGAATTCTATTTTAATTACACAAAATAATGATCATTACTACTATGATTTTTCTTTCAAAATCTGCTAAAAGAATTTTAAGAACTTAGTTAACTGAAAAACTGAGCAACAAAATTTACCTTTCGTGAAATCTATTAGGCCCGCAGCACTGGCTTTATCATAATAATAACTAAACGCAAATATCACTTTTGAAGGCAACTCTGCTGGAGGTTTCGTTTTGCTTGAAATATCCCTTACATAATTGGAAATAATATTCGAGCATTTAGTAAAGTTTACAATTGGCACGGTTTCACCCACATAAAATTCGTTGTCACGCGTCTGTGAGGTTGGATAATTCTGGTCCAAACCACTGACCCAATAGTCAATGCCTGAAATATAAGGTCAATGCAAGTTTTAAAATATATATATATATATATACATATATATAGGCACCATGATAATGAAATTTCTTATCCCTGATTAATGGGTTAACACACTCGCACGTGACATTTTTGACATCCTCATTTCCAAAAGTAATCACTGCTTTTCTAGCAGCCATTAATCCCAGGCCAAGGTAACTATGAGTAAAAACAGGAATGGGGCCACTGGGTGATGCAGCGTGATGTATGTGCTTTTTATCCTGAAGACTTGCTGGAGTCACAGCATAAAATGTAACTTGAGTAGATCCACCTCCTAAATCTAGTGCTGCTACAGTGTTAAGTGGATTGCCATTAAGTCGTTCTGAAATTATTAAATATTTTGCAATATATTTTTTTTCCTTTTGTTTATAACCCCACCAAATTTTGTTTTTTTTTTTTACAAAAAGTGTGACATTACACAAAAGTTTCAAGAACTAACCTAATAAGAAATTTACTGTAAACCATGAAAATATTCCCTCGTCTGTTCCGTCCATAATTTCAACAGATTGCTGTTTAGTCAAAAATGGTGTCTTTTTGAACAAATCTCTCACCGCGTTTAATAAATTCTCAGCTTGTTCGACAGGTAAAAGTCTCAAACCAGCAGTTGCTTTCAGAATTAAGGGGGTTTTATTCCAATATTGTTCTGGAATTTCCTTTTTGGCTTTTTCTAGCAACCTTTGAATCATTTGGGCGCCCTTAAATTAAGATTTATAATGATAAATATTTAAGTTGCAAAAGTTTTGCACCTTTTCAGGTTCCTTAGCAAAAGAGGATAAACCGGGTTTATTGTAGTCAAATAGCTCCTTGTCCAATACTAAATGTTCTCCTAAAAATATCATTTAATTATAAAATTAATAATTATGCACATAAATCCAGTTTTGTTCCAGCTTCCGTGAAAAAGGATTTTAAAAAAATTTACATAATCTTTTTAAACCTTCAATTAAATATTATTTAAGCAAATTTCGAACACACTTTATGTTGCTCTTTGCTATTAATCTAGAATTTAGTACCACATTACCTAAGTATGATTCATGAAAAGTGTATGCTAGAACTCTTGATCCCGTGCTTCCGGCATCTATAATCACAGCATAGACAGGTTTATAATATCCAAATTGTTTGGCTACATGATCCACTGCCTTGTGACCCAAATACCATGGGATTTGATCAGTGTATAATACTAAAAATTTCAAAAAATTAATCTTTAAAGCAGCAACTTTTTAAAAATACAAAAAACTAATTATTCAAATATGATGTAATTTTAAAGTTTAAAAGTAATGGTTATTAATTTAACAAACATTTCCTTTGCTATACCAATAGTGTGGAACAAATTGTTCACCCTATCCAAAATAGCTCTATAAATTAACAAATAATAAAATTAATATTGTAATTTGAAAATAAAAGATATCTTCCCAATTTTTGGCAAGTTGATAAACTGACAATAAAATATGGTTATAAAAAAATATATATATATTGCAAAAATTTGTACTTGGCATTCCCTAAGGTTCATCCATACAAACACTATTTTGAAACTGTTATCAGGTATATGATTTTTATGAAACTGGCAAGACTAGACACTAAAATAATATTACCAACAAAGAGAGTCAAGACTGTTACACTGATTATCAAACACAGTAAGGACTGATGTATCGACTTTGGTCGAACATCTTTTGATTTTCTTTTTCTATTTGTCGCTTTCTCATTGTGCTCCTTCACCTACAACATTTTGAAAATGTAAACAAGTTGTAATTTTAAGAATAGCTAATTCGTTACTTCAGAGTACATAAATGAAAATATATTTAAATTACAACAAAATCATATAAAACAAAACTTAATTGAAGGTTATAATTTAAATTGATGTTAAAATAATATATATTAAGACAAGTTGCCACGGCGACGTTTTTCTCTATACAAATTTTAAGGTTGTTTAATACCTTTCTCCTTCGCAACTCGCTGTTGCTCATAGCTATTGCTTATTTTTTCAGCTAAATGGTTCCTAAAACGTAACTCAATAAAAAAAATATTGATTAAATAGTCAATGTCGCAATTCCGTAATTTTAAAGACTATTACACAATTACGTCAAATAAAATTCGTTAAATAAACAATTAAAAAAATAATTTATGCGTATCATCCTTATACATGGTTAATAACAATATTTGATTAATTTTATCTTGAATTCCAAACTTCAAATACCACCGCCACAGAGAGATAACAAATAGGTTTGAACAAAAATATTGAGTCTAATCTGTGCCCCAAAGAATTAGCAGTGGAGTTATTGCCCATAAAGGGATCTTGATCGTAAAAGTGTATAGGGTCCGAGATGAGTTCTAATCAAACCGTACCTATGAAGGTTGGTGTAAATCGGAACGTTTGCTTGGCATTTTTTAAAGATTATGTGTCGTGCCGGTCAATAATTGAAAGAATGCTTTCGATAAGCGTTGTTTTCGTTAGATCTCGGAGAACCGCGGATGTGATGAGTACTAGATTCTTCATATTTACATTGTTCAATAGAAATGTGTATTTCAATTTAATTTTTTATCCTTAGATATCTTCAAAAGCAATAATAAAAAAAAATACTACACTCAGCCATTCGCCAAGCTAGTTCCCACCATGGGTACCAATTAATATTTCTAAAAATTGTATCCAATAAAAATACCGTTTTTAAAAAACTCGTTTTTATTTCGTCTTACAATTAACTTAGAATTTTTTAAAACCAATTTTCCAGTATTAACTATTTCCAAAAAATAATAGATATAAACAATACAACACTAAAAGCGACAAATGAATAAAAAAAGGAGGAAATTTTGATATTTTACAAATTTTATTTTTTTGCTCAGTTTAATAATTAATAATATACTCCAAAAATAAAGATTGCAAAAAAAATAGTTTACTGCTGTTTACAATTCTCAGAAGCTTGTTTATGATCAGAGTCTACCTCCTCCTCCTCATCATCTTCATCCTCCTCTTCCTCTTCAAAGTCTTCCTCATCTTCAATACCTTCACCAGTGAAAAACAGCACAGCCCTTGGAACAACTCTTTCCCTAAGAAAATAAATTTATACAATAAACTCACTACTTTAGAAAAAATTTTTACCTTATATAGTGACCAATTTCAAAATCGCTTGTAAGTAGATTTTTCAATTCCTCATCCACATCATCTTGTCTCACATCATCTGGGATAGATGGAGGCGAAAAGAAATTGAAAAACGAATCGTTAGGTTCAGTTTTTGTGACTACTCGAACATCACCCCGGCTCTTATGTTTTTGCTTCTTTTTGACAGTTTTTATGGTGACATTTTTGCCTTTGTTCCAGTTAATGGTGCAACCAATGCATTTATAGATTTCTGGACCTTCAAAGCTAAATGGGTCATCTTCATCTGGTGAACATTTCATTAAATACTCCTTTGTTAAGATTTTGTCAGTAAAATATTCATTTGGAGAGAAGTGAAATTCTAAGGTGAAACTCTGAAATAAAAGCAACAACTTCAACATCAAAAAGACAGACGAATGGAGTGTGACTGAGTAGAGTATCACTTTCTATGAGTATAATTTACTCATATAAAGGGAGCCAACAGGATATAATATATTATGCAACGAGTGCAGTAAACTGCATTTGAGTCACGAGTTTATTTGACACAAGCAGAGCAACTGTTTAATAAACGAGTCACTTAAAAAGTTTACCGAACGTGTTGTACACTATATTTTTTCTTCGACCCTTAGTTTTTGGCTTCATTTTCGCAAAACAACATGAATACATTCACTGTCGTGACCATCAGAATTGACAAATTTCTCTGAAAACATCAGATGTTGAATTGAACTTGCTGACATTTCTCCAATCATTCTGTTGAGTTCTTGATAGCCTAACTGAAAAGGCCTCCCATTCTACTCTGTACGTTTTTATATATTGTTTCTGGGGGACGGAGCTAAAGCCAGGATATGAACATTGTCTCAGATGAGTAATTCCCATATTGGTCAAAGGTAATTTTTGTCTTTGACGGATCAAAGATGCTGAGAGATTTTTCGACAATTGATAAATCTGACTTCGGAGTTATATTTCTACAGAGTAGCCAGCTTGAGTTAAGCTCTGAAGCCAACAGGATGATTGACAATATGTCAGCAAGTTTAATTCTTCAACAACCGATGCAGGAGGAATCCAGAAGTTTTGTAAATAGTATTACAGTAGACTGCGGAAGTTTCCTTGAAAATATAAATTATCACAATTGTATTTGAAAAATCATAAAATAAATTAATTCAGATTATATGTTATTAGAAGGCTGTCCGTAATTATAGTGAGTAGTTATCTTATTGTATTGTGGTTATTTTTAAAAAAATAACATTTATATTTAAATATTCTAATGCAATTCATATATTAAATTCTAGAACAATTTCATTATCTCAAATTTATACAAAACTAATGCTTACCATGGGATCCTCTCGACATATTGTTTTTATATCAGTTAAATGCTTCATGATTGGCACGTCATGGGGGTGGACCATTTCAGAGAGTAAATTGCAGTTTTTGAAAATAGTTAACCAAAATTCAGGAATGCCTTTGTCATTGGTTGCTTCCTTATTATTTTTTTCTCCTTCGGTAATTTTCACTTTCTCCTTAACAGCACTGGGAAGGTCCTCTTCATCTTCTGAAGACCACTGAGATTCTTCTTCGGTAGGTTCATAATCTCCATTTACAATGGTGTTTCTTTTTTCATAAAACGGAACATACATGCGATGATATTTGCATTCTAAATCATTGACTTCCTTAAAAAAATTTGCCTCTATTTTGGTGACCTCCAACTGCAGGTTTTTTAGTGCTTTGACCCTTTTTTTAACAGCGGGAGGTAGTGCAGCTAACATCTCAGTGTGGCGCTGCGTTTTTAAAGTAGTTAGCATATTTGGGAAAGTAATTTGTTTCGCCACCTCATGGTCCCCATCTTCCTCATCTTCCACAGATTCCATATCGTCAGGAATGTCAGTGACTTGCTCTGTAGCCATTACTGCCGACTTGGACTGCAAAAATACAAATAATTTGCTTTAAAATAATGGCCTAATAATGCGAAAACCTTTTTGAAATACACGTGCTTTTCAAAATTCGGCAAATCTAAATGTCAAAAATTTTAACTGACATACTACGCCGCAAAAACAAAATTTAAACAAAAACAGCATGCTATCTCCAAAATTCTTTATAGAAATGTATATTATTATTAAATCGAGAATAAAAGCATTGTATTTGATAATCCGCCGATAACATACCGTCACTTTTTAGCGCGAAATAAAGCACAGCAATATTAATGCTTCCGACCCTACTGCACCAGAAAAAAGAGAACAAAAATTTAGTGCAAGGCGAATGATCTCGAATACAAGTTTATCGGACATCACCGAAGTGTTTCGTTTAAATTCGTTTTAATGTGGAAGGGGCGCGGAATAAAATACTGGTTAGGACAACCAATACCAAATGCATGCATACTTGATACAAAAAATATGACACTTCAAATAAGGCGATTTCCGGCGATCTTACCATAACATACTTGAGGAAAGCATGGTAGACACGGGGCAATTTCTACATGTTTTCTGCATATATTTTTAGCAGATAAAAAATTGCTGTTAAAATGTATCTATTTAGACATGATGCAATTTTTTCGAGCATAATGGCTTAATTATTTTGGTCAAATTTTGTTTTTAAAGGTTGTTTTTTAAAATTTGAAGCAATAAACGATACTTCTTAGCGTTTGTTAGTGTCAAATTGCTAAATTTTATACAAAAATATTTTTATGATACATATAAATACCCGTGGGTGTATAAGGAAAATCTATAATCCAAATACTAGAAACGAAAGAAATGACGATGTTTGAAATGCTGAATGAAATAAAAATTAGAATATATTGATATATTAATTTACGTATTCTCTAAAAACAATTTCTGTGCAATTCTTTTAGATTTAGAGGTAATTTTGACATATTCTTTTTTACCTAATTGTTTCTTGACTTGTTTTATTATAATAGTTTTTAATTTTGTTGTTTATATTCTTAAATACTTGCAGTTTTCTAAAAAAATTGTCAAAATCTGCAATTACAAGACTTGTGTTGACGGAATGAGCGTTCTGTTTATAGGAGGTTCTACAGTTACTTCTTGGACATTTTTTCCACTTACATTTTTCCTATGCGACATCTCATAAATTTATATTTAGAATTTTAAGAGTAATCTTTCGTGATTTTGATATTATATACATTTTTCATAGAAGGTAAACCTATAAGAATTATGACAACAAATGCTTTGGGTTGGACACGCAAAAAATCTTGCAATTTGACAGCAGACACGTAGCAATATTTACATGAAAAAAATGCAGAAATATATGTAGAAATTGCATTGTGCCTGCCAGGCTTTAGTTAAAATTACTTACAACAGTTAAGTCTGACGTCACAAACTGACCACACTTATGGACAAATAAAATCCGGTAAGGATAAGACAGGAGACGACGGTTTTTGCTTTTCTGGTAATATTTCGGTATAGCATAATATGTATTACTTCAACTATAAGACTAATAATATTCAAACTAAATAATATTAAACTTCAATATTCAAAAGTTCATCAATCCATTGCATTCCGGTATTCGATGAAGCTATAAAATATAAAGATACAGCTAAGCTCACCCATCTTAGGAGGTGGATCACGTTCCGTCATATAGTTATTAGATAATATAGTGGGGCCCTGCTACGGTAATGGGTTACTGGTCGCATTGATATTTTCGTAGAGAAGGCAATAATTTTCTGCGCATGCCTCTACATTTCTCTCACTAACCAGCACTTTGCGCCAGTTTCATTTTTCTGCTGTAAAAATGCCGCATCCCAACTTAGTAATGATCTGTCAGCGGTCTTGCTGGTTGTTCAATACCGCAATTGATTAAAAACTAGATTTTAAAACTCGAGCATGCGCATGCTAAATGAACCTTCTCAAAAATGTTTCCACAGTTAATTCATAAGTTCCTCTATTATCAGCATACACAGGACCTCTATATCTCTTCTAGCTAACCGAGGTAACCGAACGCTTACCAAATATGACTCGAGTTCGTTGTGACGTCATGAGTTGCTGCCATAGAAAATTCAAATTCAGAGTAACAATAAAGTAGCACGAGATCTCGCTTATTATTCCAATAGCATTCTTTTAGCTATTTGACCTAATCGTTATTTCTTCACATTTTCGTTCATGTCATGTCGGCAGCAGTCGCGCTGCAAGTGTGGAATCCCACGAGTAGATAGTCTATATCGAAGTTTTATTTTTCGTAGTTCGGCGGGTGGGAATATTCCTGAAAATGACTTCAATTATCTCCTGTCTCCTTGCACAGGACCGGTCAACTAGAGGAGAATAGTTAAATCGCCGATTTATTTTCGTTACTTGCTTGCTAGTGAACAAGATGGTAGTGACGTCATCTAGCTAATACGAAACAAGTTTAATGTGTTATCTACATATAGTTACTAGATAATATAGACATCCTACTAGGGGAAAAAGAGATGCGTCACAGGCGGCATCGACATTTTCATAAAAAATATAAGTTTATGAGCACGAGTTTATATTTCATCCACTAACCTGTATTTGCGTCATTTTCTTTCTAAACAGCTTTTTCCACACACTTAACTCGTTTCCCCAGAATATTTGACGTGATATAAGCATACAAACTTATTGACGATCTGTCAGCGGTCATGTTGCCCGTTGAATGCCGCAAATGAAAATCTCAGGTATGCGTAAAATGCGCCTCTATATCGCTAGTAGCAATATAATTATTTATATACAGCGAACGCCTAAAATATGAATCAAGTTCATTTTAAAAATGCTTGCACATGCTCATCATAATTTTTTCTGCGCATTTTTTTGCAAGAAAAAGAAAATATACAGGGTTGGTCAAAAAGTAGATGTCGATAACTTTTTAAATCAATTTTCCAATTTTACGACAAATTTCACGCATAATTCAGGTAATATACATTATTACTTTTTATGAACAAAAGAATAAAAACATTTTTTTTGTAAATAACGGTTAATAAGTTCTTAAATTGTCACAATTGTCACATGACCTTATTGTATGAATCCTATATTCCGTGGTGGCTTTAAATTTTAGTTTTATACTATGCTGTACGTTTGGAGTTTGGATCACATGATCTAAGGAAATGATGTCAAATAAAAATCACTTGGTTTCCGGGTTGCGGTACGACCAGACGTGTTCTTTTTTAACATCTCCTCCTCTAAGTAAAATAGAAGTTAAACAATAAAATAAACAACAATTACATTTCTGTCATCTAAATGAAATTCAGAGAATTAATATTTTAATTTTTATTGGATATGGAAATAAAACGAGAACTCTTTGAGTGAGTAAAATTTTTTAAAAAATTATAGAAATGCTGTCTCAAAGAAATTTTTTTATCAGGTGTTGAAAATATAATTGTAACAATTTAAGAGCTTTCCTTTATTAAAAAAAAAAAGAGATAAATATAGGACATACTACATGAATTATGCGTGAAATTTAATACACAACGCAAAAATTGATTTAAGAAAATGGTGTTACAAGAAAAAATTTTGATGGAAGTTGTGATCATTTTTCTTGAAATCCAAGATCTGATTGTTAAATGAATTTATTCCATATTTCAGTCATTCACTGTATATGGTTTTTTTGAAGCTAATAATTTGGTTTTTAATGCACGAAACTTTGACAAATTTTACATAAACCTTTGATGACATCTATAAGTCTATCTATAGTATAGTATATATAGTCCATCTATAAGTCTCACTAGAAATAAAAGAATTTGAAAAAGCAGTCAGTACAAATAGAGAATACAAACTTTATAGACAGCACAACATTGGTTTACAAATAAATTTTAAAAATGTTTGTAATAGTTTAAAACTGTCATTCTCTCTATTCATGCACATTCTACTGCTTGTAATAAGAATCTATCATTTGTTAGTTAACAGAACTAACAAAGTGGTTTGCAAACACAAAAATACTTAGAAAGGCAGTAAAGATTTTAAAATTGACTTTTACCTAGTAAGTATTTACAAAGCTTTGGTGTACTGTAACATTTGTCCGATTGAACCCTACATTCACCATTTCATTAGGCTATGTGCTCTTTAGATAAGTATGGTTAGCATCCTTTTGGCTAAATCATCCTTCAATAAAACGAACCTCTTATTCAAACTTGAATTTGATTTAAGAGAACATGTTAAAAAAATGTTATGATGTTACTTTTACTTTAATGATAAAAATTCCATGAATTCACAGTTTAATGGAAATAGGTAATAAAAAAGAACAGCATTAGAATCTAAAAAGAAAAAATATACACTTCAAAGTTTTATGACTAGTTAAATATTTGCTTGAACTTTATTTTGTCTCACAAATATGGCCAGGTAGGAGTTGAATTTCAACCTGAAATAATAATAAATTTTATTTAACTATTCAATACAGATACCAAAATGTCAGTGAATTACAAACCTTTGTTGCTTTTAATGCAACTCCTTCTGGTAAATTTCTTTCCACATATTCAAGTAATGTATCAGCCGTGGAACTAGTTAAATATTTATATTGTACAAATGAGAAGTAGGTTCTGAACTCATACTGTACTCTGTGCTTCTTATATATATGTACAGATTTTAAAACTGTATAGCGTTCATGGTTGGGTTTCTTTAAACTCCACCTAAAACAGTTTTTCCTTACACCCAAGGAGTCCTTCAGTGTTATTCATATGTTACATTGTTTTAAATTCAAAATATTATGCTAAAGAATTCGCCACAGCAATTTAAACAAAAATGTGGATGCAAATAAATGATAATGGTTTATTATGAAGTTGACTTTCCAACATTGTTTGACTTACGTTTTTCCATCAAGACCCAAATGATGTCCAGCTGTTGTGGCAAATTTACAAAAACTATTCAGAACAGCAGGATCATTTCCACGAAGTTCTAACTCTAAAGTTTTGTATAATTTATCCAGCTGGGATTCTGCGGCCCTATCTGCAGTAGCATTTATAGTTGAAAAATATTTTAAAATAATCGTCTGTCTGCTAACAAATTTTTGAAAAAAATTCTGGAAAAATATTCATTTACAGTAAATTAATGCAAGGAAAAAATGTAAATCTGCAATTTACCATTATAGCAAAAAAGAAAATTTTATTTTATTTTCAATTTCTGTTTAACCACTATATATTCTTTTGCCACTATTGAACGTCATTGTCAGGATCATTCGGACAAACAACAATCGTTACATCAGTTTCTAACTTCAGTCTAATGAGCTCTTTGAAGAAAACACCAGTGACGTCACTTAGCCAATTCCAAACAAGTAATGAAACATACGTTGATTGCTGAGAAAAAGAAAAAACTGTAGCCTTTTGATTTTGCTTTTTTATGAAATAACTTTCGTCGATTGAAATTCAGTTTTTTGCGTCTGTGCAAAGTCAAAAGGCGATATGGAGGATCCTGCATGCAAATATTCGAATTCACGAAAACATGTAATTATTAAAAAAAAAATAGAATGCAAACGTATTTACGATACCAAATTAAATGAAAAAATATTTTATGGTGCCAGAATTATTATTCAGTTGGCGTTGAGATTATGAAAAAGTAGTGAAAATGCACTAAAAACGCGATTTAAACTTCCCTAGATAAGTAACCAAAAGTAAGCCGATTCGATCGAGAGATGACAGATCAAAAATATATTTTGAATTTAGATTGGATTATAAATAAAATAAACACTTAACAAAATGTGTAAAACTTCATTGGCTGGATGTTTTTTTACGTTTACAATTTTGGAATTGATTACAAAAACACAACTTACTTTTCATGACAGCAGCCATGGTAAGATTTTTACCAGTTTATTTCTTAATAATATGTTTATTTGGTCACGTTCTGTTTGTAGGTTTCTTGGGAGAAAATCATGGATATTTTGGAGATGAATTCTCACATATTGATCGGGTACAGATACAGTTTATTTAAATTTAATTTGTTAGTGTGATTATACCTTTTAGGAACTCTCATCTTTTCCATTCACACACAAAATTGAACTTTCATCAAAGGCGAATATACGATTTGAACCAGAAATATTAGATTTTCGGCAAAGGTGAATATTTTAATAATTATAATGATTTACAAGTGTTGTAATTGTACCCAAAACTAAATAATCAATGTTTGTAGGGCCCTTGGCATACCCCATTATGAAACTGTTACAATATATAATATTGATGATAACAGAACAATAGAATTGACTTCAGTCTCTGGAAATACAGTTCATTTTCACAGCTCCTTTTTTGAAGAAAAGGTATAGCAAATTTACGAACTAAAAAAACTGACAACTAAATTTACATCAGATGGACCAAAATACAGGGAATTCTCTATGAATTTAAATAATTTGGGTTAAAATGAGAATAGATTTACATCAGATAGTTAATTCCAAGATTGACTGTTAAATTAAATACAGTTTTAATCTTTACATTATGCACATGCATCTGACAATAGATGAGTTGCTTGTTATCAACATTCTATACCACAAGAGATAATTTTTCTGGATATTTATAAAATATTGTCGCAGCATTACCAAAAACTCAAAGCTTTAAATAGGATGGAACTAAACCCCTCCCCTTAAACTTTAACGAAATTTCAACTAATCATGTATAAATTAAATTTCGTATAAATCTAGATTAATGATAAAAACATAGTGATTGAAAAGTGTTTTCCATTTTAAATATTAGTTACTTTGTAAATATTCTCCTAAAACCTTTGTGTAGGGCTTATTGTTACTACCTACTTAAAAAGGATTATGACAAATCAAACTAAAACACAAAATTTTTGTGATTTTTTTGAGGATAAGTACAAACAACAAATATTTGGCGTAAATGATTTAAAATAATTTTTTTCTTCATTTCATAAATCATTTTAGCGAGTTGCTCCACATGGTAACACATCTTTTAAAGTTGTCTTCCTGGGTAGGCAAGAGGGTCCTGCTGAAAGTTCTCTCTATATTCATACATTGGATGGATTCATCAAATTTAATGTAATGCATATCAGCATCTTCTGTTAAAATTAGTAATTAGTTCTAATTTAGGTGGCAGCATTTGGTATTTTTAGCCAATACCGATTAAGACCAATAGTGGGAGTGAAGGTACCTGCAAACTCAACATTTTCTCCCATCATTTATATGCACAATCCACATCCTACACCAATTCAAGTAAGTTGCTGTAAACTGAAATTTCTTTCTTTTACATAACATAGTTGAAATATCTGACAACTTCCAGAAGGTCCAGCTTGTTCCTTACTAAATATTCTTTATGAAGAGGTACCAGTTCCACAAAAATTTTTTATTCTAGCTTTGAAAATCTTTAGATTATAATAAGTTTTTCAACATTTAATCTTAAAGTTAAATATCTCCAAATTATTTTGGTGGTGTACTTCCTGGCTATTTTATTGAACCCTATATCTTCAGTTACCAATTCTTTTCGGTATTACAATACATACACTACATTTTGTTTAAATTTTGTGTTAAATATAATGAACCTTATAATTATAATTTATTTTAAATGCCACATTTTTTAACTAACAGCTTCCCATTTTCTTATTTTTGTAAAAAAATGTCCTATTTACAATTTCAGATAGTAGAAATTTATAGTAGCGGAGGGAGTTTTCATTTAGAACTTCCTACTGGAGAACAAGAAGGCCCAAATGAATTATGGGAAATACAACCTCAAGAAACTAAAGCAGTGATCAGGGTTAATTTTGAAGCCAAAGCAGTTAGAAATCACACAGCTTACATTAGGTACTTTTAAATGGTGTACCAATGTTTTAAATGCATCTTTTTTCTTATTTCAGGATAAAACTTCATCACCCTGAGGAAGTTCTTATAGTACCTATAGAAGTGGAAGTGACATCAGTTCAAAACATATTTCATCCGCAGGGTTATATTGATTTTGGTATGGGTGGTCATATGGATCCGCCAAAGGAAGTAAATTTTTGTCTGTTTAATCCATTTCGTAAGGGTGTGAGAATTCATAGTGTATCAACTTTATCTAAAGCGATAAAAACCCATTATTACAACGTCAGAATCGGGCCTGCTAGTGAAAAAGAGAACACTTGCGTTCATATTGGCACACTCACTGTAGATTGTAAGTATTTTTTTCGTGGTACCATTGCGGTTATTTTTATATTTTATATTATGAAATGTTCCCTTGATAATAGGGAAAACTGCATGGAAAACGCAAGATTACCAAGGAAAAATAATAGTTAAAATTCGTAATGGAAAAAATCGCACAGAAATTCCATATTATTTATCCGTACTTAAGGGTGGACTGAGCTATGATAGCATGGCGACCACTTATTTTTTAAATGAGAAGGGCATAGATTTGTCTATGAGAAGTTTTGAAGTTAGAAATGAATATCAGTATCCTCTTAAAGTTACAGATATTGCCTTCCCTTATGATGCAGAATCCATCTTTAAGGTAATTCTTATTAAAAGAATGTTGATAATTATACATTTATTGTACACATATAGATTGAGACATTCACCCCAAAAACTATATTACCCTTTAAGAAGGAGAGGTTGTTTAATATCAAACTGAAAAGTATTGTGAAAAAGACAGATATGCAATTGACAAGTCACATAAAATTAATAACAAATATTTCAGAGGTAACAGTACCCCTACTTAGTTATAATGGAAAACTTCAGATTGTAAGTGAAGCTGTTTTTCTTGTGAAGTATTTTTACTAACTCTTAAACCGGTTGTAGCACTTGCCTTTTAAAAGTCAAGATCACTCTTTAGATGTGGGCCTTATAGGATATGATACAAAAAAAGAAGTATATTTTATGGTTATCAATCCTAACCCAGTTAGTTTACACATTAATAGTGTTCGCTCTTCGGTACCTATGACAAAAGTTGAATTGTATGGTTGTAGCAATGGAGATCATAAAATGGCTCTCTTACAAACTTCTTTTAAGAATTTAACTAAATGTGTAAGTAATGATCGGTTATAAAAAAAAGTCTTTAAATCAAAATTATTTTAGCACAATGTAGCAGCACAACAGTATGCCATTATCAAAATGAGTGTGGCCACAAATCACATTGATGGCCAGGTTTGGGGCGACATACTGATTGAAACTGCATTTGAGGTGTTGTCTGTTCCAGTACACTTTAAGATAGCATTTGGCAAGTTGGAAATAGAGCCAGATGGTTTAATATTAGATTCATGTTTTCCAGTAACACAATTTGCTGTTTAGTTGAGAAGCTTCAAAATCTTTTTGTACCATTTTTAGGGAAAACTTTGTAAGCTTCCTCTCAAAGTGTACTCGACTTTTGCTGAAAAAATGACAGTGGAACATATAGTGGGGCTTCCACCTGATGCGAGGGTAACTGCTACAATATCTGGGGTTATTATGCCTAAGTTCAATAAGGTGATTGGACATTTAATTTTTAATCCCGATGTAGATTGCTCTCCTGAATGTTATACGGGTCTTCACGCAGATAGTTCAGGTACATATTCTAAAAGTTTATTAAAAATAATAGTGGGAAGAGAGGAATGTCCTCAAAATGAAAATCTCATATTTTTACTCCTAGTTTAATACATAATACATAAATACATATAAAACATATGTATAAATATAAAAAAAAAATGTTTTGTTTCATTTTTAGCCACTTGGTTGAAAACTTTAGTTCTAGCAAAACAGGTTCCAGAATTTGACCTGCACCTGGTAAATGTGTTTTACAATAAATATTTAAATTTCACCAGCAATGGTCTTAAGGCATGGGAGCATTTGGTGCTTAGACTGGACACGTCAGATGTGAAAGGTTATTTTTTTAATTGCAAAATCAAGATGACATGGCCAAGTTTACTGAAAGATGGAGTCGCTAATAATTCGGTATTAAATTTTCCCCTTACTCAGGCCGGGAATTATTCCTACAGAAGTATTGTTTTGCATAATCCAGCGAGTTACAGTTTGGTAGTCCAGTTAATATTTGAAAGGGATTATCCCCATGTGGAGATGTTGTATGATGGTATTCCTTCAAACTTTTTGCTCTCATCTGAAAGAAAGTATTCCAACAGCAAAATATTTGTTTTTGATGAGGGACAAAAAATGGGACAACAAGAATTTTTTCGAGAATATCTTAAAATGAAGGTTTACAAGCAGTCAATGCCATTTTTATTGCTACCTGGTCAATCAGAAAAGGTTACATTGAGGTTTTATGCAGAAGACAGTAAATCATATTCAAGTTTGCTCATTTTGCGTAATAATTTGACTATATTAGAGACTGTAAGGCTTAATGGTGAAGGATCCGTACCAATGTTTAAGTTTGGAAATCGAAAACCGGGTTCTAGTCAACCTCTATTGTTTGAAATGACCGACAAGCATATGAAGGATTGTGAAAAGCAGAAAAGTTATACAAGTCCATTGCCTAATTTGACTGTAAAAAGATCATTTACAGCTAGAAATATGGGCGATATTCCGATTTCTATTAACAGCTTTCACATTAATTACTTGGAATGCGAGGGATACGGGTTTAAGGTAAGCAGAAAATAGTATACCATGTACTTTAGATTACTTTGATTGACTTTGTCAATTGGTATGCATGTTTAGATAATAGGCATTAAAAAGTTTATATTTTAAAGTTTGTGTAAACCGAATTTGTACAAATGTCAATTATATTGGGGGTATGTTATTGAGGCATATCCATGTAGGTTCTGGAATTCACATAATAAAATTAAGACGGTGAATGTAAACTCAATTCTGATGCCGAGTCGATATGGTTATGATTTATTTTTTTCTAAAAACTTTAATACCATCTTTATTATGGATGGTTGTTAAGTTGCAACATAAATAAGATAAGAAAAAAGATATTCAGATACTTACAAATTTTCAATACGATGGATTGCAGTATAAAAACGTATCATGCAAATATTTCAATTTCAATTGTATATAATTATGGAACAAATAAAACACTGCTATTTTTATTATAATATCTCCAGAGTTTAGTGTGTAAACTTAATCGAAATAATTTTAAATTTTATTGATAAATTGTTATCATAGCGCATAGCTTTAGTATTGTATTGACCCATAGTCGTCATATTATATGCGCATTTGGAGCATTTTACAGATATAAGAAAAATACATATTCTAAATCTTTTAGGTAATTGACTGCGAACCTTTTATTTTGCCCCCAAATGGTACAAGAAAAATTGACATAGCTTTTACACCTGACTTAACCCTTTCGAAGGTCACAAGAACCTTAATTCTTGGTACTAGTTTAAATGTAATGGTGAACTATACATTATATACTACAATTCCTCAGGCATATTTAAACATGTGCGCAGAACTTATTCCAAGGCCCCATTGGGAGGTGTATTTAAGTTACATGGCAATAGTGTTTATGAAAATTTTATTTCTCATTATATTGTTTTTGGCCATAATTGATGGCGAAAATATAACAAAACAGGCGGTGGATGCATTTTTGCTCTCCAGTGGTTCTACAGATCAACCGATATTGGATTTAAGGAATGTTGGGCGGCAAATAAAAGAAGAAATTCAGTTAGCAAAGGAAAAAAAGAAAATTGAGATTATAGAGTACACTAAAAATAAAGAAGATGTTGAAGAAGAACAGAAAGTCAGAGTTGAGTCTGCAATAATACCTACAACTGGTAAAGCCAAGAAAAAGCTAGCGCAACGAAATAGTTTAAATGATTCCTTAGAAGAGGGCGAAGAAGACACAGGCATGAGCGAAAGACCTGAAAAAGAAAAGTTAAGAAAGAAGGATATACTCTATGAGACACACAGGCTAAAATCTAAAGAAAGAAAGACTGAAAAAGAACTCAAATTGATGGAAGAGAGAAATAAACGAGAAAAGCACGCACAGCACAAAGAAGTAGAAAGTAAGAAATTGGTAGTGAATAAAAAAACAAGCAACATTACAAATGTACCTGCCCAGGATGAAGATACTTCTTCCACAACAACTGAAAGCAGTAATAGTAGTGCAAATCTTGAAGAAGTTGATAAAGAAAACCAAAGAAGTAAAAAGACTAAAATAAAACAAAAGACTGTTAAAAATAAGGTAATAATATGATAAGAAAAATTGTTGTTTTGTCAACGCGACATTTTAATTTCAAGGTTGTAAGTTCAGTAACAGTGAGAGTAACCCCACCAAATAATTTAAGTTGTATTATGAAGGAATTTAAACCAAAATCAAAGGCTGTTGACAGAAATAAGGAAAATCTTCATTTGGAAAATAGTGAGGAGAAATATAAATCACACAACTACCTTCATAACAGGTAAATATGAAAATTAACTTATGCGTAACATATATCTGTGAGTTTTTTTTCATAGGACATGCTTTTAAAAAATTTTCAATACAGCTTGTAGCAGGCGTATTAGTTTTTTGACACTTTCAGTAAAGATTAAGAACAGTAATACATTTGAAATATTGAGAAATATTGAAAATGTAAAGATTTTGTGGTATTGATTTGATTGAATTACTTTTGTAATGTTAAAAATATTTTTGTTTAGGTATGCCCGTGAACTAAAGAGACGCGAAAATAAAATCAAGGATCGAAAAGAAAAAATTGTTTACCGAAACAAGCACCACAATGATAGAAAATCAAGGACAAATGATCCTGAAGCAACATCCCAAAGAGAAACTTCAAAATTGTCTAGTTTTTTCATACCTTTACCTACACCTACCACCATTTCTTCAATTTGGGGCGAGAGTCGAGCTAAATTTAGTGATGTAGTTGCTCGCAGTGAATGTTCTATGTTTTCCTCAACTTTTCAGAGTTGTTCTCATTCACTAAATTCTGTGAGTAATGTCAGACCCTTAAATAAGGTAAAGACCACTTCAGCAAAGCCAACAATGTATGTGGAACCATATAAACCTGCCGAACTTGGGCCTATTGGTTCGAATAGGCTTGAAACCCCAGGTACCAAAAGTCCAGATCTTTTTATGGAACACAACCATGAGTACAAAAATTCGCGATTGGACGAAAGTGGTTTTAGAGTTTCATTAGGCACCACTAATAGTAATTCAGCATCAGTGTCAATGAATGTTGGAGGCTGTAATCAGCTGAATGATAGAAGTATTATTGCTGCTATAAATAGTAATCAGATAATGTCTGGAGATGGAAACTTCTTACAATCTCGCGATGTTCAGAGGGAGAATGTTTGTTTGGATAACTCGCAGATGACCGCAGATACCTGGAGAAAGCAAGAGCTATATAAAAACTTAAAAGAAAATCAGAGAAAACATTATGATGCAGGCATTAATCCATCGAATCAAATGGAAGGTAAATCGTTAGAGTTTTTACATGCCTATTGGCGGGTATACTAAAATTTTTCAATGTTTAAAGTTTTATTTTTTTTAATCAGGAACTCCATTTGAATCTATCTTCCCATGATCCCTCTCCCAAATGTCTTCCTCGTATTGACTCCTCTATCTCATCTTTGCATGATTTTCTTGGTCGCCCTTTCTTTTTTCTTCAATTCGCCTCACTTTGTTGATCCATCTGTTCGTCGCTCTGCTAACATGTCCGTACCACAGGAGTCTTTTGGCTTCTATGTGATGTATTACGTCGTTTTGCACGCCCATTCTTCTTTTGATTTCTTCATTTGTAACTTTGTAACTTCTTCAGGGTATGATATCGTTGCTGTTACTGAATCCAGGCTTCAACCATATTTTCGGAACTCTGAACTCTTTCCTAATTCTTATCTGGTCTATCGCTCAGACAGAAGGCAAGACCTAACCGGGGTCTCCAGGGGCGGTGATGTCATGCTCGGTGTTTTTTGACAGTTTTGAGTCCGCACTTCTGGATACCTCCGGCATCAGGAACAGTGCTCCAAGCAAAGAATTCTTAGGTTGTAAGATCTCTTTAGATTACTTTGTATTCGATGTATTTATAGTATACATTCCTCCCACTGCCGCCAGCTTCGAAGCTGAGAACTTTTTTGAATCTTTGTCGTCGACTTGTTGTTTGGCGGATCTGTCTTGTTGTTGGGTGACTTCTTTCACTGTTTCAGCTCCTATTAATGCCAGACATAGATTCCTACTCAACCTCAGCGCCATATTGAATCTTAACCAGCATCACTAACCTAAATAACCGCTGCTTACATCTCTTTTTTACCAATTTCGACGCTTTTCCGCACGTCTGTAATCTTCCAATCAATAGGAACGATCAAACCCAATTTAACTTCAGGAAGGCCAACTATCCTCAAATGTATGAGCTGATGCAGCATGCATCATGATGTCGATAGGACTCTAACACTTTTTTACGACATGCTAAACAATATTTTTACCGTTTGCACGACCACTAAAACACCGGGATGAAGGCAATTTTCATAATGGTTCACCAAAGAAATGATCGCAAATATATATGAGAAGGAGAAAGCTTTCCGCAATTTCAGGCAACACAAATCTTCTTTTTGTTTTGGCAAATATACCGCGCTGCGCAAGTCAATTAAGTTCCAGTCACGCATTGCCTATACTGATTTTGTTCGTCGTGCTGAGTTACGTATACATGATAGTCCTATCAATTTCTGGTCATTTATTCAGAGAAAGAAGGCAGATTCGCGAATCCCAGCCACGATGTCCTATTCTAATCACTCATGCCATGGGCCTAATATCGTTGTTGCAGCTTTTGCTAAGTACTTTGGTAGCGTTTACACCATGGCCCTGCCAGATCCATATTCATCTTCAAGCGTGTCCTTTAATCCCGATCTAGTCAACATACCTAAGCTTATCATCCAGGATATTTTATCAACAAGCAAAGCACTCATGGCATACCAAGTTTTATCGTGAGAGACTGTTCCCACGCGCTGTGTGCTACTTTATGTCACATTTTTAACCTGATAATTGAAACGGGCGTTTATCTAATTCCTTGAAAAATTTTCAAAGTTTATCCTATTCTCAAAAAACGTGATCCTTCTGTGGTTGAAAACTACCGACCTATTTCGATCTTGTGCAATTTTTCTAAAATATTCTAGATTATATTAAATAAATTTATTTTTGCTCAAATTAAAAATAAACTATCTACGCAACATCATGTTTTTATGCGAAAAGATCATGTGTCACCAACTTATGCTCTCTGTCTTCGTATGTATGTGACTCCCTGAACAAGCAAGGTCAAGTTGACGTTATATACATTGACTTCCACAAAGCGTTTGGCCAGATAGATCATCACTTACTGATTGAAAAAGCATCTTAAAAATTTGGTTTCTCGGATTCGCTGATTACAGAGTTGAGGTTATCTGGTGAACCGTCGACAGTTCGTTGAGATTGAGGGGTTTAGATCAATTTCTCTTGTTCCAACTTCTGGTGTGCCTCAAAGTTCTAATATTGGACCACTGCATGAATGCATTGAAACCGGCATGGACTGCATGACTCTTCAGGACATCAATATTGTCAGTCATCAAGTGTAATGTGAATTCTTACCACCGCACAAAAACTCCTTAATTACAATGTGGATGATACTATCCTGACTAAACTTGCGACTGTGAAGGATCAGGGGATTTTATTTGACCAGACGTTCTCTTTTGTACCTCACATTACTAAAATGGTTTCCAGTGCAATGCAAATTTTAGGATTCGTAATAAGAAATTGCAGGCCTTTTTTGTAGTTCAGCTACTTTTAACTTGTTATCTAACTGTTACGTCAGGTCCAAGCTTGACTATGGCTCGCTGGTATGGTCACCAATGTATAACTGGCACACTCAGTCCATTGAGAGTGTGGAGAGAAAGTTACTGAAGTTCAGAGGATGGTTCCGATCCTGAGAGGGGAGTTGATCATTATCTTCTGCTGAGAAGGTAGGGTAGGGTAGGGAAGGGTACTGCCTCTGAGCTTGCACATAGACTTGCAATCCGTTTCATTACTCTATAAGTTAGTTCATTACGGAGTTGATTGTCGGTTTCCCCTGGAACAATTACGCCTTCATGGGCCGCGGCATCAATCATTTACCGCAGTTACCCAGGTCCAATATCCATTTTCAAGACCCTACAAACTATTATCGTACTGCGATTTATATTATGATGGTCTCTAGGCGATACTTCGGGAACTTCGATTGGCGTCGCTTTATCCGTACCGATAAGTCTTATTATTTTCTTTCCCTCTTTTTTCAGTATATGTAATACTGTATATAGCATAAGATTAGTAGATTTAAGATTAGTTTTTACGTCCCCAGGTATATATATTTGATGATTTATAGTTAGCATTTCCTGTAATTGGATCATGTTACCTGTTGGAAATAAAGTGCTATTATTTGTAACTAGGTCTCTTCTAGTGGTTCCACACGATTTTCTCCAATACATCATTATGGTAGCTAGGATTTTCCTTTTGTTTTTATTTATTACCCATACCTCCGCTGCATATGTCATTATACTCTTTACAATTGTATCGTATATTACCGTTTACATTTTTTTCTTGAGGTTCTTATCCCATATAACTGAATGGAGTTTTCATATACATGATCGTGTCTGCTCAAGTCTATTCTTTATTTATTCCTCTTTAGTATTTTTAGGCAGTGTAATTCCCAAGTATCTGAATTTGTTTGTTCCTTTTATTTCAATAGTGTCCTCTATTTGCAAATTGACTGCATTCTCTTCCGTCATTGTCGTGTACATTGTCTTCTTCAAGTTTATTTCCAATCCTACCTTCTCATATTCTTCCTTTAACTTCCTGACCATCATGTAACTGAGGTTTTCTTCATCTTGAGCTATCACTACCTGGTCATCCGCGAAACAAAGTGTGTAAAGGTATTCCTTTCTTCCTTCCTTATAGGGACTCCCATTCATTTGTATTTAGGTTTCCAGGTTTTCAGGGCATGTTCCAGGAATATATTGAAAAGTGTTGGTGGAGTTAGGCATCCTTGTATCAGCTCCTTTGAGGTTTTGAAAATAACTGACTATACTGTTGCCTACTTTTATGTGTATATTGTTGTTTTTATAGCAGTTTTTCATCTCCTTTATGTTGTTGGTATATCTAATTTTGCCATATCCTTCCGTAGTTCTATCCTGGGCACCGTGTCATAAGCCTTTTAAGCTTCATTAGTATAAATCAAGTAGTACTTTGTAGTTTTTAACTACTGAATTGGCTTTATTTTTGCCTTTTTGTTAATTGCATTTTTTAAAACCTACATATTGAATTGACATTTTTTATAGACATTTTATTAAATCTCTATATCATAATTTAAAAAATTATTCAATTATTATTAACACTGTTCTTCAAACATTACAAAAGATTATTATAACGATAGCACTTTTTATACTTCTACTCCACACCATTATTTTCACTTCACAGATCCATGGAATGAAAACCTGTTGAATTCCAGCGCGTATTGGAACAATCCATTAGATTGTCAGCCAAGTACTGCGACCAATTCATCAATATACCTATGGGGTTCAAATCCAGTGTGGAAACCATGGTCTCCATCAGCAACAACTCCTGGGGTACGAACTACTCCTCCTGGTTTTGATCAATATGTTCAAAAACAAAAGGAAGAGGTGAGGTTACAATATAGAAAGCAATATGAACTGTGGGTTTTAATTCATATAGGACCAACAGGATACGCGTCAAGATTCTTATAATCCATTCTGTAGTGGTAGCCTTTGGACCGAGCAACAAAAAAACCCGTGGACTTATGACCGACAACAATGATGTTCTAATAAAAACCTCCTGTTCCTATGGCCACAACACTTACTCGGAAGCTGGATTTGTTTTTCGATGACTCATTTGTTTTCATTTTTACTTTTAAGACTGCAATTTTTTTAATACTCATGATTTATGTATATAAAGATTTTTTTGTTAAATGTTTTATGATGGCAGTGCATCAATTCGATTGTTATGTGAAGTCAGTATATCTGATGATGGTGTGTCTCAATAAATGTTTGAAGCAGTCTTATTTTTTAAATATTTCTAACAATTTTATTTTCTGCAAAAAGGGAAAAACTGAACTCTTCGTTAACAGGATATATTGATCAAGCTCTGTAACAAAGCAATAATACGCGTTGCCTTGGTAACGACTTTATTTTTTTAAATCAACTTTTAATAGATTTGAGAATGTTTTATAAAATACCCGAAATATGACTACAGAAAACACAATGTCGAAAATAGCGAACAACTGCAGCACATGCGACGAAATAAGCAGCATTTTCAATCTTCAGGGTCAAGAAGAATGTTCCAGCGATTATAATGATAAATCTTCGTTATCTTCAGAAACCACGACTGAAAATTCAGTTAGGATTGAATCAACTTTTACTTGTCGAAAAGAAAGCCCCACTACCCTACCATCCTTGTTAAGAGTAAACGGAAACAAGCTGGAAAATAAAACGTTTTCTTCTGACAAAATTCGTGAAATCGAACGGAAGAACGCCATTTTAGTGAACAAGATTTTGCATCATAGCAGAAGACCAAATCAATACATTTTTGCAGAGAAAACTCACGTGCCTAAAGTTCCAAGCGCCCAAATAAATAGGCAAAGGGAACAAGAGAAAATTAGTCGAGAAAATCAGGTAATTATGTGCTGAAGTTTGGTTTAGAAGGTAGAAATAATTACTGTCAAAAAGGCACTATAAACAGTGTAGTTTTTATTTGAATTGTTCCATTTGCTACTGAGAACTGCAATTTAGAAACATATTTTTGAGAAGTTCGTTCACTTTTTTGTTTGTTGTTGGGTCTTTCAGAATTAGTGAATCAAAACCCTTTGTTTTTATAGACTGAAGGGTCTAAATTTTTCAGGATACAGGGACCAATTCATCCAAGTTTGAAATCAGATCTCAGATTTAAGAAGATATTTTATTTTAAAAAAATTAAAGCCAGGGGCATCAATAGCGCCTTACTTCTTCGCCATTGGGTATTTTAAATGTCCTTGATTCAACTCAGATTCTCAAAGAGATGCACTCACATCTTTATCAATTATCTGTTGAAAAATGAACACAATTTAAGGTAGTTAGTATATGAAACTTACCGATTGCAAAGCGTGGAATAACAGAGAAGCTTTTCTGCGAACTTTTTAAGCTCCCAGCAAATGAGTTCTTGTCTTTGTTCATTTCTCTCAAAAATGGTATGATATTCACGAGATGTGGCAATAGTATTACTAACGACTAGCAGTTTATTCAACCATATAAGTTAATCGCTACAATTATATTTTCAGATTATTTTGAAAAAAATCCAATCAGTGAAACCATCCGTCAGATACAAGTGGTAAATATTTTGGTTTTCAATTAACTTTTCTATCCGCTGCAAATAGAACCTATATTTCTATACAATACAATTATGTGTTATATTTTATTATGTTATTCAATAAAACGTTAATCGGATAAATGTCATCTCAAACGGTTAATTTTTGTTAGTTGCCTAGGCCTAAACAAAATACTTATACAATAACCAATAGATCTAAAATATAAGATACCGATCACATATATTGGTGCGTTAGTTGTGTTCATATAGCTACTAGACGTATAGGGACCCTGCCGATGCAGATAATACAGAAACTTATGAAGCAACATTGAACAAATATTGGAAAATTCCATTCAATATGCGCATGCGCGAGATTGAAAATCTTGTTTTTAACCAATGACCTTGTGGTATTCAACACCCTAAATGGCCGCTGACAGATAATAATAATAATAATAAAAAGCCTTTATTCGGTTTCGATCGTCAATGAGTTTGGATGCTGCATCTTTAAGGCAGTATTTTCTTAAAATATATCCACATCCAATTTAATATTTAGAAGAAATCAATTGTGTGGATATTTATATCGATATTGTTATGAAAACACAAAAAGTTTGAAATTAAACGGATTAGTTTTGGTTAGTTTTGTTAGTAGATGAAAAAGTTCGTTTACTTGGTTAGATCAAAACCGCTTAAGAACGTGAACGATAACCTGGCAAAGAACAAGAAATACAAAACTATGTTCGTAACCATTCTGTAATCTCTGGTCAAGAAACAGGTGAAATGTCTAATGTCTCCTTTCTTTAAAAAAAAAGTATTAATATTATGCTAAAATTGCAAAAACGGCTATTTTCTTCCATTTCAAAAGAATCTCGTGGTAACGTGTCAATAGTCGGCAATGTGTAAGACTTTTATTTTTTGGTTAATTCTCAATGTCTGCCAGCAATATGTAGGGTCAAATAGCGATTCCGACCAGTTATTAACAACTGGTCAAAAACATACTTTAAAAAGTCCTTCAAATAGTTATAGTATTCGTGAAGGTAAGTTTTTCGAGCATTTGATAAGTTACTTTACATTTTAACAAGTAATATTTTTCAGAAACTTTTGGTACTTTTGATAGCTGTAGTTATGATGATTTTGCCTGCTTGTCAATGGCACAAAATGATAAACATGGATTGGAGGCAATTCGATCATTACACCAACAGCTCGATGACGATCAGGATGGAAATATAGACTATGCAGAATCTGATGATGTATGTTTGTTGTGTTCATTCACATTTTGTGAAAAATTAATCCTCTCATTCCAGTTCTTAAAGGCTGAGCTTAAATATGATTCTGGTGCTGAGAAACGGCAAAGAGCTTTTCACCGCAACAATGATATGCACATTTCTGTTAAAGAACTATGGGAATCATGGCTCAAGTCTGAAGTCCATAACTGGACTGTAGCCCAAACCACGGAATGGCTTATCAGTAATGTGCATTTGCCACAGTATGCTCCAAATTTTATGCTGCACAAAGTTACTGGTGCTAACTTGCCAAGGTAGGCACAAATAAAAATAATTTTAGTTAGTTTTTTTTACAAAGTAAAGTGAAGATTATCAATTAAGAATTCAAAGAATGAGTGAAATGTTGGCTGAGAGTAAAATAACCTCATCTGAAAGCTGAACTACTTAGATGTTAGCGAGAATTACAAAATTGTTTCTTAAAAAATTGCGATGAAGTATCAAAGAATAATTTTTAAGTGCTTCTCCAGAAAATTGCCTATTTATATTTGTTTATTTTATAGGTACCATGCGGTAACTTCACAAATGCGCGAGGTTTTGTGTGTGATTTTCTAAAAATTTGTGTAGTAAATATTGAAGGTATACCCTTGTAATAACCCTACACAGTCTTATGAAGTTGCTATCATATAATTTAATCAATGAATCGGAGTAATACATGGAATAAATGTAACTGGTATATCCTAGAATGCTAGAAACCATTATCTTGTCAAGATATTCTTCCACTCAGCTAACAAGGTGCCAAAAAAATTATATAGAAAATTTTAAATAAAAATAATAATAACTAAATAGTAAAGAAAATCAAACTAGTTTTAAATTTAATTTAAATTAAATTAATATCCCTTCAAATTTTAAATGTTTTTCCAAAAACTGTTGTGTGAGAAAGAATACTACTATATTGCGAACAATTAAAAAAAAAACATAATCACGCTTTTTACAAAACTTCTATTATTATTATTTTTTTTTGCGTAGTCGAAATTGCTGACGTTTCGCCAATCATCCTGTTGGCTTCTTCAGAGCTTGACTGGAAATTTTTTCGTCAGCAAATTCGACTAAGCAAAAACCGACGCAGGAGGAATCTAGAAGTTTTGTAATAAGCATTACAGTAGCCTGTGGAAGTTTCTTTGAAAAAAAAAACATAATCATATAAATTTTTTTAAAAAATAGTATTATTTGTTTTTTTCAATTTGTTTACTTTCGCAGTTGCAAGTTTAAAATATTCATAAAACAATTTATTTAACTGCCCTATAGAAAAAGCAAAAAGCTATTGAAACAATTTAAAGCTCTAGCTTGAAAAAGCGGTGTTTTATTATTTTATTTTATTAGGTAAATTAGAAAAGTGTACAATGACAACCAAGCGAAAAACATTCGCGTTCTCTGGAACGTGTTTTTTTTTATAACTTATATGGAATGCATTTATAATGTTGGGTCATGTGGGTCAAAGAGAGATAAACAATGTCTACTATATTTTTTAAAATAAATTGGACTCAACTAAATAATCAAAAATAGCGCGCACAAATGAGTGGTGGGCATCCATCACCAATTTCCTTCAGCCGAACTGTTTTCTACCTTTTCCGTTTAAAGCAGGATCAAGGATTATGATATGCTATAAGTATATAAATTAATGGAAGAAATTATCGGTTAAACGTTAATTAGAAGTTGTCCAGTTTAAAAAGTTTCTGACATTCAAAGGCAGCAACTGAATTAATTTACACATTATACAATTCTTTATAATTAACTTGATAATTAGGTAATAACATTAGGGGTCAATCAATGCAGTAATTAATTAAAGTAATTGAATTTAGGACAACCTGTACACAAAAATGTGATTGAAATTTATTAATCCACCCAACTTAATACGGTGACAATGCAATACGCAGACTCTTTTTTTCTTCACATACCGTATGGAAAATCAAGCAGATTTTATGCAAAATAAATAAGTTGTTGTCCGAACGATTTAATTCAATTTTATTATCACAGTTATATCTAGTCTGAAAACGGTTATCGGCGCGGATATCTTTCGCTTGTGTTTTTGGGAAACAAAAATCGGGTGCTTTAAGGATATAGTTGGCGAACATCCTTCCAAATGCAGTGGTCATCGGTGATCGAACTTTGCATTGAGCTGTTCCTAAGGTAGTGTTTAGAATATATAAAAAAACAGTTCTCTGTTGGTGAACTTTTTGTTTCTGTTGACATAAATGAAAACGTCAAATAAGTTATATGATTTTATAAAAATTCTATATAAAATAATTATCAATTTTTTTCTTCATTCAATAAAATGTTCCAGTTTGAAATAATCCTATGCAAAATTCTATGTTTATCAGAATCAAGATTCAACCAATAATATTTATGCCTAGTTTTATTAATATGCTAATACTTCCTTTCTTTTGTCGAGACGCTCAATGTTTTCCTCCGCGAATATTTTGTGGGCTCCGAAAACTTGTCGAGCTGATGATTTGTTAAATTTCATCTTTGTTTAAATCTCAAAATACTTAAAAATAATTACCTAAAAAAGAACGAAATAAATTACACCGAAGCGCTTGTTTTTTTCCTGCCGTTCTAAGTCAATTTTTTCATTATTTTATTGTTCAAATTGGTTTGGAAGGTTTCTTCAGTCCTGCCCGTAGAAAACGTCGACTTACATTACATTATAGCAATATATCACGTAAATTTTAATGTGTTTTTCTATTAAAATTGAAATAAGGAATATCTTATTTTATGAGCAAGTAAATGGAAGTGACAGGCATCATCCTTCAACTTATGGTATACCTTACTACATTTTCTGAAATTTCGAAGTTTTTTGCATATTATGAAAATATCTGATTCTATACGGAGCTTTTCAGTAAGAGTAACGATGTACGTACGAAATTTGGTAATTGATTTTTTAAAATCAGTTTTCTGCAAAATTTTCTTATATTAGCTTGAACATTTTCTGAAACATATGAACATTTCCTATGCTATTCTTCGTGCTATGAGTGAAACGATGGCGATTGCATATCGTGCCATCAGATGGCTTTTCTGGTATAATCGGTATGACTTTTTTTTACCTCACTAGATTATCAAACAAGAACACAAGAAGTCAGAGAAGATGGGAAGATGGCATCTTTATTGTTATATGAATAAAAAAACTTTAAACAAAACAAAGGCCTAATTTGTGATTTAGGAAGCACAATGGTGTTTAAAATACTTAGGTATGTTTACTACTTTTTTACAACACTTTCCAAGGCATAAAATTAAGTGCCATTATTGATATAGTAGCTTTATTACTATGTTTTACTAAAAATTATGTTTAGTCACTAATTTGGTCAGTATAAAATGTGGAAAACCATTTGAGAAACAAATAAAATATCTGCTTTGCCAGAAACCATTCGTTTTTAAACTCTAAATTCTCTAAACTATCATTTATGCTCTGATGAACTTTAGGATCTTAGCTTGGTTATCCAGATTGGCGAGCCGCTTCGGAAATTTCCGGCACTTTGGACACGGGTTTGGGAGCGGTCGGATGTTTCCCCTAGATTTTAGCCATAGATGGTATCTTGACGTGTGTCAATTCTGACGTTCACGTGACTCACTGAATATATTCATGCTGTTTTGCGAAAATGTACCCAAAAGTTAATGGTCACAGAATAAGTATAGTGTGCAACACGTTTATAAACTTCAGTCAAACTCGTGAGTACCTTGGAAGATAATATTTTTGCGTTTATGACCGAAAACGCTATCTCGTGGCAAGGTTAGCAATGTAAATTGCCTCAAGACATTTAAAAAGAGTTGAATTTGTTTGAGTACTCACTCTTAACTATCGTAAATTCAAGAAAATGTCAGGAGTTTTGAAAATCAAGATGGCAGTGGAGTTCATCTCATTTTCTCTGGACCTATTTACTAAACACGTTGCCATAACTGGCCCACCCGGTATATATATTATATACATATATTTTTGTATTTGCGTCCATAATTAGCCCAATGTGCCGGGCAGCGTTTTTTTTCTAACATTAATAGTTTAAATTTGTATATTAATAAAAAAATTTAAAGTATTTATAACATAACTTTTTAATATTTGTTTTTTGTCCACTTTATTTGTACATACTATCACCCTTCTCCTAACAGTTAAAGTTAGTGATATTAACGTAAAGCCGACATGTTCCGGGTGTAGGAGTGGAAAAATCTAACCAAAACTAATTTGTAGGCCGTTAATAACACAAATATTGACCAGTTAATAAGCAGCTATTCTGTTATCTATGAACCTTCAACAATAACCATTGTGTTGTCGGTTATTTTATATTTTATCCGCCATTTTATATTTGCAGTGTTAATTGAGTGTATCTACTTTTTCAAAAATGAAATAATTCATAAGAAAAATAAACTCGAAGGGACACCATTTATACTATTATTTAGTAATTATTAATTATAATAAGTAGACATTGACTTTATTTCTAAATATGTTATTAAATAAATCAAAACAAAGGTTATTCGCAGTTTTGTTTATTGTTCGAGCTATTATTCCGGTCTGTACGAAGCTTAAAGCTCTTCGTCCTCCGAGTGCTGTAAAATTGTTTTTGTGACATCTTGTTACCATCTCGCACGATTAAAATGTTGGTGTTGCAAGTTTCAAGTGCACTAGGATTTCAAAATTCGCATTTAAACGGTTCCTGGACAATTGGCAACTATCAGATTTGTTGGTCAAGTGTGGCCTTTCGTTAGCAAATAATACCATATCGCCTTTGATTGGTTAATTAGCATGTTAAAATTTATTAAATAATTAGTCGACCGGTGTGCGCCGGGCTTAAATTTAATCGACTTCTTATGAATAGATTATCAATAGTTGGACATTTGACTCCAACTATTCACACTCACTAGGGTAGTAGTACCGAAGGGATGAATGGACATAGGAATTTTACTTTCCCGGACATTGTTTTTTAAATGTTGCAAGGACTGAGTATGTTACGTAAAATAAAATTAGCGGTTAATTGGTAAAAGTAACCTTTTTTGATGCAATATTTAGATTCGTGGTTAAGAAATGAATATATTAACTACTTATAAATTTAAATGAGATTTTTACAAAAATACTTTTTACGCATTATATCTTTCCAAATTACTGTAATTAGAACGAAACTATGCACGTAGCGTTATATTGATTGAGTGCAGGTGCAGTTTGAATCAAAAACCTCGCACTAAATTGTAATGAAACGTAACTCATTTTTTTGTTTAGGGCGTGCAGGAAATTTGCGTGAAAATTGCGTTTTGGTTTACGCACAATAATATTTTTACTGCGAACGTGAATAGTTAGAGTGATTGAATTTTAGAACTGTTCTGTTCTCTGTTGTTTACTTGTTGATCTCTTAGACTAGATTGTATAATTAGTTATGTGATTTTATTTGATAATTTGAGATATACCTTTGGTTTCATTTTTAGAATATTTAGCGGGAGAAAATTGGACAGGTTTTCACTTTAATATTGCACCCGACCTTGAGTAAACGGCTGAAAAAATAGTGTCGTTATTTAGTAGCCACGCCTTCCTCGAAGTAGCCTTGGAGGGGTTCTGTTCAAATGTCTACAACTCAATCAGAAAATAGTGAATGATACCAGTGGTCATTATTTCTTTATGGTGTTGATAAGATAAGATACGCGGTGTTCTGAAACTTTGTATCAGTGATCAACATTTAATCAATTTTGGTTGTTTCGGATGAGTTCAGCACCCAAGGTTTCTCCTTTTTGTCAAACTATTCAAAACTATATCGCGATCGATCTGTTTATTAGTGGTCCCAAAAAATGGCTGTTGCGCTTTCTTGGTCTGAAAAGTGTTTTATTTTGTGTTATTGCGTGTCAATCATTGGTGTTTCAAAAATTTTCTTGAGTAACTTTTTTTAACGTCGTATCTGTCACAAATTGAAAGTATCCGCACCCATAAAATTCGAAATACTTCTCTCCTAATAATACCCGGATTAAGAAAGTTTGACTACATTTCATATACATTGCAGGAACAGCGAAAATGAAACAGACACACAAACATCATTTTTGTCATAGAATCTTTAAAACAAAAAAATTAAAACAGATCCGAAATATAAAATTTTCCAAACTAGTACAGTTACCACAACTTAAAACTACATATTTTAGTGCACCTAGTGTATATAATAAGTTTAAACGAACGTTTACTAAATACAAAAAGCAAGCTTATTTTAAATGGGGAAATTAATTTTGAGTAATTATTACTAGTTATTTTCTTGGTTTGTCTCAATATGTATCTACATATTCCTTCCTATTAGTTCAAAATCGATCTAGTAATATTCGGAACTCAATAAGTATATAGATAACCTAACCTAAGCTAACAGGTTAGATGTAAGAGTAGCAGTTATTCTGTGATAACAGCTAAATCTTGTCTTATTAATGTAATTTTTTTTCTTCTTATGTACAATTTTGAATATTAAAAAAATTGCCACAATTTTTCTAAACGCTAAAACGTGCTTTCCAGTGGCATTTAATGCGCGTTGTATTAGGCTTTGGGTATTGACCTTGAAATAAAATCGAATATCAATCCAGTAACGAAGAAGAGAATTGAATTATAAGAAACACCAAAAGATAATTTGGGCCGGGCCATGATAATCAGAAAGTCCTGCCCAAACATCAGATAATGCGTTTATCATAAAAAAATATTTTTGTGATGATCTAACATTTGGACTGCTGTTAATGTGAAACGACATGCGGCTTTGCGAAGTATATGCATGTCAAAAAGGTGTCGCCAAACGTTACGGTGAAATATTTTTACTTTTAAACACCCTGGAGTTATACATTATCCTGGTAAAATGAAGAGTTATACAAATTCGATAACTAATTGTTTTGTTTTTGTTTCGTTTTAGAACTGACTCTGAGCGGTTCTAGGATGATTCCGACATGCGCAGTATAAATTTCATAGCATTAAATTCCCTAAGCGCACGTGGAAATGAAAATGAAACCAAAACAAAGCTAATATGTTTTGTTACAAATCTAGTCTGTGATTTATGCATAAACAGATGTGTCAAGAAGGTGTCGCCAAACGTTGCTGTGAAATATTTTTACTTTTAAACACCCTGGAGTTGTACATTATCCTGGTAGAGTGAAGAGTTATACAAATTCGACAACTAATAGCTTTGTTTTGGTTTCGTTTTAGAACTGAATCTGAGCGGTTCTAGGGTGATTCCGACATGCGCAGTATAAATTTAATAGCATTAAATTCGCTAAACGCACGTGGGAGTGAAAATGAAACCAAAACAAAGCTAATATCTTTTGTTACAAATCTAGTCTTAGATTTATGAAATTCGGGTTACCACAACCCAACTACGGAGACACACTTTAGGCAACCGATTTTTGAATCTTCGTTTATATTTCCGTAATAACGGGCGAAAATCAAAATCGCTAACTATTTAATATATAATAAATATATACTTATAAAAAGTTGAGACTATTTGAGACCGTGTGTAGAAATTGCACTTCATCATCCTTTATCGATTTTTATATATTTATTTATATTATTATATTATATATCATAATATTTTTATCAATGATGTCTCCAGTCATTGCTACTTGCTATATTAATGAGGTCGTTTGATTGCAGTAATTACGTCTTTGGTTCCTCTCTTGTTAACCTTAACCGTGGTAATGAATCGCAAGCCTTAAGGTCTTAGCTTTTATATCAAAATGTGTATGCGCGCTGGAAATCTGTGCGAAGCAAACGATGCTATTTAGCCATTAAAAAAAAAATCTATCTAAAATAATTTATTGTACCGTTACGAGCACACAAAACGCTCGTTAGGTCATCCCATAAATTAAATATAGGAATTGTTCACAGGTTGGCGGTAAACAATGGCAACTATTTAGGAACGCTGGGTATCAAGGATCCGATACACCGGCAAAAAATCTCCCTCAAGGCCATGGACGTTGTTCTATTTGGGCCGCCTAAAGGTAAGCAGATAAAGCATCCGTTCATTCCGCCCGTACAGGACAGGACTCTGGAAAAAACATTTTTTGAACAATGTCGTAGCCTGTGTTTGCGCAATATACCGTTTGGAGTTAATAGTATTTTGGATTAGAACAACCGTTCTGTTAATAGTATTTCAGATTTGATTATGTGGGACCTTGTGGTTTAAGGAAAAACCACGGCCTATTTGAAATTAATCTATTTTGTATTCTAAAGCATATTATTCGCTGCAATGGTAGTTGCAAAATAACTGTACATGTTTGCTGCCTATTAGTGAATTCAAAATTGCGTAAAATTTTTCACAATTGAAGGTAGTTCCACTGAACTACATTTTTGTTAAGTCCTATTCTGCGCTTTATTCCAGTATGGTAATTAATTATTTGTTCGGCTCAATTTTTTTTTATGCCATTTTGAATATGCCGGCAACATTTTGTCGAGTCTCTTCATTTTAGACCGGTCGCATTGGTTTATTATTATTTTACCCAAATAATTGGACCTTAACTTGTGTTCGTGATTAGTATGTCGTGGTCAATTGAATAACGTGGATGGACTCAAAAAAAAAAAAACAACAGGCTATATTAATTTTGTTATAAATTTTTAAGTAGGCACACACACAGAGGACACAAAAAAGCGATATTTAAATCAAAAGTTATCTGGAATTCTCATTTCTTCCGTCAACTTTTCCTCGACTTAGACTTTCATTGCCAAGGAACTGGTAATGAAGTGGCTATAATCATAAACGCTTATGTATTTATGCAGGACAAAAAAGGCTTTTCTACGTAATACACGAATGTCAGTGGCAATGGTGAAGTGGTAATGAAAGTTGTGTAATGAAATGTGCAAGATACGGAAACCCGAACTACTGTAATGATTAATTGCATGTTGAAGAAAGAAAAACATATTTTTGAAGCTTTAATTGATAAGCGTCTGGTCCACCTGAAGACTTTTTTAAATATTTTTCTGTACCATAAATGGGGGAACGGAAATGGTAGATTTTTTCCTTGGCTATTAAGCGATAAGCCATTCATTTCAGAGAAAATATAAAATACTAAAGTCTCGAACTAAAAAATTTTTTTGTCAAAGTTATGTTTTTTTGTTTTTAGTTATGGGTATTTATTAATTGCATTTGTAGTTTTTTTTAAATCAAAAATGGGAAGCGCGCTATGGTAGTCCTAGCAAAATGAAGAAGTGTGCTTTCCTTAGGAAGGAGTACATTTTTTCATTTTAAATTGCACCACCCTATGATTTTTGTTGGATTATCACTTATTTTAAATTTTATTTAAAATGGCGTTTAAACTAAATGTGTGTAGGAAATGTATATTTTTGTTGCCAGATGTGTATTTGTATATGAACGCTTTGTATGCATACAATGTTATGTTGCAAGTAAAAAAAAACTGGTTAACTTGGAAACTACTTCGATTCTAAATAATTTTCAATACATATGTAGATTTCTGCGGTACCTGACCTTGAAAGAACTTTTTTATGACATTCTTATTTTAATTTTTTGTGATAACCTTTGTAGTTTTAGAAAGCACCCTTAATGTTTCGTAAAAGTGTCTATATGCGGTTATAATTACTATTATGAAAAATAGTTCAAAATTGGTTTTTATTAATATTATAATATTAACAAATTTATTAATACTTATACTTAGGTTTTTAGTTCCGTTTACGTTACGTTACCTCGTTTATAAATTATTGTTTATAACAAATAAAATTGAATGTTTTGTTATAAACTAATCTGACTGGTCTAAAATGAGATATATGAGATAATTTTTAACGTTTCAGCGGGGACACGCGTGTTCGAGGTTAGACTTTTTAATGAGCGCGATAAAAACTTCATTTTTTAGCATAGCCCTAAATGTTTTCATTTTCAACAGATGGAATAACATGGAAAGACATTACCTTAATTTTGTCAGCTATAGTGGTACTTTTGGGTGGCTGGTTGGCATACCAGCAGAACAAAAAGTTCAAAAATCATTTAAATCGAATGAACAAGGACATGGACAGTTTACAGAATTCAGAAAAGGCATTGGAGAATTTGCAAAAGCAGTTGGAGGAGGCAAAACAGGCCGAGGAATCGGCGAAACATGAAAAGCAAAATTTAGAAAAAATGTTGCATGATTCGAAATTGGATTTTGGAAGTTTGACCAGTGCATATTCTGAATCTGATGTTACGCATTACAAGGAAGAGATAAAGGTAGTGCGTGTGGTTCTATTTTTGTGAAATATTATTTAAGTGCTAATCGGGAAACCCTCTTATAGTGCAAGGTAAAATATGATGTAACACAAAACTGCGATTTTACAAATTCTTTTAAAAAAAATATATTTTGTGAGATTCTGCGTTTAATATTAAATGTCATGATTCGTGATTCGAAATCTGTTGGCATCTGCCCCATAGTGACAAAAATGTTACATAAATATTGACAAATTGCAAATGAGTCTGTGTTTATTTGAACTGACGCGGTATAAACGTAGCAATAGTCTTAACCTACTAATAAAATATGTATCGTTAAATATTGTTTTATGATTTTCTGAAATATTCAAAATAAGTCTCTAATTTCTAGTTGCTCTAGTTGTGAGTTAAAAGCGTCTCATATGGCAAGATGTTATTATTACCTTTGGTTATACTTGGGACTTAATTTTTTAATGTTTTCTATTCTTGTACAAATATAATAAGATTCACAGGTAAATTAAGAGCACACCGAGTAAAAATATATCAAAATTTAAGAAACACTGCATAAGTGGAGCAAAAATTCAAAATCGAAATTCCCTACTAAACAACTGTACAGCCACTGTTATTTTACTTGGGCTGTAATTTTAACAGCATAATTTTTAAAAGTTGGACTCTGTGATTAATTTATATTTTTTAACTGAACTTTTTAGAGCCTGAAAGCTCAACTAGAGTTGACCCAACAAGCATTTAAAAGTAGCTGCTTTCTAGCGCCACAGGGACTGCAGCAGTGGTTGCAGTTGACATACGAATTAGAGCAGAAGAATTATGATAAGAAGAAGGTTGCGGCTGAAAAACAATTGCAGCAAGCTCGGGAAGCGGTAAGTGTAAAAAAAATAAAGACATACCCGTAAAATCCCCTTTACTATAGTAAAATTCATCCCCATGCCATTTGTTCACAATTTGATAGAGATAAATGTTAATACTACTATTTAGGTATATTTCGCAAATCTTGCAGTGTGAAAAATTAAGGAAAAAAAGATCGAGTCTAATAGGGGCATTTGTTTCGACGCATGGCAAGGCGATAGATGACGTTGACAGGGCAATAGTAGAAGCCCGTAGCGCTTTGAATGAAGTCACCTATGAACTACAGGAACGTTCCCATAGATGGCGTCAAATTGAATTATTGTGCGGGTTTCCCATTACGATTAATAATGGACTCCAGACCCTCGAAAATGCTTTGTATAAGAACAAAGGAGAGAGAGTTAACGGATTGGGAGGTATTTAAAGAATATTTTAAAGTTTAATTGTAAATTGATCGTGCTTTATTTTGTTTTTAGGAAGAATGAATAGCGTCGACGATTTAGATTTGAACGACGACACCAGCTCAGTATACGGTTTAGGTAAGAGTTTGTCCTATGAGGATGATGGTTCTGAATAATTGAAGTATTGTTTAGGTAGACGTGTTATGCACGCATGTGTCCGTTTAACAATTTCAGTTGTGTGTACTTTCTTTTTAATTTGGACAAGAAGACCCATAAAAAAACAAACTTTTGCTGCTCTTATTTTTGTTTGGAATTTTATTAAGAATTTGTTGGTTTTTGATTAATATTTCGAAAAGAGAGCCAAAGTTTTTGAATTCTTTGATATTCTATTCATTTTATAATGCCAATTGTGATTCTGAATATAAAATTTGATGGGATCTATTTCCTATCTTATTAATAGTCCATTTAATTTATTAATCCAATAAAGTGTGTGGCATGTCTAACCACAAAACAATAAGTTTATTTAAGGTTTTATATTAAATCGAGTAACCAACTCTTAAATTTATTTTTTTTTTCATGGTTATTAATATCCTTACAAATTAAGGATTTGTCAGTTTCATCAATTTGACTGCAAATTAAGGAATTGCCTATCCAAGTGACTTCCAGATAGTTAACTTCTCTGTAGGTGCTGTGATGGTCAATAATAATGCCATCTGTCAGTAAATCCACAAGACTGGAGAGTGTTTACTCTGTGATACTCTCCATATGTGATAAAATAGCTGTTATTAAAAAAATATATATTGAGACGAGACATAAGTACATAAATTAAACTTCCTCAAATAGATATGTTAAATAGACCATTCGTTGTTATGAATGAAATACTTATAAATTATTATATTTAAATCTAAATTCAAAAATCAAAAGTTCGTCTTTAATTGAGCTTTTTAAAATTACCACTGGAGTCTCAATATTCTGAGATATGAAAGGCACTTTTCGTTAAGCGAAAAATTGTATTATATGTACGTTTTTACAATAACAACAAACAAGACTGATTTCACCTGCCAGTATTTATCAAAATTTTTATTGTTGAGATAATCGTTGTATACCCCTGAACCTAAATAGCATATATCTAAAATGCGCTTTCTTACCATTAATTTTTAAATATAAGTGTATAAAAAAAGTTAATAAAATTTGTCATGTACTTGTCTTATATACATCGAAAACTAGAACTGCGATAATAGTACGGACAGATGGACCAGATTATATAGTAGAATATTCAAATATTTTACGCTTATTTTTACAAACACAAACTTTGATAACTACTAAAGAGTCAAAGCACAAATACAAAAGCAAATACAATAGTACCTCAAATTTTGTTTCCATCGTTGATTATTTGCAGTTGAAATTTAGCTCTTGTTTTTAGCAATGATATATTAATGTTAGTAAAATATGCGATTGAAATTGTTAGCTGGAGCATCTCGTTTCTATTTATATAGTCTTTTTTCCTCTGTGCTTGTTTTGAAATATTCCATTTTGGGCAGATCACGATTTATATTAGAAATCAATTATAAAATGTTGTAGAAACTGGCTTTGTTTTGATGCAGTTGTTAATACTGCAACATTGCACATTAAATTAAGTTTCGGAAAAGTGCAAGAATAAACTAAAATATGGATTTTTTTTCGTTCCAGATTTTGTACATTTTAATCAATGATCAAATTGTTAAAATGTAATAGTTTTTGTTGGGATATTTCTTAACTCTTTTGCACCTGTTCAACAACTAGTTTTGTGTAGTATCAACTTTTTTGTGCGTGCAACCAATAGCTTGTTTTGTTTGTTTTGTTAGACATCGTTTATTTTTGACTGTTCGCTTTCTAAAATAATTTGAATATTATTATTATCTTGAAAACAGTTTTAATATTCTAATGATCATTAGCGAGGTTGTTTTTTTTTTAAAAAAAGGGTAGTGAATTAAGTTCGTGATCTTCTTTACTAGTGGCATAAGGAAGGAAAGGTTTTAAAAGAAAAAATTAAAGTTGTTAATTAATTTTATTTGTTGGTATTTTCGTGAAAGAATAAGCGTCAGTCGTTTTCAGATTTGAGCTAAAGCCAGCCGTGGTCTGTGAGCATTAATATTATGCATTATAGCTACTAGATATGTAGATGCCTTGCCTTGATGAACTGACATCAGTTCACTACTTTTCAGTTTGCATATGCATTTTTCGGCACCATTTTGTCAAAATATGCCCAGATCTCATTAAATTTTCAAGAAAAATAAATGAGTTGTACGTAAAGTGCAGATTAGTGTGTGAAATTTACGAGCATGCGCGGCAAATTATTCCTTTCTGTACGAAAATGTCAGCCGCAAATTTTGCGCTATTTATGATCCTTATATTATCCAATAGCAATATGAAATTATACACAGGTTATTTGGTGGAATATGTTTGCTTCTGAATGAAGGTGGAAGCGAGTTTGGCTTATATATGCTAAGTGTGGGTAGGCAAAAATTTCGTCATGGCGGGTGGCAAAGTATTTAGATATTTCACTCCGGCGTCCATACTATTTTAGATAAAGCAACACAATGTTGAACAAATAGATTTTTCAGTTGGAGTTTTAAAAAGAACGAATTTATTTTCTTCGTACAAAAAACTGAATATCATAGTTAATTAAACTTAATTGTATTTAAAATAGTAAATAAGTAAAAAAAACATTTTCCGATGTTAATTAAAGCCAGAAAATTTATTGTTGTCAAGTTTTTTGTGAAAATAATAAGAAGTATAGGGAATTCAAAATTTTGTAATGATAGTAACAAATCTGAGAGCTGCTGTAGGAATCACAAAGTGGATAATAAATATGCTTGGAGGAGTTGGTTATAAACAAGACGTATCATATAGAAATCCATCCTACTTTTTCATCATCATCATCAATTTCATTTGATACTCCTTCTGAGCAGTATTTGACACTACTAATCAGCTTATCACACACGGTCTCTAGCCTGGTTGAGATCTTTTTATAATTATATCACGCGTTACATAAAGTATGGTAAACGAATTCATAATTATTTTCTCATGACTTATATTGGTAAAAGAGGAACCTAAAGATGGTAGATTAATATTTCTATGCCATCAAGAACGAGCTATACTGTTTACAAGGTAATTCTTTTTTCTGTGTTAATTGAAAGATTTGTATATATTCTTTCTAATAGGTTTAGTACACATGTATTTATTTATTCAATTTTATTATGATTTTGTTGCCAGTTACTTATCAACACAGGGTTGCTATTATCAATAGGCTTGACAGACCAGTTCATTGCAATACTTCTACTTTCAGTAAACCCAATTGGCAAATGAAAAATAGGTTCGATTTAGGGATTAATATTGAAATGCAGTACGAAAATGAGTACATTCGAAATGAGATGTATTATCTTTTTTTGTATAGATATTTAGCATTTATCCTTCTAGTTAATTATAGTCATTAACATAAAATTTAGGCGATCACAGTAGGAATTCATAAATTTTGGAGCATATGTGAGTAAAAATTGTAAAAAAAATAATTTCTTGACGCCAACAAGATTTATTAATTTCAACTGTCTGCACACTTATTACTTAAAAATTTAAATATGTTATTTAAGTTATTTAAAAAGACTTAATGTAAAAAGTGGCAATACAAATAAATGAATAGATATGATTTCAGCAATTTATTTAAAATCCAGTCCAATGGAGTTTTTGAAGTTTTCTCAGTTTAAGAATATAAGGCGTATTACGTGTTTTAAGATATCTGGTATCATTTTCAAAATGGAGAAGTTGTATTGAATATGTTGTGACTAATATTCAATAATAAAAATATTACAATAAAATTGCCCTGCAAGCAAATGATGCCATGCTGATAGAAATTCAAATGATTCTATAATTACCTCAGAACAAAAAATGGTAATGCAATGATGTCCTAGTTTAAATAAATAAAAGTTGCCGCAAAGTAGAAACGTCACCATATAACTATAGTTAAATTTTAAAATAAAACCTGTATTTGATATTAAATTTAAAGTCAAGTTTAAGAAAAAAACGTAAATTTTGCATAATGCCTGGTTTTTTAACAAATTTTGGCCTTATTTAAAGATTGAAATCCAATATTCATTTGCAACAAATTCTCTCAACAAGGCAATAAACAATTTCTTTTTCCAAATAAGGCATGAATTACTCTCATTTCGGCTTAAACTATTTATCTACAGAATTCCCTATTGGTAGTTTTCATTCTAAACGGTTTTTAATTGAATCATCTACTGCGTTAACTGAACCGTTAAATGAACAAATAGATTTTCTAAAAATAGATAAAACCAATTTGCGTCAATAGCAACTATCTCTGACAACATATTTGTCTTTCGAGTTACAAATTTGAAAACCATTTTTATTGTTGCTACTAAAAGTTTTCGGCGTCGCCAAAAGCGTTTATTATCGCGCATATGCAAATCAATGCACTTATTTAAACATTGGATATAGTGTTGAAGTACTATTTTATCAGGTGTAAATTATGCAGAAATCCAAGCTCAAACATCTTCTTGGAATGAAGATGATTCTTCTGGGAGCGACATAAGCAAGCAAGACGAAAACGGAAATGAATCCAGACCGCCTGGAGGCAATAGTGTTTCATTTCAAATTGGAGGCTCGTAAGTACTTCCTGTTTTCATTATAGAGTTTATGATGAATTAGTTCACTTCTATAGGGTGGTAAATGACATGATATAATTTAATGAGTAAATGGACTTCATATGAAGGCTGAACTTGATAGGGAAAATATAAAAAGTTGGCATTGTGTTTCAATAGGCTGGTTAGTATCAAGCAACAGTAAATTCTGCATTTAGGGCGATTCAAATAATATAATGTAAACGTACGAGACAAACTTACCATAACTTATAAGAAGCTTTTAAATTTATGCTAATTTAAAAAATTTCTGTAGATATCGCCTTTCCACTCTGAATGGCAGAAAATTAGTAACACTCACTGGTGAGTTTTTTCGTGATTAGGATTCATTAACAAATTATTTTTTGGGGTTGACATTATCAAATGAACAATATTTCAAAAATAAATCTGGAACCTTTTCTAGCGACAATAGGTGAAGTAAAAGTGAGGCTGTTGGATTATTTTTTTTTTATTTGTTAAACGAACGATGGAAATATTGCGCCACTTGTTCTTCAACCCTAAGATTCACTCATTATATTATAACACAATTCAGTAAAATCCTGTGATTCTTGGTGGAAAACAGATTAGATGCTTATATAAAGGGAGATTTTAAATTTGCTTTTGGTGTATTTTTAAATGGAATTTCGCATATTTCATATTAAGTATAAAAATCCAAGTGGAAAACTTTAAAATAAAATTGACAAAGATCGATAAAAATATTTTTAAATTCTGTGGAGCCGTTGCCGCACAATCAATTATTTTCTTTTTTTTTTAATTTATTGAATATTTGTATACATTTTTCACATTTGGCTGTCAGAGACCTGCATTTTACGTAACTTTTATATTTAACTTTATTTGAAAATTATTTTCTTAAATGATTCAGTTATCGAAATACTTTGGAAAATTAATAAATAATTCGCCAATAATGCCCTATCGAGGAATATTATTTAGTCAACTTAATTGAGTAAACAAAACTTCTACTCCAATATTTGTAATTTACGTTGTACCTAAATATTTTAGATTGACAGAACGGCACAGTTAATGTAAACAATTAAATTTCAGTCTTCCCTTTCCAGAAGTGTCTATGATGCCATCTGTCGCAAACCAACGTGCTTGCATATATTAATATAAGTAAACATTTTTTTAGAGCATATCCAGAGGAGCCGAGCGCAATAAAAATCTTAGCCAAGCATTTAGCTTCGAATCCAAAGTCAATAAGTCAGTCAAATATTAGTATGAACCCACCTTTACCAAAACCTATATCAAGGGCATTCTCGCAAGACATTAACTTAGAAGACGTTCCCAGGCCAAAAATTTCGGCGTCAGAAGGTGCGTTAGAAAAGAAGACCCTTTCCAGTAAACAGTTAGCTATTCAGGAAAATGTAGAAGTTCCTAAACAAATTCCGCCGATCGAAGACGACATTTGTTCCACAGATTCGTCGCTGATCGAGGAGGGAGAAGTCAAAAAGAAGAAGAGAAAGTTATTCAATTTTGCGAAAAAGACCAGCTTAAAAAGAAGTGATAAATCATGAGTGTTATAGAAAATCCATAGGATGGAAAACTTAAATTATGTTTAGAATATACAACAATAATTGGAATGTAACGCCTCAATTTTTTTAGGGGTTGACTTAAAAAAAAATGGCCACCTACTTAAAGTAATAATAATTCTCCTTAAAGTGAACTTTATAGAATTTGGTTTTATTCCACAATAACAGTTGCTGGCGAATTTTTTTTTTTTTTAATGGTGCCTTATTTTTATGGGTACAGCACAAATGTGTCTTCCGGGGTTACTTTCTTATGGGAGTGTTTACACCCTTTTATATATATTATTTTTTATGTATTTATTTTTCAAGTGTTTTTATTTGAAATCTCACTATTCTAAAAACGTTATTTCATCCTTTTTACATATTGTTTATGATTATAAACAAAGCAATTTGCAATAATTGTTTTTAACTGATCCGAAAAGTAGTAGGCATTTCATGACAAATAGCTTCAGACTTCAGTTTCAACCGGAAATATATTTTGTAAGAGTTATGGTTATTTAATATGTAGTAATAATGGTGACATACAACATTTTGGTACAAAATATAAGTGTATACTAAAACGTTGCATGCATCTATTACGTTGCCCAGTAGTTTTAGAGGTATACATTTTAAATTTAATCTTAAATCCACCTTAATAGCAAAGATATTGTGATACTAGTTTCCTAGTGGTGATAAGATGTAAAAAATCCTAACTTTCGTGAATATACAAACAATTTGAAATGTGTAATTTATTGCGCATCCAAACACTAATTAGTAACCAAGCAATTTACACTTTATACTGTCATTCCATCAATTTGCAGAGTCTAACACATTTAATTTGGTTTCACTAAATAAAGTTTTTTCTGAATCTGCAAGAAAATCTCTTGTAACGGGGAGCAGTATAAGCAGATGGCCAAAAATCTTAAAACAATTATTACCAATGGTCGCAGAAATCTTTTAAAATCGCAAAAAAAGCAAAAACTTAAATAGGAGATTAAACAAAGACAAAAGCCATCATTTCAAAAGTATATTTTAATAGATCCAAAAAGTAATGGGCTCTGCGGAATTCCATACTTAATAATAAATGATACTTATGGAATGGTAATTAGATTGCGGCAATATTTATTGCGAATGAAAATTTTTTAATTTTAACAAAATGAAAAATGTTGTTTTGTTGACAGAAAATATCTTCCAAGATACCTAAATATCCTTCATACCAAACTGCGTTTAGTTTAACTAAGTGTGATCGCCAAAACATACCACTCAATTTTTAATAACTGTACTCATTTAGCTAATCGATAATATGGGGGCTGTAAATATGATAAAATTTATACTCTACAGGTATATTTTGAAAATATACAGCTGACAAAATTTCCCTGGTAAACTAAAAACTATGAACTGTGGCCACAGCAATGTTTTATTTATTGCAACCAGGTTTAAAATGACTCGCGCATGTGCATATCAAGTATCAGCCTTTAACAATTATCTAGTAGCTACATGGTACATCCAGCACAGTTGAACGCAGTTGAATGCAAAATTTAGCAATTGCCCTGGTTCCAAAAGAGTTTCCATTGGGCATCAAATTCATCTGAAGAATATGGAACATTCTTGTCTAGAAAAAATTTCAAAGCTTTTGCTTGACACTTTCCAATGTCCCAATGTTGATCCCAAGTGTTCATCTTTCCACTAGGTCTATCACACTTGTATATATTTTGCTTTCTTTGTTTTTGTGGATTCTTATTGGTCTCTCTTATCATTTCATGAATTGTTTTGCATATGAAGCATTCAAAGTTTGTAATAGAATGATGGCTATTACTAGAATCTAATATAATATTGTTTTTTAAAAAATTGTTAGTTATTTTTCCATTTATCTTGTGTTCTAAAAGTGCATTATAAAGAGTGTTATTGTCATTAACTTTAGCAATGAAATTAGCTAAGGAGCTTATGTTGGGAAAATCTTTTACCAATATTGTTGAAGAATTATTTGGTAACCAGTCCTAAAAAGAAATGAACATTTTCATTAATTGTATAAAATTTAACACTTTACTATGTATTTTTTCAATAAATAATTACCTCCACTTGATCAGAACCTAAATAAATTGGAACCGAGCCAGCTATCAAGGGTCTCCACAATTTTTCTGTGATATAATCTTCACAAATTGCATTTTCAATAGCAATTATAAATTTATATTTTGAAACAAAGTCTATATATTTGTTATTATAAATATCAAGCCTGTCAACACTTAAAAGTCTAAAATAGAGAAAATTCGAATTAACACTGCCAGCACAAAAAAAATTACAGACAGACACATACTCATCAGGCAAGTTCTTGTTATTTAAGCAATGTCCATAGCTATCAACATTAATATACTGCATTAATTCCTTTACAATTCCATCTCGACCAATGGGAGTATCACAGTTGGACTGAACATACAAAACTGGAGCAAAATTTTTCAAAAGTAAATTTTTCACCTCAACAGATCTAAAAAAATTTTTATCTTTGAACAAATTAAATTGTTTTTGCCAACATCTATCTTATCTCTTGCACCTGTTAATAAATTTATATTATCTAGATAATTAAGAGTTAAAGGAAAGTCGCTAAATCTGCTAAAAGTGGCTGTAATATTGAATAATGCTTGCACTTCTTTGTGAAGAAATGGAGCATAATTTTTGGGAGATTCTTCATGATAAATTGCCCATAAAACGTCCTTCGATCTCGGTAATGGAAAGTCATCATTTTTAATCTGACTACCATAGAATAAATAGGCCTATAGAAAAATATGGTGATTGTTATAAAAAAAAAAACAAATATCTTGTCCAAACATATCCATATGTTTTAAAAATTTACCTTTACTAAATCTTGAGGAGAGTTTTCATATCTACTAAGCACTAAACATTCATATTCATGTTGACAATTTATTTTTCTCATTTCCTTAGGCATAAAAGGAGTCCACCAAACTATAACAGGACGTATATATACCTTCTCATAAAATATATAAACTGCGAGCTAAAACATATAAACTTAAAAAAAGAGAAAAGATGATATTTTTTTTCTAACTTTAACCAAAATATAAGTTAAAACTTGGAGAATTATAATTTTGATAAATATTTTCCATTTAAAACTTCCAAACATATATACAGGAGTTAATATTAGAGGCATCACTATACGTTAAGCGCAAATCGTAAAATGTCAAAATAATACAAACAAGTTTTGAACTACCTTGGAATTATCCTCCGTTTTAAGTACATAAATGAGGTTATATTCATACTTTTTTAAATTAGTAAAACGTTTAGCTTTAGCCGTGTTTGTTCGGGAAGGCTAGCTAAATAACTGTTAAGTCGATAGTGGTCAGTGACAAAGCCGGGATTATATTGAAAATAACCTGTAGTTTCTTGTCCCAATATATTTCCTTTTTAAATATCCAAAATATCTGAAGCCTTACTGTTTTTGCCAATTATACCTCTTTTAATTCCTATCTTAATTCGACAACTCAAAATTTATAGTCGCAGGATGAAAAATATAATTCAAGATACTGGTTTGTTAACCAAGAATACAGTGCGTATGAAAAATCCAAATCACGTGAACGAAATACTAAATAATTTGATAATTGGAGGGATCCAGAGACTTCAAGTGGTTTCAGATTTTGATAGGACAATAACAAAGCAACATGAAAATGGAATACCACATCTTAGCAGTTTCGGTTGGTTTAATTTAGCTGGTCTTATTTTTAATATGTTACTAACAAAAAAAATCGTCGAAATATATGAAAATTCAAAATAATTTATTTCAGCTATATTTGGTAGATGTCCATCAGGAACTGAACAGTTTTTAGCCACTGCCCAAGAGCTACGAAAAAAATATTATCCTATAGAAATAGATCCTACAATGTCTCTTGAAGAAAAAATTCCTCACATGGAGATGTGGTGGAAGAAATCTGAAGAAGCCATTAAGTAAAGTTGAATTGATTATTTAATTAATTTGTGTAATTTAAGTTTCACAAATTAATTTCCAGGGGATTGTCAATAAGTTCAAAAGAAATTGGGGAGGTTTGTTTACAGTGTAAACCTTCATTGAGGTAAGCACAATTTTATTTGATAGTTTTCTGATTAACACATAGTAAAGCTGTAGTGAACTGCTGCTAAAGGTTTTTTGTGAAAAATTTAGTCCAACCAATGTTTAGTTTAAACATACTTTCCTTGCAAAGTATTGGAACCATATATAAAAGGAATGTGTTTCAAAATGTTTCGTATTAGTGCATAACCCTTAAATCCCAGTCCCTTTTTTTGTATTATTAAAACTTAGGAATATTTTAGAGATGGCACTAAAGAACTATTTGATGATTTGGCAATGGAAAATGTTCCAATTTTAGTATTTTCCGCAGGATGTGGTGATGTAGTAGCTACTATTTTACAACAGGGTGGTGTCTACTTGCCCAATGTGAAGGTAAATGTGATACATACAAACTCTTTTGGTACCTTTACAGCTAGAGTTGTGTCAATCGCGATTGATTCGGTCACTTTGCTTCAATCACTTCATAGGATCGAAAGACCGAATCCCGCTTGTTCGTAACTATTCGATCACCTTGTTCTCTTTCGCTGCCGCCCTGACCGTTCTGAAATGACCAAATACATGACAACCGATCGACCGACCATACCAAAACAAATAGAATTCGCTGGAATACGTTTCATTTGAATGGTTTGAGATTTAAATGCATGACTGAGACAGGCCACGGAAAAGGAATGGGAGTATTGTTATAATTATTCTACAGTATTGAGTTGCGACATCGATTGGTAGATTTGCTTATGTGATGAATTGAATATTGAATGAAATATGTATTTCCACACATTTATTGATTTTAAACAAATTAATGTATTACTGGTACAACCTACCTAGCACCTATTTTGATAAAATCATGATTCAATAAAAAGCAGAACACAGCTAAATATTATACTAACTAGAATAGAAAACATAACAAATGGACACAACAATAATTCAAATTCAAATGAATCTCAATCGGTTGTTTGGACTGTTCAGATTAAGTGACTATTTGCATCAAAAAATATTGAAATGAATGTTTGATTGAAATGATTCGGTCCTTTCTGAAATCGGTCACTGATTGATTCGGTCCTCGTAAAATGTACGATTGACACAACACTATTTACAGCTACTATGAACTAAATTATTGTAATAACGTAATTTTTTACAAAGTCAACTTAGGCTTTGTTTTCCTAATGTGTTGCTTCTTGTTAGGTTGTGTCGAATTTCCTAAATTATGACAGTAGTGGAGTGATTCAGGGATTCAAAGATAAAATTATTCATGTACTGAATAAGAATGAATATGCCATTAAAAACACAGAATTTTACAATTTGGTTCAAGACAGAGAAAATGTTATTGTTATGGGTGACTCATTAGGTGATGCAGAAATGGCCAAAGGCATGGACAACTTGAAGACTGTTTTAAAAATTGGATTTTTGTATGATCGGGTTGGTAAAAACTTTTATTGTATTTACCCCTATTTTGGCAATATCTATTTGTATTTTAGATTGAGGAGTCTTTGCCATCTTATTTGGACACTTTTGATATTGTTCTCATTGACGATCAGACTATGGAAGTTCCAAAAGCAATTTTTGATTCTGTGAAAAACTCACATTGTGAATAAAAACCATGCTTAGATTGTGATACTTGGCTTTCCCATGACAATGTATAGAATCTCGTTTTTTATTATTTATTTCTTGTATGTATTAATAAAGCAAAGCAAATATATGTTGTTTCAAAACTACAATATCAGAAGAATAAAAGTGTAAACAGACAAATACCTAAAAATACAGTATACAGTTCTTAAATTTTTTTGAAGAAATTTACTTGTTTCTGTTAATATTTATGCCAGAATGGTGCAAATTTTTAAAGGTACGTTTGTGATGGTTATTATTAAAGAGCAATTCTCAAACAATATTCGTTTAGTTGTAGGCTTAAAATGCTCCACTAATGGTGCATATTTATTTTCTATGAACCATATTCACTATATGCTTCATATGTAACAGAATTATCAAAAAACAATAGTATAAATAGTATAATTCATCTTAATATTATCATTCCGTTTGTGTAAATATCAGATCTATTTAGTAAATATTCCAGCTTTAACTATCGATTCATTTGGAGATATCGAGCAATCTAAAATTTTGTGTTTGTGTTTGCCCACACACCAACAGATGGCGACTTTGAATTCTACGTAACGCTGGTTGCCAGGTTTACGATTCTTCTAGTTGGAAAAATTGGAACAGGATGGTTGCTGGAGTAAGTAACGAGAAATATCCTCAATTATCTTAAAAATTTACAATAATCTTTTTATGATTCGTTTGCAAACGTATCCCTAAGTATTTCAGTTTTTTAATTCTGTTGATATTTTTGTAGACACTATATACCTATCCTGATAACTTTCGTGCCGCAAAGGCATTGATCGCCGCCCAATATTCCGATGCCAACATCAAAGTAGATCCTAACTTCGTGTTCGGTGAAACAAACAAAACCAAAGAATTTCAGCAGAAATTCTCATGGGGCAAGGTATTTATATTTAAAGTTTTTGTAATTTTTGAGGTTATGGGAATGATTGAATTTTAGGTTCCAGCCTTTGAATCAAGTGATGGAAAAACTTTACAAGATAGCAATGCGATTGCCTTTCATGTCGCTAATGAACAACTTAGAGGCAAAAATGACTATCACAAGGCTCAAATTTTACAATGGATTGGTTTTGCTGAAGGAGAAATTTTACCAGCTGCTTGTGCCTGGGTCTTTCCAATTCTTGGAATAATTAAAACTAGTCCAACCTCGCAAGAGGTATGATGTGTCTGTTTAATTCAAAGATATTATCCTTTTTCAAAGGCAAATTTTGCTATTTTAATAGTAATTTTTGTAACTAAAAGAGGTATACAAATGTTTGATTTGAGCTAAATATGGGAACATCTCTTTTGGTGTTAAGCTAAAAATCGCACAAGTTGTTAAACATTTTAAATTTATGTCGGCTGTTTGAAGTTAAGTATTGTATTTTTAGGCCTTTCACCGAGCAAAGAATGACATGAAAACTGCCCTGACAATTTTGAATGATCATTTAGTTACCCGCACATATTTGGTTGGTGAAAGAATTACCCTTGCTGATATAATTGTAGCTTGCAACCTTTTGAATCCCTATAAGTTTGTGCTAGATCCTGATTATAGGAAACAATTTGTGAATGTAAATAGATGGTTTAATACATTGATTAACCAATCCCAGTTTAAAGCTGTGTTAGGAAATGTCATCCTGTGTGACAAAGTTGCTCAACCCAGTGTAATTCAGGCACAAGGTGATGGTAAGTTACCAGACATATTTTGCTATTCATTTTATTCTTTTTGAAATTTTTATGGGGATTCTACAGTATAGTTTAAAATTTATCTCATATTCTCATTTAGAAAAATTATAGAATAGTTCTACCTGTAGAATTTCCTGAAATATTGCTTACGCTTATTTTGCAATAATTTTAACTAATCAAATTAGTTTTTGATATGTTATTCATTTTGAAAAATTTATTTTCTTGGACTAGTGCTAATGACTTAATTAAAACAAATCATTTAAAAGTACGTACTTTTGTATTTTACAAGCTGCCGATTGTAAAAATTTGGATAAAATTATCCAAACAAAGGGTGATAAAAGTAGTGAAAGGGTAGAAAGGCATGAACATTCGGAAAAAACGAATAAAAAGAAAGGTTAGTAGTTTTCTGTAATTACAATCTTATAAGAATAATTGCCTCTATGCTAAAAACTAAACCAAGGAAGTTAAGTGAAATCTTCTTTTTCGTGTAGCAAAGGGTAAAAAGAAGGAAGAGAAAAAACAAGAAAAGAAAGAAAAATCCAAAAAAGAAACACCGAAGAAGGAAAAGGAAATAACTCCAAATGAGGACTTAGATCCCACAGATGAAGCTCTGGCCCTTGAACCTAAAAGCAAGGATCCATTTGACTCCCTTCCTAAGGGGTAAATATATGCACTTAGTAAATAGCAGTGCCAAATTTAGGTTTTTCCTTGTAGATCTTTCAATATGGATGATTTTAAACGTTGCTACTCCAATGAGGATGAAGCAAAGTCAATTCCTTATTTCTGGGAAAAATTCGATCCTGAAAATTATTCAATTTGGTATGGAGAGTACAAATATCCTGAAGAATTAACAAAGGTCTTTATGAGCTGTAATTTAATCACTGGAATGTTTCAACGTTTAGATAAGATGAGAAAGCAGGCTTTTGCATCAGTGTGTTTGTTTGGAGAGGACAACAACAGTACCATTTCCGGAGTATGGGTGTGGAGAGGTCAAGAGCTTGCTTTTACCGTAAGTTTAACTTACTTGGTGTTAGTTTATAGTTCATTATTTGACTTATTTTTTACTTTATTTTAAAATGTATTTTCTTTAGCTAAGTCCTGATTGGCAAGTAGATTATGAAGTTTATGATTGGAAAAAATTAGATGTCAATGATCCAGAAACAAAAAAACTTGTCCAGCAATATTTTTCATGGACTGGAACTGACAAAGGAGACAGAAAGTTCAACCAGGGAAAGATCTTTAAGTAGTTATGAATTTGGCAACCACCATATGCAATCTTTTCATTTAACATGTGTTAAACGAAAAATAAAAAATTTGTGTTCCATTCTTTGTTTATATTCTCTTATACTCTTTTTGTGATTATTTTTAGAACCTTGTATGGAAAGACTGTCATTTATCTTACAAGCTTTTATAAAATCAAATTAAATAACTACATCAATAATTTGTGTATTTGTGATCTCAAAATAAAAATTAAAGTTAAAAAAAGTTGCATACTTTAAAAGTAGCCAAATAAACAACCAGCTAATCATGCACTTTTTCAATAGTGGTGCAATAAAAATGTGTAGCGTCGATTTTGCGTCGACCATATGACAACCCATTTGAATACAGTTTGTAGGGAAGATAATAGAACAAGATCAAGTTTTGACCTTAGATTAGTTAAAAAAGTTAAACTGGTGGCTGTATTTTCGTACTGTAGAAAATTGTTTAAATAAATTACCGCCGAACAATGAACAGATGTACCTAAATTGTCCATTGGGCCAACTGTACAGGAGTACTTGCCCATCACCAACTATGAGTTTAAATTTCGTCAAAGAACAAATAAACATTAACTTTGCTTTGCTTAAAAAATGTAAGGCATAGAAGAAGGATTTATAATATAACCTGGTTTCCAAAATCTCCGTTCGCTCCCGACCCCGACAGAATATGTTGTAATCGTTCCACAAAGTTTTGATATGGATTCGAAAAATGTATTGTTTGTATTCTGTGATGGTTTTAAAGCTGTAATCCTTGTCGGTCCCACTGTTTTTTCCGTCCAAGCTGGTTAAAGGCCGAATGGGCTCGTATGGTCGGCAGGAGAAGCGAGGAAGGCCGTTTTGAGCTATCGATCAAAGTACCTTTTTTTTGAGAACCTATGAAGTATATGTTAACAATCCATTCTACATTATAAAGAAAGATCACCATTCACCTAGAAAATGGTTGAATGATCCCAGCAGTCTTGGCCAACAGAAGCAAAAGAAGTAGAAGAACCTGGTTTCTTATGATGCATGTAACTGGGATTCTGTGGTGGAGCATTGCACAGGACGGTTTAACCTCCGTTCGCTCCCGACAGAATCCCTTGCTTTTGTCCTCAAAAGTTTGATATCGGTTTCCACTGTGTGGATTTAGTGTTTTTAGTGTTCAGTGCATGTTTTAAAGTGATAATCGTCGTCGGCCCCGTCGTTTTTCCCCGTTCACGCCGGTATGGAGGCCGGATGGGCCCGGATGGTCCGCGGTGGAAGCGGGGGGAAGCCGATTTTTTATTGGTATCGGTCAGAATCTTTTTTTGCTAGCTGAGCAAATTATTGGTTATTTTTCTTCTTTGTACGTGGTGGTCGTTGACCAGAAGCGAAGATCCTCGACGGAAGTCGGCAATGGGCGAATGATCCTAGCAGTCGAGCCCAACATTTTTTTGTGAAACGCATACTTGAACTTGAACTTGATGCATGTAACTTCTTTTTTTCTTTTACTTCTATTGGCCACGACATACATGAACATGAAAAGTAACTATGCACCTTTGCTTAGCACATGTCCTTGGTTATGGTACCGGTCATTTATGTCTTTGACGCGATTGCACTAGTAAACTTTATATTTATGCTATGCAGGAATCCGTCCAAGAATTTGCTTTATTACGTAACTGACCAATCGCAATTATCTGTCATCTTCGAATCGGGGTTGCCACAGCTCGTTCGATTGAGGGATGTGGGCAATTTTGTTACTTGTTTTTTCTCTCGCTCTGGCAACAGTTACCAATAGAAATCAGCTGTTCTAGACGTTTAAAGTTTGAAGTCGATTATTAAAGAAAATATTTAAAGCATGGTTTATGATTTAAAGGAATTTATATTTTTTCGTCATGGAAATCTTTGTACCTGTAGAAAAGATGCTTAAGATGACCTATCTAGAACAGTATGCACAACATATAATAAATTACAGTTCAAGATATAACAGTTCCAATAGTTATTCCTACGCGCCTATTAATTTGGTTGGCAAATATGCTAAATATCCTTCTTATGGTGATTTTCCAGAAGCTTATTTTTTGGTAAATGTTTGCCATTTTTATTCCCTTAAAATTAAATGTCTACATTTTAAGAGATCTTATGGCTTTTGGTGGAAGGAAAGCAATGCCAGGCTAGAAGACTATAGGACCCAAGATTTTGATTTGTTAGGTGCTGAAGATTTTGTTACTTTGGAGTAAATACTTCTTTGAAAATAATTTCGAAGCAGTAGTATTAAATTAATTCTTTTAGGTTTGGTAGTGTTGTCATTCCAAGAGATATATGTATTTATGAAATTTATAATCCAGGCGCTATTATTAGAATATGGGGTTGTATAAAAGGGGAGAAAAGATGGTATTTGCTCTGGGAAGGGTTCCCACAAAAGTGTATGCCAAGGTCTAGAAAGTTTTGCCCGCCCCTTAGAAAAATTAATTGTCTGATTGAGTATGTATTAGAAACAATATGAACCTTTTTTTTATAAAACTGGTAACTACTTATCTTCAAATTCAAAACTTCTATAATTTATTGTATTTACTTATAAATATTACTAAATTATCTAGTGATTCAAATATATCCAAATTTTTAGTCTAGTGCCATCTTAATAGTAGCTAAAAATTACTTTCAGTGTAGTTCGATTGGAGTTCAACCAGAGCCATTTGGAGTACCACACTTCTATCGATGCGGTGTTGCTGGGTGGTTACCAGCCAGACACAGAACTGCAGTATTGCATGATTAAAAAGGGTTTAGTAGAAATAAAAAATGAAAAAACAATAAAATGCCACACTGTTAGTGATATAGAACATAAAAATTGTAATATTAAGCCCTTAAAAATTGACTATTTTTCAAATCTACCGGTAAGTAAAATTTTTGGGCGAGGTTCGGCTTAAATTGAATTTTTTAGCATGAAATTGTACTACATATTTTTCATTATTTGGATTTAAAATCATTAAGTAGATGTGCTCAAGTTAATAGAAAGTGGAATCAGATTTCGGGTGATCAAAGCTTATATCAAAATATTAGCTTCAAGGTGAGTAATTGATTACTTTTTAAATTGTTATATTGGAAATTTTGAAGATTTATTGGTATCTTGTTGATGACGGCACATTGAAGCATTTTACTGACACATGCACTAACATCCGAAAATTGGATCTCTCTTGGTGTAACACCAATCAGCTATTTCACCACAAATTAAACCATGAATACCAAAAATCACTTAAAAGGTAAATTTTCCTTTAGAGTTTTTTGTAAGTTAGTAAGTGATAATTATGTTACACTGTAATTGAAATGGTTTAATTGCAAATTGCAAAAACTGGCTTTTCGAGAACTCTTTAAAAATAAGCTTGCAGAGGTGCTTCAAATTTGCCCCCTAAACTTTGCACAACTTATTTTGTCGATTTAAAAAACTTGTCTTTTCTGAAAAATTTAAACATTTTTACTGCAAATTGAAATATCCAAATTAGATTCAGGAAAACATTAATTTTAAAACCAGACTTCTGTGCCCTAAGCGAATTGAAGAGTGTGCAAAATCTCGCAATTTTCAGACTATTAAGTAAAAATCAAACCACCCTTTCTCATCTCAATTTAAATGATAATTATTTTGTGGACAACGAACTGATGTATACCATATCGGAATGTTCAGAACTAATTGGTACGTAACACCAAATTAGTGTTAATGGCATAATTGACCATCAATTGTTTTGTAGATTTACGATTGCATCATACTCATAGATGGTCGACAGCTCCACTTGAGGATCTTCATAAATTAGTAACATTAGATTTAAGCTTGACTCAGATCCACGATAGCGACCTAATTAAAATTATCAAAGCGAACCCAAACTTGGAAAATCTTATTTTAGGTAGGTCATAGTATATCATATAGACATAGATTGAATTTTGTTTTGTAATATGAAATGAATCGCATGTATCAAACCCATAGCTATTAGATAATATAGTGTCCTACTACGGTAATAATTCATATGCTGCATGCCTCTGCATTTCAATGACTAACCTGCACAATTGAATTCGTTTTCCTAGAGCAACAAGGATCTTATTGACGATCTGTCACCGGCCATGTTGGTTATTGAATGCCCCAAGGTCATACCTAGATTGAATGGCCTTTCTCAAAATTATTTTCATAGTTGTTTCATAAGTTTCTGTATTATCGTCATTAGGCAGGGCCTCTATATTTTTAGTAGCTATATGATCAGACCTAAAGCTCATGGACTTAATTTACCCATTTGATTGTTAGGGAACTTGTCGCTCTGTTTCCCGGTAGTGTTTATGATACAGGGTGTTTCGAAGATCTAGTACAAAACTTGGGCACGTGAAATAAGTGCAGGCAAAATACTATAACATGTTTGTATGAACCTATGTAAATCTTACTGAGACACAACAACAGACTTCTCAATTAAAAAATAAAATTATTAATTGAGCAAAATTACTTTTTAAAAATAATTTATACTAATATAGTTTCAATATTGCAGTTTTCTAATCACTGAAAATCTGCAATGAACACACACAAATATAGTAACCCTCAATCGGTGATAAATGTTTCCATCTTTCATGTGAATAACTATCCGAATATTAAACCCGTTTGAGTGGCTACACCTTAATCTTTTTGTTTTGAAACTTCTACTTATTCTTTAATAATTCAATTAGTAGAGTCTCCACATTAGAGAGCGGCACAACAAATTGAATTGCATACTTTATCGAAACACATGAATTTTTAGAATTAAGGTACTAAAATAACCTGAGATAATTTTTTTCTGTAGAATCGAAAAATACGAAATGTAAAAAATAATATTTAGGGTTTTTCAAAACATCAAAGGTAGCCTAGGTAAGACACTTATGAGACACACCCTGTATTCTATTGGCAACTAACTTCATTCCATATACCACTTTCATACACGCCACCTTTGTGAAGAGATCCGCAGCAATAAATCACCCTGTATAATAAATTTTAGATCTTTGTGAACATTTAGTTCAATTGGATCACGTGATCGAGGTTGTAGTTAAATACGCCAAAAATCTTAAAACCTGGAGTTCTTGGAAAACTGTATCATTTACAAGCGAAGGTTTGAAGAATTTCCAATACCTGAGCAATCTGGAGGAATTGGATCTTGGATGGTGTTTAATAAGTAGCGATCCGGGAAATTGTCTATTGGAAATTGCCAGTGGATGTAAAAAGTTGCGGCGGTAAGAAAGATTTTCCTTATTCCCAATGATTATGAAAAGTGGTATAGCAATGCCCAAGATGTGCTTGACATTTGCATTTTATCTATCATAACTTGTATAGATTTCCATATTCCAAAAATTTCCTGAAATCCAATTTCAGTTTGGTACTATCGGAATGGAGAGGAGCAAGTGACCAATTGATAATGCCAGTAATCCTATCCTGTAAAGAATTGTCTCAATTGGATTTATTGGGTATAAAAAATATAACATCTGAACTCTGCGAAAAGATTTTATTGTTGCTTCCAAAGTTGAGGCTGCTTGACATTAGTTTCTGTGACACAGTAAGACATGACGAGGTAGTTACCTAGTATTTATGTTTTTTATCAGTCAATCTATAAAAAACATTTCCATATAAAATATGAAATAAACGTTAGAATATATTTTTGTTTATTCGAAAAAGATGAAAAAATGAATTTCCTGTTTAGCTTTTTTTCATTCCAGGTTCAAATATGGAGGCAACAATACCCCCACATCACTATTCAAAGAAGCTGCCAGTTTGTAGTTACTGATTATTTGACTTAAGGTATTTGTTTGGTACATTGAAATATATCATATTTTTGCAAGTTGTCATCATTGTTATCCTTCTATCTAATAAATATTTGCAAAATAAAACCAAACATAAATATTCCACTTTAAACTTTATTACAAAAAAAAATCTGCATTTCCTTTGGAAGCCCTTTTTGAAATTCGGTTATAGTTACAGATAAGCGGGAAAACTAATTTAATTTTCACATATGGCATATTAAGTTTGTTAAGATCGTTTGTTTGATTGTTTTAGCACTTTTGGCATACAACAGAAAGTGGCGATTTTGAAGTATTACTCTAGAAAATGTATAATTTTTCATTATGTAATATAATAATAACAATTGCGAGTTGAAGTTTGAACTGATAAAAATTTTGTAAAAACTGTTGTATCACTTCGCGAGATCAAAACGGACTACCAGGAAATAGCGGAAAAATATACTTGTAAAGAATATCGCTTTAGAATATAATACCATTTATATTAATGTAGTACACATACAGAAACAACATTTTTCATTTTTCACATTGAATTTTTTGGTGTTAGAATAAATTACAATATCTAACAGAGAATAGTTTTTATCTGTTTCACTCAATCAATAATAAGTCATAAAATTTAGTACATTTTAACAAAATATTCATCAAAGTGTTATATTAAGCGACTTATTTTTTTTTCGATTATAGACAGTTTTTCTTCATTTTTCTTTTCAATTCTCAGTGAAAATTTCTATCGACTATCGACTATCCGTATGACATCTTTTCTTTAGTATATTTATACTTAGTTTGTCCTGTGCAACTTGTCTAATTTCTTGTGTTGCTAACATCAAACATAGTTACGGACATGGACTGCATAAAAGCGAAATTTTTATTATTTAAACTTGAAAATTCATAACTATTAAAAAATTATATGTTGTTTAATTTTGTGTTCATAGTTTCAATTAACTATTTTCCCGTACACCTACCTACGGGGTGAGTCGTTAATAATATACAGGGTATTCTTCGGCAATTTCGTCCATTTTATTATTATAGGGAGACAACTTTGTGGAAACTTTCGTTGATTACTCATACTGCTCAAATTTTTATAAAAGCGATGCAAACTACAACTCTATAATAATTTGAAATAAAACTTTTCAATTTAAACTGTGAAAATTTGGCATCTACAAAAGAAGGACATTTTTTACCAAAAACTTTTTTGTGATCCATAATATAATCATGAAACTTTCGTGTATGCAGATATAAAATTGATAAATATACATTTTCTATTTGTCCCCACTATAAAATGAATAGACCAAATCTGTGTCGAACTTTTCTTTAGTTTTGGTAACATTTTTTGCCCATTAGTGATTCCATATTGTTTGTTTAAGTTAGGAAAAACATGTCCAGATTTGTACTATAACAGAGTTGAATATTTTGTAATATGAACAAGAATTTAACAATCGATATATTTTTTCAGACGAAAAGCATAGTTCTTAATAAACACCTTCCATTTTATTTAAACAGACAACATTTGTTACAAATTTTTTAGTAATACTTGGAGGCGACACAAAAAGTTCGCAATAATTCGCGTGCTTTTTACACGTATCCCGCACATAATATTATGTAGATCTATTATATCTATAATAAGACACTTATCATAAACCAGTTTCTTAGAAAACTTAAAAACTTACACTTAAAGATGAGAAACACACGTCGACAAGTTACTTTGTTTATAAAATCATTGACTCTTCAAATTTTGGATTATACTTATAACTATCTAGAAGGAGTTATTTTGTTTAATAGTTATTTACAAATAATTTATAATTTTCTTTGTAGAAAAATTACTATATTCTACCATCTTTAACAATTTATGGGTTTTTGCGGAAAATTATTTAACTTGATCGGTGACGTCTATTAAATGTTGTTTTCCATGGGAACATGAACCTGTGCTGAGAATAATTTTTTTGACCGAGAACAGGTTGATTCGAAATTCGAATTCAAACGCAACTGCTTGAAAAAGATGTTCTTGGTCTGGACATTTAAAAAATTAGTAGTGGTGGTTGAAATATTTTTTTTGCGACGATGAGAAACGACTTTCAATTATTCGGCCACGGAAAAGCATTTGAGATGTTTAATAAACAAAGTATCCGCATTTAATCTTAGATCATTTAAGAAATTTAGTATCAAAATATGTTAACATTTTTTCGCTATCTAAGGTAATTAAAATATATCAAGTCTTTGGAACACTGTGTAGTGTTTCCGTCCTTTTTTTGTTCTTTATAAGGTAACATCGAACACATCAATATCTATTTAATATATTACAGTATTCTTCGTGTTTCCGAAGAAATCTACGTACGAACATTTTTGGGATTAAACGTTCAATCTATTTTAAACAACCCGAAAATAAGGTCCGCTTTAACCTGCTAAATTTTTTGATTTCATATACATTTTAGCACAGGGAACAAATACTGTGATTCGAGGGAAAAATGAAACAAGTTATAAATATTACCGAAACTATTATCTCCGAAATTAAATAAATTTTAATTGCGCTGTGAACAATCTTGATTATTTATTTTTTTTAGCCCTTTGCTGCCAAATTTAATTGGTGACATAATATTGTAAATTAGTTGTTATTAACGGTTAAAGCAATCAAGCTAAATTAATTTGTTTATTAATTTATTAAAACTTAATGAAGTAAAATACCGTGATGTTTTTTTATTTTTAAGAATTATTAACGCCCATGAAAAGCTGGAAACTCCTTAATGACCGCTACCGCCACTTTTGATATTAATTTTTAACACGACATACATCTCGAAGTTTGACAATATGCCAATTTGATGACTCAAGTGCGCATTGGAATTCTGTTAAATACATAAATAAAATAAATAAATACGTAACCTCCAAGAATCGTAAACCTAATAGGATTGCCCAATCCCATAAGACATACGTTCGCCAAAATTATCGATCGCACGTGGTCGCTTGTGAGGTAAGCGAAGTCCTCTAACGGTTTTTGTGTATTCTGTCAATGCATTTGAAGGCGTATTAAACCGTTTTATTTTGTGTTTGAACAATTAAAATAATTTAAACTAGTGAGTAGTGCGCTTATGTTTGTGTTAATTGTATTTCTGTAAAAAAAACTTGGACAAAACAGTGTTTTTAAGCTTTAACAAATATTTTAAAATTGTATGTGCTTGATTGGCGAGAAGTGAGAAAAACAGTATTTTAACCTTAAACAAAGACTTAAAAGTTTTGTGTTCGTGCTGCTTATTAGCGGTGTTATTAGTTGGGAGGTAAGTATGAGTATGTTCTTTAATATATCGAAAAATAGGGATTTGTACTTTATAAGTATTTGTTGATTTTTGTATATTTAAAATGGTAGAATGCCGTAAAACACAAATTTTTACAAGTAAATCGTTTTGTTTGCTAATTTTATGCATTTATCTGTAACAATATTTAATTAATTTTTACCCTACCTGAGACCCTGCCCTACGCTACTTCCCAATAATTATTAAATAAGTACTAAAACGGATTAATGTTGACATTAAATGAAAATAACGAGTGATTATCCAAACAAAATGCTATATTAGCTACTCAAAATACTCAAAGTCCATCAAAACTCGGGGTCAGTTTCAGATTATTTCTATACATTAACATAGTAAACCCGCCAATACAGGATTTCATCTACGTCACAGCCAGCGAGAGTTTTCGCATTGCACTTGCGAACACATTTGGCGGATTAGGCAATCCTATTAGGTTTACGATTCTTGCGTAACCTCGATATACAAAGTGACAGAATAATTGACAGAAATCCTAAACGAGTCTAGTCAAGTGGACCAATTTGAGTCGGTTAGTTATCGTTGAAATTCCAGTTCAAAAACGAAAATTTTGGATGACGGCCGTAGGTGCGGGAGGAGCTTGATCAGGTTTTGCACAAAAAATCTCTAAACTTTTATATTACAAATCGAGAAATTATTCTGGATTTGCAAACTGCAGCAGAATTATTGTGTCTATTTTTCGACATTTTTGAGAGACTTGCGGTTTCCGTAAGAGTGCCAGCAAAAAATTTTCATGAACTCTTTTTCATTTTTCTGAGGTTCCGGGTAAAATTGAAAAAGTGCGTTTTTAGGGCACCGAGGTGTCATGCAAAAGTGTCGCAAAATAGTAATAGTATAGGAATTTTAATTAATTACGGCGGAATTCCTTTGAAGGATTACAAGGAATTCCAGGAAAATTTCATGGAATTATAATTAAAGATAAGCCGTTTATCTCTTGGTAACTGCTGCTGGACGTGGGATCGTAAATGCTGTATCACGCAAAATGGTTTGCTATGTTTCTATCCGTAACAACTAGCATCAGATAATTTAGAAAAATCTTCTTTATAAACAAGTTTCTAAAAAATCTAAAAATATTAGCAGGGCGCTCTAAAATCAATGGTTTCAGTAGTATTTATCGCAAGTTGTAAATAAAAAACGTCCATATAGATATATTTCGAAGGTTTCCTGGATCAAACAGAGACACACAAAATGTAAATTTGAGATCACGTGGACATAGAAGGCAAACACTTTTTACAACTTATTACGACTTAAGGATTGTCCTGCGTACTTTTTTACACATTGACGAATAACAAATACTTGTTTTATGGTTTTGATCCCAGATCTTAACGGTCATATTCTGTTCGCAACTTTTTTACATAATTAAGTTTGAATTTTATTGAGCATTTCCTCAGCAAATCGCTAACAGCAAAAAATTAAAAATCTCGTAGCGTTAAAGAACATAATTTCAAATCTGCGCTAATAATTTTGCTAATCCAAATCAATGAGACCGCATAATAACAATAATATTGCTTAAGAAGGCACCTTTGCTCAAAAATTTGAAAAGGGAAATGAAAGCGAAATAGTGGTCCTCTGATTTTTGGAATACCTAATTAATGAAATCCTACACGGATGCCACTTACTGGGAAAATGCTCACCGAAATGATTGTCATCTACCCTAAAAAATTAGTTAATAATGGCGGTAATCTACTTGTCTCAATTACTATAGTCGAACGATTCCCACTCTGAAAACCGGGAGTCTTGTTTTTGCAGTCTTTGAGTACATTCTTTAATGTAAGAGTCTTGTATCCTGTACATTCCAGAATTCGCTTGGAACATTAGCGTTTCCAGTATTCTTTCGTTTTTGATGGCTTTTGAAGGAAGTACAACCTGTAAAAAAATAAACAAAATATAATACAATAAGATATATATAATTAAATGAAAAGTCACGTTATAATACAGTTTTTTATTATTTTATATTATTATTATTATATAATATTTGTTATTATTTTATTTGAAACATTGTTATACTTATTATTGATATTTCAAAGGATAAGTTTTATTTTGATGTTCATAAAAGCGATGGTCATCAACAATGAATGCAAAAATGTAAGAAAGACTCTCGTGTAACTTCTTATAAACAGCATTAACGTTCATTGAAGTTTTCACCCTTCTTACGGTGTGTTTTTGAAATACATACAATTAAAACCATATATGTACATGTAAATATTTCTGCTGTAAATATTGCAACGTGTCTATTACCAAATTTGGCAGAAAAAGTTGAAAAGATGCCTTCAAAGTCTAAATATAACTTTTTGAAATGCTAGATATCGTACAGAAAACATCTAAGTGAAAAAACTGTTCAAGAAGCAACTGTAGAACCTTCAGTAGACAGAACGCTCATTCCTTCGTCGCAAGTCTAGTAAGCGTAGATGAAAATTTTGCCAATGGGACAATTTGTTTAAAAAACTGTAGGTATTGCAAAATATACCCCAGAAAATTAAAATACTATACAACAAGCGAATAAACAATTTGTTAGAAAAAACTGTATTTCGATATGTAAATTAACTATTAGCCATATTGGATTTTATTCAGCATTTCAAATATCCTCATTCATTTGTTTCTAGTATTGGATTATGTATTTTCCTTCTGCACCAACAATAAAGTGTAAAGTGTAGCCATTTAATACTAACAAAAATTAAAAACTACCGCTTTAAAACAAAATTCTACCACCATCGTATACACAAAAAAAATCCAGTTAATTACATATACATGCCAGGCTTTAGTAAGCGACATTTTGCATATTGACTTTTTTGGGATTTAGGAAATTTAGTTTTCTAGCACTAGTGAGTTCTACGTGAGCAATCTTCAACGGATAGCTCAAAGTATATGTGAGTGCTTATTGTATAAACTTCGCAGTAACTTCTCACCTTTATGAGTTCATTCGGAGATATTCTATATAACTTTAAATCCCTTGCCAGCCTTTCCATAATGCATTTAAATTCTAGTTTAGCGTCGAGCTTACTCGACGTTTTAGTGCGAATTTTATGCCGCGCCCACGCGAGCATAGCTTCGAATTTTCTAATTTCGGGAATTTCTAGATTCCTAAAAAACAACGTTCCGGCACAAAAGTACCGACTCAACTGTTATTCGACTTTACCTGCACATGATCATTTGGACCATAGACTCGCTCAAATTCAAAAATTCGGAATTTTGGAATAAGGCATACGACCTCGTCTCTACGAAAGCCAATATCATGTTCACAAGTTCAGACGCCGAAGTGTACCTCCAGTAGTAATTCTCCAACGAGCACAGCATGCAGCATACCTGTTTGAAGTAGGTAGCGTGAATCTAAACGTCGATATCTTAAATCGACTTCGATACATACCACGTCGATTCTTAAAAATTGTTTGGCGTGATGAAAACACGCTTGCAGTAAATCAGGTAGGTCATAGTGTTCAGCTGCACAAATCAAGCCGGGTATCGTTGAACAAGTTAGTGGACAGGATCCTAAAGTTAATTTTAGTTTTTATACAATGTTTATATCATTTGCAAACAATGTAAGAATAGGATAATGGTTAAAAGACTTCAATCTCAGTACTTAAATATTTAACTTACTTTACTTTACTTAAAATCTTTTAAAAAGTGTGATAAAAACGAAAAAGTTGAAATTAAAGAGCATAAACTATTTTAAAATGACACAATAAAATAAAATCCGAAAGTGAAAGTGTGATTTATTTTAAAATTGGTTTGAAGTTTTGCAGTTGCAATATTTCAAATTTCAATTTCATAATACGAGGTTTTTGCGCGGAGGCGAACAACCCCAAAAGGCGCCGCTGAATTGATACGGAAGATCGCGATTAGTTTGGTTAGCGTAAAAAAACGAGCGCTAGCTTGATTTAAGTGAAGTATTACAAATGGCTCATTGACTAATAGCATTTTTCAATAATACAATTAAATCTATGCACGGGAGGCCACTTAAAAATATAATCCAAATTGACAATAATGTAAAGAAGAACTGAGAATTCTATATTTAAATTTTGTTTCCATTTGTCACGAGGAGTAGGGAACTTGAACATTTTTTTTTATTTCTTTAATACATTTGTTTATGTATAGAAATAACGCATACCTAATATCAAAACTCAAAACCCAATATTTAAGTTGCAACAAATAATTCAAGTTGCGACACCCGGCTATTCCTTACAAACGACACGAAACGCGCGGGAAGTATCGTGACATCACACCGCTGCTCTTCTATCGATACGGCTACATATTTACGTTAATTGTTGGCCCGTCTAAAGGTGTGTTTGTATTTAATCTACGACAGTTTGTATTTGTGCTTAGTGTGATTTACATGATAATAATGGAAGCAACATAAAAACAATATTACAATCGTGAGTACAACCCGTAAAACGTCATCGTCTTGTGTTAACTTTTGTTGTAAACAGGTGGCACTTTTAACCTTAACCGCGCAAACATTTTTAACTCTTCGAACTTGCACCCATCCTATTCCAGTCTCCATAGGAATGGCTTCTTGATCTGTATAAAATACCACTTTAAGTCAATAGCAAAGAAATAGAAAACTTTAAACTGATTACAATATTATATTGCTTTTAAACTAGTGGCTAAATTTTCAATGACATACCTTTTAGCTTTAATACCGCGAACCTCAGCAAAAGAAAAACTTTCGGTGTCTTGTATGTAAGATGTGCCATAAATAATAATATATCCGCTAAAGGTAAATTATCAGATTGATAATAAATCGGCTTGGGCCATTTTCAAAGCTTTCTTTTTAATACTAAACACAAAATCACAAAAGCAAGCGACAAGACTTAAATTTAAATTAAAACCACCAAAACTAAATTTACTTTTATAAGCAATATTATTCAAGTTCCCTATTGTTCATCAAATTTAACTCCCTTTGTGTTCAATTAGATATCCAATAACATTCAAGATGACAACTGTAATTTATAATTTACGTGCTCTCGTTATATCACCGACATTGAATATCTGATACATAAAATGATAAAAAGGGTCAAGTATGGATAGAAAAAAAAGAGGTGCAACCCTTTACCTGTGTGCAAGTAGTCCAACAATATTCTAAAGGTGTCTGAATCAAACTCGATAATGGAGAATTCTGTCTGAGCTAATTTTGCTCTGTCCACTTTCTGAGCATCCGCGCACACACTTAGCCTTGGAACCGGAAGCTGTGTGGGGCATTTCTCTTTTCCCTCTTTGTCCTTCCCGTCTTTGTCTGCAATAGATGTAATACGTAATAGGTAATACCCTATGATATTGGTAACCACCAATTCACGTTATCGTTTCCATTTGGGTTAATATGTGTTTGTCTAGTCGTCATTTAGTCTGTGATATGTTTTTCGACTAACTCATTGAGTTTAAAAAATATTGATTCCAGAATAATAGTCCAGCCGGAAGAAAAAAGTAAAGAAATTGTAAAGAATATTTTTATTTATTGCTGCCATTCTTTGGTTCAATTTTCGTTTTGGCTAAATCATTATGAATATTTTTCATTAAAACTGATGTTTGCATTAAATTCGAAATGTTTTTCTGAACGTAAAAATTTTCCAGCGGATTTTTGTAAATAAAAAAAATGGTGGAATTCGAAAAAATAGAAATTAGGTTTTTCTGCATAATGGTTGTGCGGTTGGTTTAAATTTACTTGTAAAATCGAATTGACATATTTACGCAGGAAATTTCTTGTGTTTTTATGTTTACATTTTTTTTTTAAAATACAAAGCAAAAATAAATTCTAATGTAACTGAGTTCGGTTATTCTACAGTCTGCCAAAATTTCCTCGTAAAATTGAACTAGTATATTATATAAAAGTTTTTCTGTTTTTGTGTAATGAAACATGTTGAAAATTTAGACTAACAACCAGTTTTAATGTAGGTAACTGATTTCCGTTATCTTGAAGTCCGGAAAATGAAAATAATATATTTTTTTCATATGTATATATGTTCTATAGGTATAAGAAGCCCTTAGTGTTTGTTTTTAAACACCTCTGATGGCCATTTTCAATTATATAAATATTTAAAAACAAATTTTTATAATATGCAATCATATATTTAAAAGTTAACCCCAACACACAATAAAAATGAAATGTAAAAAAATGAAAATAATTATATATGTTTTATAACTTTATATAACTATTTTTTAATTTATATCGATAACCATAATATTAACCGTCTATAGAAAAGAGATGCAAATATTATATACAGGGTGGTGCAAGTTTTAATTGATATGCCATAAAATCAAAAGGCAAACATTTAAAAAATAATAATAGGGTACACGGTGTATACAACTTATTGGGAAAAACCACAAAACTAAAAAATGTTCTCCCATAGTTTTATAACATTAAAATGGACAAATGCCTTACTCTCGGGCTAGCCTGTAACCCCTAGAAAGCGCGTCCCTAAAGTGGCGGATAGGGGAAGGCCCAAATCGTCTCTATAAGGAGCGATGGGGGTAGGTGGGAAATAAAATACCACCCGCGGACCAAAATGTGGGGAGATACACTTCCTTAGCCGTGGTAAAGGCAATGTATCTAAGAGAAGGAACTCCGATATAAAACCCTGGTCCTCCAGGTTGGGGGTTGAGGCATCGGGCCAACCCCTCGGAACTCATAGAAATTATAAAAGGTTAGAAATTTCGATAAATCGCCTTGTTTGCGAAAACTGCAACGAAAAAGGATAATGAGAATGGCAACATGGAACGTACAGGGACTACGGACAAAGCAATCAGAAGTCTTTCAGGAGCTTAAAAAGATGAATATTGATAATTGCGTATTGACGGAAACCAAGAAAAAAGGAAAAGGCAATGAAAACATTGGAGAATACGTACACTTCTACAGCGGAGTGCGCAAACAGAGGAGTGTCGATAGCGGTACATAAATATGCAGAAATCCATCAAGAGTTGGGAACAAATAGTTGAACAAATAATGTACATAGAGATAGAAAAAACCAGCTGGCATATTGTAATTATTGGAATCCATGCCCCTAGCAATGAATTTTTTGAGAACCTTGTACAGATAGTATCGAACATTAAAAGAGATAAGGAGATCAGGAGTTCAGTAAAAAAGTTAAATAATAGATAAATACGGAGAATCGGTTGTAAATGACAATGGAATGCGGCTAAGGAAGATGTTTGAAATCGCAACAATGAAAATAATGAATGGGTTTTTCCCCATAAGGATATTCATAAGTTTACGTGGGAGCAAGCAACAAAAAGCTTGAGGTCAATAATAAACTATGTTAAGATTAAAGATGTCAGAGTGTATCGCAGACTAGAATGCGGGTCAGACCACCATGTAGTAAAGGGAAAGGTAATAGTAAACTATAGGAGGAAAGAATAGAAAATAAAATCACAAGACCAACAAGACAAAATAATCGAAGTAAAATACAACCTTGAAAGTCTGAACCATTAATCAACCCAATTCCTGTATAAATTAAGACTAGCTACCAAGCTACAGAACCTGAAACCAAAAAATATGAATGCAGAACACTTATATGAGCATATAAAGAAAAGCATACAGGAAGCGGCAAAAGAAGCGCTGGGATACCAAGAGACAAAAAACACTAAAAAACCAGATTGGTACTCAGAAGAAATACCTAGTACAAAAGAAAAAAAAACATATAATATGTACCTAAACTCACATAATCCAGAAGACAGAAAAATACATATGTATTGGAAAAGAAAAGTTAAAAAAGAAATCATAAAAAGTAAAAATATAACATGGGAAAAGAAATGCGAAGAGATTAATAGGCATGTGGGAGGAACGTATGTGGCAATGGATTGAAAAACTATAAGAAATATGAGAAATGAAGAAAAGCAACAAAATAAGTTCAATTTAATAGACAAAAACGAATGGGAAAAACACTACAAAGAATTACTGACGGGAATTACAGTATAAGTTTCAAATTAAAAATCAAGAAATAGACGAGATAACAGTAGACGAAATTGGAAAAGCTTTACAAGATTCAAAAAACTGGAAAAACATAATGGAACTGGTGAAAATGGACCAGTGATCCTACACGAAACAATAACCAACCTATTTAATAAATGCTTAATAAATGGAGACACAATTCCAGAAGATTGGAATATGGCCTATTGGTCTATATTTCACCGATATACAAAAAAGGGGATAAGAAAATAATTATATAATAATTATCGTGGCATTAGTGTAACTAGCGCAATGGGAAGGTTGTATGGAAGAATAATAAAAAACAGAATCTAAAAAAATATTATGGAAATACAAGAACAGAACGGATTTCGTGCAAGTCGCTATATATATATATATATATATATATATATATATATATATATATATATATATATATATATATATATATATATATATATAAATATATATATATATATATATATATATATATATATATATATATATATATATATATATATATATATATATATATATATATTCTCACGTACTGATTCACGGATGGAAAAATGAATCCTGCAGACGTTTCGCCAAACTCTCACTTGGCATCTTCAATGCTCGCGCTCCGAAAACAGTGTTCGAAGTGTTTTCGGAGCGCGAGCATTGAAGATGCCAAGTGAGAGTTTGGCGAAACGTCTGCAGGATTCCAGTCGGATGCAGGATTCCAGTCGGAGTTCAACGAGCGAACGGATGATATCCCGGAATATAGTGTCATCATATATATATATATATATATATATATATATATATATATATATATATATATATATATATATATATATATATATATATATATATATATAGCTATTCAAAACATATATAGAAACTCAAAAAGTTAAGATTAGTTAAGATAGGAGGCACAATATCAAAGCCGTTTACGACTACAAAAGAGTTAAGGCAAGGGTGCAGCTCATCATCAACTTTATGTAAGATATACATTCATGAAGCACTAAGCAGTTGGCGAACAAGAATTGCTAGAATGGGAATCGAGGTAGAAGATAAGTGTTGTTAACAACTCTATTGATTGCAGACGACCAAGTGCTCGTAGCGGGTGATAAGGAAGATGAGACTATATGCTAAAAAAATTGGAAGACGAATATACAAAATGGGGTTTAAATAAAATGAAGACCCCGAACTGCATATAAATCGAGTGAAAAATGTAAACAGTAAAATATCTAGGAAGCATAATTTCAGAAGACGGAACAATAAAAGAAAAAATAGACGGCAACAAGGAAAAAAAGCTACAAGAATTTTAAACTCATTGCTTTGGCCAGAAAAAATTAGGTTAAATACAAAATTGACAATCTACAAAGTTATAGTGGAGTCGATTCTAACGTATGGATGTAAGTGCTAGCATTTGACGGACAGACAGGAAAAACAAATTGATACTATTGAAATGGACTACCTGAGAAGATCCTGCAGGATATCTAGAACACAACATATAAGAATTGAAAACATACGACGAAGAACAGGGCGAGTATACACTACTGCAGAGAGAATACAGACAAGACAATTGCTATAGTACGGACATGTGATGAGAATGGAGGACAGGTGGCCGAAAAAGGCACTACTGTACCAACCGCTAAATAGAAGAAGCAGAGGAAGACCCTTAAGGACCTGGAAGGAAGGTCTAGAACAGACAATGAAAGACAAATGACTTATAAAAGCATTACTAAGAGTTAATTATTTCATCCAGGGAATTTTCCACAGCTTACTATTTTTGTTAAGGTTAATTTTGTTTTTTTTAAACAAATACCAAACAAAAATACCTTAACCTATTGCTATCTATTGATTGAGTGCAGTAATACCGCAACACTATATAAGGTAGTTACATTAGAGAGAAATTGATTTAAATTTTTCCAAATTGGCAGGACTTTAAGCCCCTCCCTATGAAATATTTACTCAGCCGTGTTACTACAAACTCTTAGTAATACAGTAACTTTAATAACTTGGCAACGTCGCATTAAAATTCAGAGAGAATTACGGTAACGTATAAATATTCCTGGGCGGAATCGCAATATGCAATTACTATTTGCATTGACACGCTTTTAAGAAACACCCTGTGTAAATGAACCTTCTTTTGATTTGTGACACTATTGCGCCACCATGTATGTTTTAAATCCGTACATGATTGACCTTTTAGTGATGTATTGCCTTTTTCTTTCTTATACATATAGAGGTTTATCAAATAAATAATTTCGGTGCATATAAGAAGTCAATGGAAATTTCCGAGACGGTCCGCAAAATTTAAACCGCAGTACTCACTGGAACAGTCTTGACTGCTTGCCCATTTCTTTTTGTCGTCGGCCGACAACTGTTGTGCGTTGTGCTTACGTATCGATCTGCCCCAACCGGCAGTGATTGTGCCTAATCTCGTGAATGCCCGTTTCACCATGGGAGAACTGGGCACGCTTTTCGGACGAGGACTTTCGATATCGGGAACTTGTAGAAAATTGCTCGATTTTGGTCTGGACTGTTGCGGACTAAGTAATGTTGGTACCGGCCTAGCTAGAAGCTCCGCTACTGGCACTTGTGGTGAACCAAAACTGGTACGCACGATTTAATTCACATAAGTACATATTTCGCATTTGGAGTACAAGAATACTCACCCCGTTTGTATCCCATAAAGCATTTCCTGAAAGACTCTGCTTCTCACTCCCAATATCGCTCGAACCCCAACTAATTTAACTTTTTGTTTACTTTGCCCCACTAAAAATGTAACGTCGAATAATTGAGCGTTAGTGGCGGAATTCTCGTCGGTGTTTAAGAAGAATTTTGTAAAATCTTTGGCTATTTGATCGTAGTCTTCGAACTGGTCCCTGACGCTATCCAACAATGGAGAGGATGGACGCATATGACCTATCGGCCTCCAAGAACCTGTTTTCCATAAATAGGATATGTCAACCGATTTTCAAATATAAAAGAAATAATAAAAATTAAGAATAGTATTAGTGCTTTTTGTTATTTCTTCATGTTGTGTACTGACGAAAACTGTAATTAAAGTTTGTAGAGTAATATACCATGGCAGCGCCAAAATTTCCCGGCCTGATTATGAAAGAAACAAATTATAGTAACAATTTTTTATTATTTTTCAATATAATCCCCCTTAACTTCAATACACTTATTACATATCTTTATTAACAACTGAATCCCTTAAAAAAATATTCTTTCGGTTTGTCTGCAAAATGCTAAAACAGTCTCTTTTAACTCCACTTCGTCGTTAAACCGCCGTCCACGTAAGTCCTTTTTCAAACATCCAAACAAATAATAGTCACTGGGGCCATATCTGGACTACAGGGAGGATGATCTATCTGTTGGAACCCACACTCTAAAATGGTAGCTTGCGCAACAGCAGCAGTATGGACAGGTGCATTTTCGTGCAAAAGACGCACGCCTCTGGTCAGTTTTTCTCTACGTTTTACACGTATGCAGTCACGCAAAGTATGTAATAATGTTGCGTAATATTTACCATTGACAGTGGTACTAGTTTCTTCAAAAGAATTCCTTCACAATCCCAAAAGATCGTGACCATCACCTTTTTTATTGACTGGCAGACTCTGAATGTTCTTGGAGGTGCTTCACCCTTACGACGACACTCCATTGATTCTTTTTTCGATAGAGGGTCATGATAGAGAACCATAGTTTCATCTCCCGTCACAATAGTTTCTATACAGGCTTCGATTCCGACCCACAGAGTTTAGGAACCCATCTTGCACTAACCTTATGCATACCTAAAGGATCATGCAGGATTCGACGAACACTTGTATCAGAAAGCTTAGTCATTTCTGAGATTTCCTTGACCTTTAAACGTCGATCACTCAATACCACCTCTTCCACAATCGCAACAATATCTTCCGTTATAACCTCCACTGGTCGACCAGTTCTTGAATCATCTTCAAGTGACTCCTGTCCCATTCGAAAACGTTTTGCGCATTCTTTCACTACAGAATACGAAGAAGAACTTTGGCCGTACAGACCATCCAGCCTTTCTTTAATAATTTTAGGTGCTAACCCTTCTTTTGTCGATAACTTTATGACTGCTCTATAATCAATTTGCGTTATTTGCGACATCTTTTCGGACACGTCTTGTTTAAAACGCTGCCCATAAATAATTATTTGACGCAAGACTTCAATTTTTTTTCACAGCCTACTAAGATATATATTTAAAAGAAGACAAAGTATTATCGTGATACTGGAGCTTCATCTATGTCAGGCAGGGAAATTTTGGCGCTAACCTCGTACATATAGGCTGCCTCGACCCTCCCCGCATAGCTGTTGATTCCATTGAGAAGTGGAATCCGCATAAGGTGGATTTTATTTCTCGTCGATGAGTTGGTGCAATTAGATATACTGGGTGTGCGCAAAAGTGACAAATTGATTTTAGTGGCGTTTACTGGATCCGTTTGATACATTTTAATTATTATAAAAATTATAAAACACTATAGTGCCTTACCATTTCTTTGGTAACTTGATGATGGTTTAAGAATATAACAATATTAAAACAATATTTCAAAATAATTGGTTTTAAGCATCCATGCGAGACTTTTCTTTCATTAATATGTAAAAGATTAACAAAATTGTTGAGCAAACAAACTAAACTTAAAGCTGTGTTAATTACACTTACTTTATTTAACGTTACATTTAAAATACAAAATGGCATTATTAATCATGAATCAAGACTCGAATAAAAATGGTGTTCTAATAATTATTTTTGATTGAAAAATCAACAAAGGAACCCAGTCAAGAATTAGTTATAAGACACCGAATCGTCAATACAGTCACATATTTCAAATATTTCACTTTGTCATCCAAACTATTTGTATGCGCCTCGTTTGGTTTGGTCTGGTTTGCTTGAATAAAAACACAAATAATTTCGCGTATTTCATTATTATAATAAAACATTAAGTCGCGGTATTTTGTGATTACCAGATAATTAAAATTTCATGAGACATACTGACATAAAACCTACTTATCAAATGTGGACAATTCCAACAGTTGATTTGAATTTTTGTTTATTACTATTATCAAAACTGTTATTATTAAATATGTTTTTTTTTAATTTATTTATATTATTTTTTTAAACGATTTACAATAAAAATCAGAAAGAATGAATACATTGAACTTTTAAAGTGTTTTAAGTGAGTTAGACGGCCTAAACCTTTTCTATGAAAAATTGAACATTGTTTTAGATTTTCATTATGTTTCAACCGTAATTCGACAGATAGAAAAATATGATTCTGTCCAAATAAATTCAAAATAAAATTTAAACTTCGAACCAGCGACATTTGTATGAGTGTGTAATATCCTCTGAATGCAGTTTTAGGTTTTTCGAGATAACAATTATGAATTTTGAACTTAGTTATTGTTTCTCCTAGAGGCCGCTGGTTTCACCGTGTTATTTAGATTTTTTACCCGTCGAGTTATTGTTGTAATATGATGAAGATCTGAAGGAATGTTCAATTTTTTATGGATAAGGCACTCAATACTTAAATATGAAAAGGTACGGGGAACAATGAAAAAAACTAACCCAAATTTAATGATAATAATAGTAACAAAAACACTTCAATTCAATTGGAATTGTCGGCGATCCACTTCCATACATTTTGCAATAAATGTTTTTGAAAGTTGAACAAAACTTCTGTATTATTTCTATTCGCGATCCTTTTTAAACTTCTGGAAAGAATTCAATCATGACCATATTGGGAAGTCTGGTGGGTTTAAGTCTGGACAACCCAAAAAGTGACTCCCCATCCTCCACAAACCACATATTTTTTTTAAGTCGGATTTTACATCTTCCAGGAGTACATTTCAATTGTACTGGATTTAGTTTATGTAAAGACGGTCAGTTAGATTGTCCGGCAATACAAAAGGCTCAATGATAAAAATCAGAAATTACACCACACCAAATGTTCACTTAAAACTCTGAACGGGAATATGATATGACTGGAGTTTTTCTTTTCTTAGAATTCTGACGTGGACTCAAATTTCCTCTCCTGCATCGATAGTGAAGCACCGTTATTTCTTTCCGGGGGGAAACGATTTTGTTTTATGTAAACGGTCGTAAACATTACTAAAAACTGTGGAATAGTTATGTTTTCGAGGCGCCGCAGGTCGACTAAAATTTGCTTGAACGAAAACACAAATAATTTCACGCATTTCATTATAAAAATAAAAGATTATGTCGCGGCATTTTGTGATTACCAGATAACTAAAATTTAATGACACATGTTGACATAAACCTACTTAGAATAAAATATCAGCGTTATAAATTTAATAGCATTGTCAAAGTGGACAATTCCAACATTTGCTTTGACATTTTTTTATGACTATTTTGTTATTAAATATTGTTTTTCTTTTAATTTATTTTTATCATTTTTTAAACGATTTACAAAAAAATCAGAAAGAATGAAAGAATACATTGAACTTTTTAAGTGAAATTAAGTCAAAAATCGTCAGAGTTAGATGGCCTAATCCTAATGAAAAATTGAACGTTCTTTTAGATTTTCATTATGTTTCAACCGTAATTCGATAGATAGAAAAATACGATTCGATTTATCTAAATCAGTTTCAAACCTAGAACTGGCAATTTTTATTAATGTATTATAAAAACTTTCTCATTTAATGAGAAAACTCAAAACAAAATTTAAATTTTGAACCAGCGACATTTGTGTATGTTGAGCTTAATCATAATATTCTGGTATCTAGTATATCCAGATTAGAGACTGTCCATTTGTATATTCTGTAAACGACGTGACGTACTCGCTAACTGTAAAGGCATAATCGTGCCACAAAAAGTTACCTCTCCTGTAAGGTTTCGGAATCTGTCCAGTCTCCGCATGGTTTTGTAAATTGGCGACGATGTCTTCCAGCATTTGAGATCTCGTCCTCTCTTGCATTCTTGCAAATTTCGGAGCGGAGTAACTCGCCCTCTCCCCATTGACTATTTTCGTCAACAGCCATTCCCTGAACATGGGACCTTTGTCGAAGAGACTTTGTTCCCAAAGATAAGGTTTGTAAGCACCGACTTCGTCTCTCGTAACAACTGATACTTCATATCTAGTCGGTTTTCGTTTTATTCTAGCCGACGTCCGAACTAAAACAAACATTTTTCGATTTGCCGACCGCAGCAGGAGTACGAAAAAATAGAAACTTAAATGGATCTCATCTACTTGTTTGCGACAAATGTAAAAACGGGTCACTATGTTTTCATATTCGAGAAAATAATATATATATATATATATATATATATATATATATATATATATATATATATATATATATATATATATATATATATATATATATATATATATATATCGAGCAATGACATTTGTTGAAAAGTTGAAATTAAATCATTAATAAACATACGGCCGGCACATAACCTCCAACGTAACAATCCAATCATAAAACTTCTAATTAATTACACCAATCACAACACTACCATGGACAAGGCCAACATTTTGTTAAAGGTGTCATAATGATATTCTGATGTTATATAGGTTATAATTGTTCCTAATAAAAGGGGTGTCAGCAAAAAATGCAAATACAAACCAAATATTCAATAATCGGACAAATTTATTTATTTTGTACAAGTCCATTTCGTACAAAAATGTTGCTCTAATGAATTGAGTCAATAATAAACGAATTTTCGAGATCCTTTTTTTCCGCTCGATTTGGTCAAATATAAAGACATTTTTCTTCGATGACTATGCTCGAAAGTGGTTGTGTACGCTTAAAAATCAAAAATCGATTCAGCTCCGTGTCCATTTAGGTGTAAATGATTGATGAACACTCGAAGCTGAGAAGAATAGTAAGAAGGAAAGAAGTAAATGTTGTTGCAACTTAAGTAGCAAACATTAAGCAACGAATTATAAAGAAATATCATTATTAAGACTTCTATCTCCCAAAATTCCAAATTATTCAATGTATCCTAAATAAAGTGTTCTAAATGAACACCAAATTTAGTCTCTGTTAAATACGGATTTACTTGTATTAGGCGTATATTTGTACTTACCTAAAATAAAAGTATGTAAAAAATGGCTCTTAATACAAGCCGGTGAAAAAGACGTATTGTCCGCTTCGAGGAACACAACGCAGACAATATCGTTACCTATGTGCCTTTTCCTTTGCAGCTTCTGAGGGTCATGCTTCTCGTAAGGCAAAAGTGTACTAACGTGGAACATTATTTCTATATTTCGCCAGTTGGTATACACCGAATACAACCCTGCAACGAATACTTGTGACATTTCGATATTTTCATATGATCATTTAAGATGACAATTTATTTATTTTTAAAAAGAAGCGTTTTTTTTCGAAGAATATATCTTATGAGGATGGTGTTGAATTCATGTGACATTTTTTTTAAAACTCTGGTGCCAAATGAAAGTAATTTAGATTTTACAATTTTTTGTTGTTTGTTGTTGTGGTGTGCTAAAAATCTCACCTGTTAAATCGTGTACGGTATCTAATCCACCTTTATATCTATCAAACCCTTTAAGCCGTACTTTCTCCCCCATAATTTGCAAAAATTCCTCAAATAACGGCGAATTGTCGTTGTTATCTAGAATTTCCTCTTCAGTGTACTGTCCTTCTTTTACATAGATCACACCGACCTTCAATTCTGATTTAATGAAGACCTGCGGGAAATAAAAAAAACATCGATATCAGATTGTATGCTTTAACAAGTTTTGCATTTGTTCAAATTAAATAACCATCTGGTTCGATTAGAAATCTTATTGCAATTAGTTCTATAATTCTTATATAATGGGAGCAAAAATATATCCAATTTGTTCAAACTAACCGTGAAACTCTAAAAACTATCATTCGCTACACATCCTTCAAATAATCTACGAGGTTAGCGCCAAAATTTCCCGGCCTGCCATAGATGCAGCTCCAGTATCACGATAAAACTTTGTCTTCTTTTAAATATATATCTTAGTAGGCTACGAAAAAAAATTGAAGTCTTGCGTCAAATAGTTTTTTATTGACAGCATTTTAAACAAGACGTGTCCGGAAAAATGTTGCAGATAACCTAAATTTATTAAAGAAAGGTTGGATGATGTGTACGTCCAAAGTTCTCCTTCGTATTCTGTAGTGAAAGAATGGGCAAAATGTTTTTGAATGGGGCAGGAGTCACTTGAAGATGATTCAAGAACTGGTCGACCAGTGGAGGTCATAACGGAAGATATTGTTGCTATTGTGGAAGAGGTGGTATTGAGTGATCGACAATTAAAGGTCAAGGAAATCTCATACATTACTAAGCTTTCTGATACGAGTGTTCGTCGAATCCTGCATGAGCATTTAGGTACAAGATGGGTTTCTAAAAACCTTTCCGGTATTCAAAAACAACGCTGTATCGAGTCTTTTTTGGAACTCTATTATGACTCTCTATCGAAAAAAGAATCAATGGAGTGGCGTCGTAAGGGTGAAGGACCTCCAAGAAAATTCAGAGTCTGCCAGTCAACAAAAAAGGTGATGGTCACGATCTTCTGGGATTGTGAAAGAATTATTTTGATAGATTTTAAAGAAACTAATACCACTGTCAATGGGAAATATTACGCAACATTATTACATAAATTGCGAGATTGCATACGTGTAAAATGTCGAGGAAAACTGACCAGAGGCACAGAGGTCTTTTGCACGATAATGCACCTGTCGATACTGCTTGTGTTGCACAAGCTGCCATTTTAGAGTATGGGTTCCAACAGATAGATCATCCTCCCTATAGTCCAGATATGGCCCCCAGCGATTATTATTTGTTGGACTTTTAGCTCATTTTGCAGACAAACCAAAAGAATATATTTTTAAAGGGATTGAGTTGTTAATAAAGAGATGTAATAAGTGTATTGAAGTTGAGGGGGGTTATATTGAAAAATAATAAAAAATTGTTACTCTACTTTGTTTCTTTGATATTCAGGCCGGGAAATTTTGGCGCTGCCTTCGTATATCATGTCTATTATTTATAACAGATTTATGTTTCACTTCACTGACTGCCCTCTATGGAGTACTGTTTTGTTTTCTAAGAGAATGCAGAGAACATTGAAAATAATTTTGGATATGTATCCCAAATCGAGTTTAACCTACCCGTTTTTACTTGTTTGAATTTGTAATTGAGATAAACAGTTAATTTCAGTTTTTTGTTTCCTGAACATTTTGCATCTTAGACTACAACGTATTATCGGATTTATTTCAATGGATGATATCTTCAAATCTATTTGGATACGCGAAGCTCAAGTAAAATGTTACCCAGTGTTTTTATATTTAGATCGAAATTTAGATCTACAATCCAGCGATATTTTATTGCGAAGATAAAATAAGTGAATACGGGATTAAAAAAAATAATTAGAGTCAGCCCCAAGGTCCGTAATAGCATTGGATTCAAGCATTACTGAGAATTTTGGTATGTATTTGTTAGGGTTCTGCTCGGAAAACATGCGAAAAACATTTGTTCAAAACGTCTATGACAAATTCGTTTTGTTTTTGATTTCCTCAGAGAAAATTCTCTTGTTAATATTCCGGTAATGTAAGTTGTACCTACTCAAGAATATTAGATGGAATTTCTTTTAAAAGCTTTCCGAAAATATTCTTTGAAGGTATTTTAGCTATGGTAAACATTTTGTTTATTGTACTTTTTATACTCATGATTTCAAATTGAAGAAAATAGATTACTTAAGTGCGTCATTGGTAGGTATTTAAAATATTTAATTTTTGGAGTGTCGCCCAATTGAATTGTACTTCTAAAGTTAATTTTAAAGTTAAAATAATAATTTGTGTTTGTTTTAAAGGCAATATTTAGCACTTTTTTATCTCTCAACATTTTCACGAAAATTCTTAAAAAAAAGGAAAAATAACAAACAGTCAATGGATTTTGTGGCATTAATGGATTTAGCACTAGTGCATACTTAATTTGAAACATAACGTATGTTCGTACGTATAATAATATTATGTCAGTTATAATTCTATTTTCAGTTCATTTATGAAAGGTTTCTTTTATTATGCGATATTATCGGTATTAGCAATCCAGTTATGTAAAAATGTCCCGGGAATATAAATAAATTTTCTTGTTAAATTGAAATAACGTAAATAAAATCAAGTTTAATAATTCTGATATACTCCAATCGCTATATTAAATTTGTGCGCTAGCTTACTAACTACTGAAATAATAAAACGTTGAAGGGAATATTCGAAATCGTAGATTGATTTTTACATTTTATGTATGTGACTGTGCGCCTATTTGATGCAATAATTAACATATATGTCATATCTCGAAAACCAAAAATTCAACTGGGCCGTTTTTAAATTATTAATAATATTCTGTAAAATTTTATTCATAATGTGGTCCGATTGTTATCGGTTTTCTTAGAACCTCTTAAACATATCAAAAATACTTGTTTTTTAGATTCCCTTATACACAAATAAGTCATTTTTATGTATTATATATAAATTACATCCACAAAAATTCTCATGAATGTGTAAAGCTATGGGTCTCCTCTTTTAGAGGTTGACGTGATCCAAGAATAATAAGAACAATGCTAAATTTTTAATGCTTTACCAAATTACATTAAATCTCTACTAAATGGTAATTTTAAAGAGCTAACGAAGCAATGTTTGCTAGAGAATTGCTTTTTTATATCTCACGAATCCTTAGAGTTGTTTAAGTGAACAACATTTGTAATGTAACTTTTAGTTTATTTATTATTTATTATATATTAACTAACCAAAACTATAATTTGCTTATTTATTTATTGTCAAACCGCTTGCGATATCTGCTGGTTTGCCGTTGTTTTATGAAAGCTACTTGAATTTATTTTTTTTTTCTATAATTTTTTCCGTATTAAAATAACAATAAACAACGAGTAAAAACTCACAGCAAACCAAAATAGTAACGACATAGGAGGTGTGTTCAAGAAGTAAGGTGATTATTAAGTTTTATCAAAAAGTACTTATTTATTTATCAAAATTAATGTTGTCCACTTCAAAGTAATGGTCTCCAGATATAATACACTTGTGCCAAAGTTCTTATAACGATGGTTTCTTTATCTCATCAACCGTTCAAACCTCCTCCCTTTGATGCGTTTCTTGAGTTTTGAGGCTGTGGCATTATTGTGGTTTTGTTTTTCCCCAAAAGTTAGACACATGCAACGATCAGTGAGCAGGTGATGCACAATAAATGAATTGTTTTCCAACAATTCCGCACGTGTTCTTCGTATTGCTTCTCGCAAACGGGGCATAACTTCAAGGTAATACTCTTACTGTTACTAACATAACAAAAAATATGTATCGAAGATCGAATGTACGTAGCCCGTCCAATTACAAAAGTCACTTTACCTTTTGAACACGCCTCGTATACAAACATAATGTAACATTTAAAAAGTATATGTGAAACTTTTGTCTTTAAGTTTTTTGATATGTTTTACAGCTTCAGAAATAAGGTATCATCCCATGATAAACCACCCACCCTGTATATATTGTATAACATTGTATAATAACAAAGTCTTTATTTCTTCACATAGTGACAATGACATTTATACATGACTTAAGTTTCGGATTCATTGATGGCGAGGCAGTCAGGTTAAGGGATTCATGGCGAGTATTAGAATTTTATATAACATTGTAAGTAAAACTCCGTGCGATGTCTGGGGACAGCAACAGATTCTTGTCACGTGTGTTCTTCGTATGAATGATATTGACACGTGAACCTCTTTGAAAGATGTATCTAAATCAGTATTAATATAGAGATATGATATGGACATTGACATGACTATGAAATGGATACATGACGTATAATAAATGAAAATTAACCCAAGCAACTTTTGTATTTAACTTTTTGTTCAATCAATTCTACTTCCTGAGGTAAGGTAGTGGTGCCTCATAAAAGGACCAGCCCGTATACATTGTATTACGACTATATAAAACTCTTACTATCATTCATAAATAATTTCAATAATGATCTCTCTGACTTTTCAAAACTGACTCCAAAAGTGCCAAGTTTTCATAATGATCAAATATGAAATATTATTATTTTGAACCGACATTTGAGTCTAATATCTGAGGGGACCTGTGTGACTAGAACCTCATTTGACCTGGTGATCTTTACCTTTTGAATTTTCTCTATTCACTGGCCTGAAGTGAACGGTGAACCAATTTTAGGTTCTTGTGTTTTTATTGCTCGAAAACCTGTCGATGAGCACCCGTCCTAGTAAATTGGCAATTGTGTAAAAAAATTTGAATAGACTGTAATTATTGGAGATAGAGTAACGACTTTCGGTCTAAAATATTGTTCCTGCAAGTAAAGAAGACTTGCATCCTTAGCTAAAGGTATCAGCTCACGCAAGAATTAAAACCTTAAGATCGTGGACCACAAAGTTGACGAGATACCTTTACAAGTCCAAAAAGTGGTAGTCGAGTATTACTCAATGTCGTATTTGGCTTCAATAAGAAAGCTCAACATGCGACGCAGCGGATACAGCAATAACTGTGTTGGTTAGTTAAAAGTTTCAGATCGCATTATGTCTGCCCAATTGGCCGCTAAAGTCATGCGACTTAATGCCGCTCGATTTATTTTGATCTGGTTAATACTAACAAAACTGAAACGTTGAAATATCTAAAAAGTAGTTAACGATGAACGAGAAATGATAAAAGTAGAACAACAATAAATTGCGACAGAGGGCGCCAAAATAATCGTTTCACGCGATAAAATGCGCAGAACCGTAAAAATAAGGAATTAATTCTATCACACGAACTTAAAAGTAAATCAAGGTGATTAACTAAAAAAGCAGTAAGAAAATTGAGTTCGGGTAACCGAAACGACTCTATTTGTGATCGTAAGGATCGATTATTCAGCTAATAGGCTCTTAGGTATATTTGATTATTAATTCAATTCATATAAATTGGGCTTTTACATGACATAAGTCATTATTTCAATGAATTGAAATTGCGACCCACTAACCTGGTCTAATTTAAGCAGTTCCTCTGGCGTATCCGGTAGTTGTCCCAGTATTAATGGAGGATTTATGTTTACCTCTTTCCCCAAAGACCTAACCACTTCCTCTCGATTATACCTGTCTGCGAAAACGCAGCTGGCCGGAATGAGACCGTGAACTGTGTAGCTGATTGCCCTTACCAATATCCTGAAAGTAAGAGAAATCATTAACTAAGAGAGAATCCAATTAATGTCGTTTTCCAACCATTATATTTGATTAATTTTTTTTTTGGAAGCATCTTTTTATCATATATGTCCGCTATCCAGTTGTGCAGATAAGTGAGTGTCATCTCGACAATTTTCATTCGAAAGCATCGCAGGCATAGAGATTCCTTTTTTTAATTAATTATTATAAAAATTACAGTGCATTTCGTCAGAATTCAATCTAATTTAAATCTTTCAAATATTGGGATGTAACCAAACTTAAAGGCGCAGAATTCATTTTTTTTTGTATTTGTTATGCTGATCTACGTTTTATTAATTTGTCAAAGAAACGTTCACAGGCTGCTGGAATACTTTTTATAAAACTTCTGGATTCCTACCTACTGCGTCAGTTTTTGTTGAGTCGAACTAGCGGACGTTTCGTCAATCATCCTGTTGGCTTCAGAGTTTGACTGAAACTGGCTCGCATTTTACTCTGTACCTGCTTATATATTGTTTGAGGGGGGCGGAGCTATATGAAGGGCATAAACACCATTTCGGATGGCTGATTCCCATATTGATGACAGGTAGAGGCCTGAGTCGCGGTTAAGATTGTTAGGTTGCTTATAGATTTCTATAGACTTTCGGATTTTTCGTTGGTAGAAGAATTGATTACATGCAAGAATTTTAGTTTTATCGAATAAAATTTTATGTCCGGTTTCGTGATTGTGTTCGGCAACTGCTGATGAGTTTATTAGTCTTAGCCTTTAGGCTCTTTCATGTTCTTTGAATCTTGTAGATAGTTTTCGTCTGGTCTTTCCAATGTATTCTTTGCCGCATATGCTTGGAGTGCTGTAAACTCATGGCATTTTCAATGGAATTTTGTCTTTGACGGATCGAATGTGTTGAGCGATTTTTGGACAAGTGGTAAATCTGGTTTTGTGGTGTGATGATGTCTTGAATATAAGGAAGGACAACAGTGGCAAGTGGAAGGAATCCCTAGTAGATTTTCTTAGACATTTAAATTCTATACACTCTAACATACGTTTTACCATTAAAATAGGAACTAATAACAACCTCCCATGTTTAGATATTCCTATCAATAGGAAATCAGATCCTACATTGTGTGTTTACAGAAAACCTTCGCACACAGACCGATACCTTATTGCATTCCGTCCCAAAAATTATCGGTTATCAACTCCTTGTTTACATAGCCGTAAAACAATCTCAGCCCGAGTCATTGAACCCAGAATTAAAACACTTTACCTCTGCTCTTCTCTCTAATAATTTCGCCAATCATCCTGTAGCTTCTTTTGAGCTTGCTTTTCTCTCTAATAATTTCTACATTAAAGATATTAATCCTTCCATCACAAAATACACTTCACCACAACCTTACAACAGCAATGAAACCGAAAGCAATCCCATACTTGCCACTGTTGTCCTTCCTTATATTCAAGACACCACTGACCACATATCAAAAGTTCATCAAAAATCCAAAATAGGAGTTTACAGCATTCCATGCATATGCAGCAAAGAATACATTGGAGAGACCAGACCAAAAATATCAACTAGGCTCAAAGAACATGAAAGAACCTTAAGGCTAAGACAAATAAACTCATCAACAGTTGCCGAATATAGTCACGAAACCGGACATAAAATTTTATTAGATAAAACTAAAAATCTTGCATGTAATCAATTCTTCTACCAACGAAAAATCCGAGAGTCTATAGAAATCTATAAGCAACCTAACAATCTTAACCGTGACTTAGGTCTCTACCTGTCACTACTATGGAAATCAGTCATCCGAGACGGTGTTTATGCTCCTCATTTAGCTCCGGCCCCCTCAAACAATATAAAAGCAGGTGCAGAGTAAAATGCGAGCCAGTTTCAGTTCTTTAAAGATCACTAATAGAAACAAATAATGAAAAAAAAATATAACCAATTTTCGAGGCTTTTAATAGTTTCGATTAGTTTAGATCAATAACAAAAAAAAACATATCGAACAAATTTAAAGTCTGTTCAATAGTTATCCTTACAGGTCCATTATGCTCATAGTTGGCATTTTAGAAAAGATATTCTATCTTATTACTGCATTCTCGTCTCCGACTTCACATAGCATCCAAGTTTTCGTAATTTCTTAATAGGCCAATCGAAGTTTCATAATCAATTCGCAATGAATCCAATTTTACACAACACATGCGGATTTATTCCGGAATCTTTTCATAACTCTAGATTTCATTACGTACATTGGACGTTTCAGCTATGTCCGCTTGTTTCGGAAACTCGATTTTTCTCAGCGACTCCAACTTTAAAGTACATAACGTTGCTGTTTTGGAAGTGTTATTTAAAGCCATTCCGCAAGCCAGCAGCGCTATAATAACTTGATGTGGAAAATATTAGTCCTAAGTTAAAAGTAATTGAAGTGCAAATTAAAACTGGCACACTCCACTCATACTTCAATCGAATTTGATAATAGGAAATAGAATTCTCTATGATAACAAAAAGAGCATTTTGTGGGCCACGTGAAATTGTAAATTTCAACATCTTCAATATATTATGTCTCGTATATAAAAATCGCAGAGTCAGAAACTCAATCTTAGAATGTAAGAAAAAAAATATTGAAACCACAGATGGGAACAAAAATCTATAGCAAAACTAGTCGCCACATCAAAAATTGTCATTTCTATTTTAATTGAATTGAATGCTAATATTTATTTTCTCGTTCCCTCCAAGGTTTCATAACTAGTCTTCAATTTTTATTCAATCAAATTCTCTTGGGGAATCATATTCTCTCTTCGTGGTACGTCAGAAACGTATAGATATAAAATGGAAGTCTAGAAAGTTTTGGGGTGATCGTCAAAAAGTCTGGAAAGTTTTAAATAAGACGCGACCAAGTTACAGAGGGACACGATGGGGCTTGTATGATTAAAAACTAAAATGTTTCAGATTGCATTATTCACTTTCCTATAAGACATTTTATAACGTGAATCAATGGTAGAGTAGTATGATAATTAAAATAAAAGATTGAAGACGACTCGTACGTCCGTTTACCCTTCCGAGTTGAATACAACGGAGTGGTGTGTATAATCTTAAAAATGGCAACGTAAAAGCTTTTTAGAACCGTCAAGTGTAACCCATAAAACACAATGTGTTCGTTGATGGGCATTTTCGTCGCCTTTTTAGCCAAGATTGTTTTTTAGGAGAATATGGTGAATATGGTGTTACCAAAACGTTATGGCGTATTACACGAAAGAGCCAATCGTATATGTGTGGGTATAAAATCGGTTAATGTCGAAAATTTTCTGTTGAATTTGACCAATTTTTGGTTTCATGCCATTGATCAATTTAAAATTAAAACTGACTGCATCTTTAACGGTGTCTTATTTTAATTTAGTTTGTTAAGAAATTAGTTTTGACACTTTCCACAAATGCTTTATTTACACACGTAATAGTATATTATGCGACAAGTGCGGTAATTTGCGGCATTTGCTTCACGAGTTTATTTGACACGAGCGGCGCGAGTGTTTAATAAACGAGTGACTTAAAAAGTTTACCAAACGTGTTGCATACTATACTTTTTCTACGACCGCTAGTTTTTGGGTACATTTTCGCAAAACAACACGAACACATCCGATTGCTCCCAAACCCGGAAATGTGCGAAGAGGCTCGGATCCGCGGGAAACGAAATTGACGTGGTAAAGTGACGCTTTCCGCACGCTAGATCGGTGTGTAATTAGTTATTTTACAGACGGGAGTAGAAAAAAATGTTTAAAATTGTATTTTGTATTGTCAAGTTTTTGTTAATTTAAATATTATTATCTCCACATATATCACACGAACAAAGTTATGTATGATGTTTAACTACAGACCGATCTGTCAGGTCGTCGAGACTTGTGCTGTTTACAGCGATTTCTCCAAAATTTTTGATAAAATACACCACCTAACTCTTGCTTTGGAGAATTTCGGTGTACACGGTGTTTTGCTCCTGAAGAGTTACTTGTACGGACGATCTCAGTATGTGCTTTTTACATAGGACTTATTCCTTGTACGCAGATGATCAAAAATTTCAAAATTGGTTCACTCGGCGGCAGACTACGTCTTGTTGCAGAGCGATTTTTCAAATTTTGAAGATTATTGTTCTCTGAACAGATTGTTTGTTAACCCTGAGAAATGTCACTGTATTTTGTTTACAAAAAGGCTAACTAGGTAAATACAAACCAAACTTTGCGGATCCTGTAAAGGACCTTTTTGAGATGAGAAAACATTGTTCAAAAGGCTCTAAAGAGTCTTGTGGACGGTGCACTAATGGGTTTAATAATAAAAAAAATAATAATACTTTTTTACAGTCTTGTCAGACCCGTGATGGGATATGCTACGCCAGTCCGAAATTCAATGTATTTTAAATATATCGAACGGCTGCAGAATGTAAAACAAAAATTTGTAAATGCTGTGAATTATAGATTTAATAGACCCAGACATTTTTTTAGTTACAGTGAAAATCGTAGAACAATTTTTGATTTATTATTTATTTATGAAGTTAGAAACAATTTGATTGAATCTCCTTTCGTTTTGGGAAAAATATACTTTAACTTTAATCCCTACATTCTTCGAAACAGGCAAACGTTCCCTGTATCTAGATATCATTTAAATTACTCTTCTAACTCTCAAATTATCAGATATACCCGTACTTATAACAGCGTAGAGAACGCGTTTCCGTTGACCTATTCGCTTTGACGGTATACCAATTAACATACTGTAATAAAAAGCTGTAATTAGTTCTTAATTAGATTTAGCTCGAAAAAATAATTTAAATTAGTCCACTGACAAAGCATATTTTTTTGTGACATTTTGTTCTTTCCTTTTATTGGACAGCTGCGTCTGTCTATAGGAAAGACTTGTTTATAAATAAGTATATTATATGTTTTAATTAAGATGTACTATTTTGAAAATACTTGCCATGTTTGCTATGTTAGATCCAAACTTTTAGGCGCCTTAATAGAATTTAAT